CACACTGGCAACGTTCACCGCTGGAGGTCTAGTAGAGTGGATCACACTGATAATCAGCCCAGAGTGGATTTTCCTGTAGAGGAACGTTACGATAAACATGCCTCTAATATTAGACATATAGCCTTGAGGCACTCTCAGCTCTCCAAAGGAAGGTTAAAAGCTGGAACTTCACCGGAAATGAATCACACATGTTCTTATATGTTGTATTCAAATCTGTTAAGGTTATATTGTGCCTCACTGCTCTCCAAAGGCAAAGAGCATTCACAAACAGTAAAACTGAGAAGAAATATTTGAACTTTAGGTTTAGGAACCTAAATAAGATCTAAAATATGCAGATACTGTACTCTTTTGGACAATCTTCCGAGGAAAACAGTAGAATATAAATTCACTAGCAAGGACCACACAATCAACAGATACGATTAAGTGATTTATTAATGATCAAAACAGAAAGATGTACAAGGCCTGCAGTTGCTGAATAGACATTCAAAAGCGTTGTGGGGAAGCTGCGATAGGGACTCGATGTTTGATTTTAAAGTAGTAATCACCAACATTCAAAGAATCATGCTTTTTTATATTTATTTACACCTTTATTAGCAAGATGTCTATGAAGATTCTCAGTCATCCAGGTCATAGTTATCCAACGAATCTGTCAGATGCTACTGTCCTGACAGTAGCATCTGGACAGTAGCATCTGATGTTACTGTCCTGTGGACAGTAACATCAGGTTCACACGAGAAGATGTTCACAACAACAGTTTGGCCTTCCTGGACTGCGCTGTTCACATTGAAGAGGACAGGAGCCTGCAGATTGGTGTTTACAGAAAACCCACACACACAGACCAATACCTACTCTTCGATTCACACCACCCACTGGAGCACAAGCTAGGGGTCATGAGAACACTGCACCACAGAGCGGAAAACATACCAACAAGCGCCCAAGCCAGAGAGAAGGAACAGAACCACCTGAAGGGGGCACTTACAGCCTGTGGATACCCTAAATGGACCTTTGTGAAGACAGCCACAAAATCCAAGAAGAACAAAACTACAGGGGAGGAGGAAAAGAAGGTCAAACGCAACAACATTGTGATTCCATACGTGTCTGGAGTATCAGAGAAACTCAGGAGGATTTTTAACAAACATAACATCCCTGTGTTTTTTTAAACCCAAGAACACACTAAGACAGATGCTGGTACACCCCAAAGACCGCACACCCAAACACAAGAAAAGCAATCTAGTGTATGCGGTCCAATGCAGTGAGGAATGCACAGACCTGTATATTGGGGAGACTAAACAACCACTACACAAACGCATGGCTCAACACAGAAGGGCCAACTCCTCAGGTCAAGACTCTGCTGTCTACTTACATCTGAAGGACAGAGGACACTCGTTTGAGGACCACCAGGTGCACATTTAAGACAGAGAAGATGGATGGTTTGAAAGAGGTGTCAAGGAAGCCATCTACACCAGGGTTGAGAAGCCGTCATTGAACAGGGGAGGGGGTCTACACCACCACTTATCCCCCACTTACAATGCTGTCCTTTCATCACTTCCCGGGAAACTCAACAAACGTAACCTATTGACCTCAGGTGAAGATACCAACAATGGTTGTTCAGTCTTGGCCACAGGTAGTCTCAACGACTGTAACGACTGTCGTCACAGCAACAAGGAACACTAACGAACCAGCGGTATCGATGACCCGAGATAACGACCCCACTGAGGTTAAATAGCTGAGTTTCCCTGCCAGTCAGTCAGAACTGAAGAAGTCCTTTGGATAAGGGACGAAACGTCTTCCAGTAGCTTCAACCAAGTCCAGTTGCCCTTCATTTTAACCTTCGTTGGATACCTTTATTAGCAGTGGCAGTGGTAACGGTGGTAGTTTTCCAAAGACTTTTCTACTCACCAGTTCACAATCAAGTATTGCAGGTAGTAATCCAATGGATTTGCTGTTGCTAGAGTGCTTTTTTGTCTGTTCAGTCAAATAGGCCATCACTGTTTGAAAAAGCAAATGTTATGAAGTGTGTTGCATTATATCACTAATATCAAAATGGACAATTATCTGTATAGAGGTAGATTAAAACATTACACAAAACAATGACAGTGTAATGGGGCAACACATCACGCACACTTAGATACTGTAATAGCTATAGATGATGGATGTAATGGCAAATGTGTCTTTTGCTGTGCCAGACTCTGCCAGCCATAGACACCCTGGCTCTCTCCCTAATGAAATAACCCCTTCTGACAGATGGCAAGTACCACTTTCCCTCTGTTGCATAATTTAAACTGACCTCTCTAATTGGACAATGATTCAAGTCCTCAGTGAGAGAAGGTCAAGCTTGTCTGAATAAAATCCTGGTTGAGATTGGGAAGGATTTGTTTGTCTTGGGAAAAAGTGAATACACAGTAAAGCTAAAAATACATTATTAATCTACAAGACTCAGCTACAAGGTAGCTTTCATGCATAAATTATGTTTAAATTCAACAATGATGTTGCATTAATGTCCTCATCTTAATTTAGGCTTAAACTTGATAATAATACTAAGGGATGAATGTCACATTTGTTCTTGATCCTCACCCTGAACCAAAAGTATTTGACTTAACCTTGACCGAGACCTGATCTGTCACCCTAATCCTGAAGGTTTGAGGTCAGGGTCACATACTGAAAAGATCAGGGTTGATTATAGAACACATGCAAAGTGGATTCAGCATTCTAAATGTGGTTGAAACATGTATAGTTAAATATAACTTTTTAGTTAAATTTAAAAAATGTAAATTAAAGCAAAATGTATCCCTCAGTAATCAACACAGCATCACAAAAACATATGAAACATATGATATGATTAAGTGAAATATAACTATAGAATTTTAAACTCAATGCAATTACAGCCTGTCTCATTGAAAAATTAATTGTAATAATCTTAACTGTAATAATAAAATCAGCAGGTCAGCTTGAACACTTATCAGAAAAGAAGGAAGTTGCTTCGCAGGGGCGTTGCCTGGATCTTGAAACACTGGGGGCTTAGCCCCCCCCCCAACACACAGCAGCACAGCCCAAGATAGCCTGCTTAACCAAAGTTAAGTCTGTAAATCAACAGTTAACGACCTCTACATTTATCTACCCACAAAAAAACTCACAACAACTCTATCAACTGTCTCATTTGCTATTGCTAACTGGTTATGCCATGTTTAATTGAATCATCACCTTGTCTTTTACACCTTCCCTTTCAATCTTTTTTTCCTCCTATAAGCCATTGAGCTACACTTTATTTATTAAATAAGACTTGCTCCACCACCGCAATCCCTCCCGCAACCTCCGCTTCTCTGACACTAATCTTCTCTCACCACAAATCAGGACCAAACACCCTACCTAGGGCGACAGAGCTTTCACCATCGCAGCCCCCTCCCTCTGAAACTCCTTACCCATACACATCTGAGATTGAGTGACATGGAATCTTTCAAATCACTTATCAAAACACGCCTTTTTAGACTAGCTTTTAACATCAAATAATGTTATATTACACCTGCTGGGGTTTGTTATTTTGTTATTTATATGGTTGCCGCTTTGCTCTTATGTATTTCCGCACCACATGTTTTTATCTACTGTTCATATATATTATATTATGCTATTTATATTTTATGTTTTTAATCTGTTTTAAATGTACATTACTTCTGCTTTTACTGTAAAGTGTCTATGAGTGTCCTGAAAAGCACTATAGAAATAAATGTATTATTATTATTATTAAATGTGATATATAAATGTCTATAAATAAATGTATCATCATCATCATTATTATACTACTCATAATAATAACATATTAATAACATAATAATAACAATAATAATTAATTGGGGTATCCCCCATCTCACTACAGAGGGTTTTAGCATGTCTCAGCATTTTTAGTATTTTCTTTCACTCTCACAGCTCCAGCGGCGTGCAACCTCTGACAAATATAGCATATTTAGCAGTCAAAAAGCCAGATATTTTCCTGAAGAGTTAGTAAAGACTTATTAGAGCTAAAAGGCAGACAGTCCTCACCAGAACAAGGGTCGTATTGGTTGATTATGCAGCAGCTTATTATGACCCATATTTAAATTTTTTGTTAGGCTGTGAACTCTAGTAGTGGAAGAAGTCAGGTGATGTAGTATAAAGAGCAACAAAGTCTGCATAAGGAGATGGTGGGTTTGATAGAAATACATATTCAAAGTTGTAAGTTGAATAACATTTTGTCACGTGACTACGTAACCCAAACCATGATCTTTTCCTAAACTTAACCAAGTAGTTTGGTTGCCTAAATCTAACCAAACTATGATCGTTTCACAACGTTTACCACATGTTAAACGTCACATGACATACGTAATGTACTAAAGGTCAGGTAAGCCTGTCGATGGACTGGTACTTGCCAGTGCTTTACATGTAGTTTTTGGCAAAGGTCATATATGTCGTAATTTCCAGCGGACATAGGCTATGTATGTTTTTTTCGAAAATGGTCATATTTGTTGTTTTGGGACACTTGACAATCAACCTATTTTGTCGTTTAGGTATGGGGATGTGTTGCTAAAGGGATGTTCAGGTTGTTGTTATGTTTTGTCTCCAAATGGACAAAGAACTGCTGTTTTATAATGTGTCACTTAAGGGAGCTACAATCATTTGTTCAAATCATTACTTCAAAGTTCATATTACTGTGTCAGAAAACTGCCTAGGAAGATTAATTTGCTCTTGGAGAGGCTTATTTACTGCAGGAAATTGTTAACACCTTACAAGGGTGGCTAATCCTCTTCACAGAAAGAGGTGAGGGTGGAGACTAACAACATGGAACCTTCCCACACTGACACACCATAACAGGAGAGGCAACACATGCTTCCCATGCTTGTCTCTGCCCACTTCTTTCAGCACAGCCACCATCACCCTCTGTACCCAAACCTGCGGAGAGAAGAAAGGACAGGTCCTGCTTTTTTTCTGTGAAGCCCATGTCAAAATATCTTTGGTCGGGACAAGAGAGCTGTGAATAAGGGATAAGTTATTGGGAAAAAGACACCTTAGGGAGTGGAGTTGGGCTCATTTGTCCTCCATATCATGGGCAGCAGTGCAGATAACTGAGGAGGATCAAACAGCTGCATCGCCAAAACACAGCAGAAGAAAAGGAGAAGGTTTGATGTAGACACAGCACTGACTACAGTCAGAAAAGAGGCCTGAACTTGGCTGTGAGGCACGAAGCACATTGGTTGACTGGAAGCTGGGTGTACTTGACTGAACAAATTTGCAATCCTGACCTCACTTGGCACCAAATATTGCTGGCCTGACAGGCTGGGTGTCAGTGATCAACTTGGGGGTGACTGTGGGGAGTAGTTATCTAGTCTAGGCTGGTTGGCAGATCCCCAAGTTTGTTCAGCTGACAGATGAGGGTCCAGAAGGTGGCTAACAGGATGAGGCTGGGTGGCCACGTGGCCCCGCAGGGATTACAAGCAGCAAAGAAGAAGGTAAAGAGATTAGACTCAAAACGGAGCCTGCTTTTTTAACCTCGTCACTATTGTCACACTGACAGAGTAGAAGGAAATTCCTGAGCCAAAAATCCAGCCGTTCACCGTCTCTCCTTCCTCTATCTCTCCTTGCTCCCTTGCTCCCTTGCTCCCTCTGCTCATCCATCCATGCAGCCACCTCTGTTGTCTACGGGGATTCAACTGCATCCAAGAACTAACTGCTGCTGAAGAACTGAGCTGGAGCACACATATGAGTGGACTGGACTAACGAGCTGAAGACCTTGTCAGCACCGATGAGGAGACTTTTGCGTACTATGTTAATGGACTGCAAATAAAGAGATTCTGGATTTTAACTGTTGTTTGCAACAGTCTCTTTACAAATGACAACTTCAGGCTCGAAAACTACATAAATTAGCTCATCATGCTTTTGAAGTCAGGACTATTCTTCACTTTGTGTCTGTTTACCCTCCAAGCAAGTCGAATCAAAGGTAAGAGTCCTGTGTCGAGGCTTCCCGTTAACATATTTGAGATTTTTCTTTTATATTATGATTGGAGAAAGACATAGTTTTCACACAGCAGGTTTTAGTAGTTGCATGCATGGTTTCTGGAAAACTCTCTTTCTGAACAAAGTTACAGCAATCTAACTCTTTAAGACTGCTTTAGCAAGTACAGATGTAAGTCTGTCAATTAAATAGTAAGCCAATGATGTATCTCTACACACCTGTTTTACACACCTGGCACAAGACAGATTGTAAAGGTCGCTGTCCACATTGCTTTAAGTTTAGTTGATGACAGATCACCGTGTGGTGTAAATACCCTCCTGTAGGTTTTCTGTCAGTGGTGATCTACTTTTTCCAGCTACAAGTGTGTTTCTGTGTGTGTGTGTGTGAGATTCTGCTATTTCAAGAACTCTCTCTGCAAACTACAAAATGCTGGCTCATCCTCAAACAGACCTTTGATTTTCCGAAAAATGTCAAGCAGCCAGCGAGCCACTTGGTCATGAATATTCACTATAAATTAAATGGGCAGAGACCTATAATACATGCAGACTGAGAAAGATAGCATCATTTCACCAGTGATAACATTTGTGTCCGCTCCCTGGTTGTCTTGTTCGGTGTGATGTGCCCGGGTGAGCTCATTATCCCGAAGGAAACAAAAGCCATTCTGTTCCCAGTGTCGCAGGACGCTAATCTTTTCTGGCTTGTAATTCTGCTGTGAGGCCTTTTTGCGGCTGCACTGGGCATTAAGGCCCACTCAAACACTCCCTCCTCTCGCCCAGGCCCTCGTGTCTCTGCATGTGCAAATCAGGCTTCAAGCTTACCAATTCCCCAAATCCCATTCAAATGGTGTCTTGGTGGCGTGACTATGAATGAAAACACTCATGATTTGGCTAAATTTCAGGCCTGCTTCTGACCTGCTGAAATATTTGGAAGTGGAAGGTTTGTCGGGTAAATGGGTCTGACAGACTGGGAGATATCTGCCTGCAAAGCTACAGACTACACTGTCAGAGCGCACACATTCTTTGCATGTTCTTGGTGTTGGGCCAAATTTGGGTTAGAGGAAAACAATAGTGTTTATTGTAGAGGTTATTATTTATGTGTAATACTGTGATTGACATTTTTTTTTCTTTTCTTGCCCTGTCAAGCAAACCATCAGTGCGTTTCAAACCTTTTTTGTGCTCAAACTTTAATTGCTGAAATGCAGATTCTAAACAATGACTAGTAGCACAGCTACACTTTACTACTTCAGCTACATCTATACTATGACAGTATGTAGAAGGTGTACACAATATCAACGACACATACCTATATAATGCAATGCAACAGCGACCATAAACAATGATTTATAAAGCGGCTGTCGGGTTGAACACACATCTCTGACAGTCTCAACAAAACGTCACATTATGAACTTCCCAAAAGGTAGTTTGTTTATTACCAACTCATTATTATGGTCACAGCTAATGATTACTTAAATCATTTGTGAATCTCTCATTATTTTATGTTTGAAGGAGTCCATCACAAAGTGATGACTTTTGGACCAACAGTTCAAAATCCTGATGGTATTAACAGCACTTTACAATGATGTATAACAGAAAGAAGAAAACAATCCTCCTCCAAATTCAGCATGTTTGCGAAATTTGTACCAATCAACTTATCCATGAATCAACTAAGATTATTTTCAGTGTACGATCAGTGTAAACAGAATAACAATTCAGTACTACTCTTTCACTGTTGTTTTACACTATTACACTATGGTGTAATGCTGTAAGTATTAGTTGACGTTGCAGGTCTCATGTGTTGCATTGCATTAGCTTGTACACCTGTGTATGACATTGCGTCCACTCAAGCAAATGCAAAAGCACACACTTGCAACATGCTCTTGCTCAACACTCTCTGGATTCTTCCTGTATTGTTCTTCCTCTGCTTGTGGTCCAGTGTTGGTCCACCATACTGGACCACGTTCAGTTAGCACAACTTAATGTCTGTTGTAGAGATGCAGAATTAATGTACGAAGATTTCCCTCTTGTCTTGTTTATCTTCACAAAAAATTGCAGCATCTCTACAAACATCTCTTACATACAGTGATTGTATTATTTACGCTGACTTGATCTTTTTATTTTTCTGTAACTTCCGTAATTTAGAGGAGGCACAGTTTGTTATTTGGGTCCAATGACTTTGAGTCTGGGGCTCATAAATCCTGGCTTATTGTATTAAAAAGTCCTCAGAGGTTTGCCACCTGGCACCACAATGAATGTCTTTCTTCTAAAATAGCTTTATTCAATGGGGTGACTGTGTTAGAGAGTGTTGACTGGCACGCTGGATTGTGTAATGGTGTGGAATTACCTTCCTGTAATGCCTCACCAGGGCAACTTAGCTTGTTTTCTTTACTAAGGTGATCAAAAAACTGGGGCATTTCTCCTCATCATGTGTGCAGCATCTCAGTGATATCATTTATGGAAATATACCTGTCTGTGTCTGCATCTGAGCAGCTTCAGTGATGCACTGTGGGTCAAGTCACCCAAAGGCATCTCCTTAGTGAGAGCAGTGTGTTACTCACTCGCTCTCTCCACACATCTTTGCACTTTCCATCCATCCATCGTCAACCGCTTATCCTGCGTACAGGGTCGCAGGTGGCTGGAGCCAATTCCAGCTGACATTGGGCGAAAAGCAGGCCACACACAGACAACCACTCACACTCACATCCACACCCAAGGACAATCTGGGAGACACCAATTAACCTAGCCTGCATGTCTTTGGATGGTGGGAGGAAGCTGGAGCACCCGGAGAGAACCCATGCAGACACGGGAAGAACATACAAACTCCACCTTTCTGTGTGGAGTTTGCATGTTCTTCCCGTGTTCCCATGTTCATGCAGGGTTTGATCCCATGACCTTCTTGCTGTGAGGCAACAGTGCTAACCACTGCACCACCGTGCCGCCTCTTTGCACTTTCCCAGTATTCAAATTGATATTCCTCCAGTCACAAACCTGCACCTCAAAGCTTCAGGACCACAACAGCTCAAAACACTCAATGCACCTTTAAGAGATCACACAAAGAAAGAGTTTTGTTTCTGCTAAATTGTCTCAAAATAGTCTCTCAGGAACCCTCCACGTACAGTATACTTTCACTGCCAGGTGCTATTTTGAGGCAATGGCAGTGCAAACAACAGTGAGATGGTTGGACAGATGCCATTAGGTCATTTGTTGGATTAAATATCTGTCAAATGAAATACTCCTTAGTGGTAGTTGGTGCTGACTGCCTGATTCCTGGATATACACTACAAGGCTAAAAATGGTAGATATTTAAAGGCGAGTCCAGTGATTTAGTATTGCGCTTCTTGCACAATATGGGGGACTAGCAAGACAAGGGTGTAAAAAAATATGTATCAAAATGTATGCAGCAGAGGCCACATCAATTGTACAATGATGCACTGTAGCAATGGGTGCTAAACACATTGGATCCTACACTTCCTACAATGCAACATGATAGCGTGTTTCATCTGACCCACCTTGCCTGGTCTTTCAAACTCCACAAACCCAGTTCATAAAACAGGTTTTCTGTTAATAGTCCAGTCTGAGATAATCCTGATGACATCACTATGACATCATCAGGGTTGTTGCTATTTTCACAGGATGAATGGTAGCCTATTCTTGTGATAATTAAACAAACTTTTGTGTGTAAAATTGGTGGAGTGCCCCTCAAAGACGACTTTCCTGTGATAAAGCAAACCTAAAGAATGTTTTGTTGCCAGTAAATACCATTTGCAATTTTGGTTTTGCTTTTATTCACGAGGGCAAAGGCAACATGTTATTTTTTAAATGTATTTACGCGTATGTGAGATGAGCAAGATTTTTTCAAGACTTTTGCCAAAGAAACAAATCTCAAATGAATACAAACAATTCAACTCACTTTAAGTTTAATATCTCACAAATTACAGTGCAGTTACTACAATCAGTGCTTTGACTTTGTGTTGTCACCCCTCCGTTGTTAATTGTAACAAATCATCCACAGAAACACTACACCACTGAGTGAGAAATATCACACTTTCATGATAGTCAACAAAATTTCATCTACTTCTCAGTGCTCAAATGTATTATGTTTACTAAACTTTCATGTGCTGAATTCTGTAAAAAAAAAAAAAATTAGGCCACATTATCCTAAACTTATAACTCCACTGACTGCTCTTACAGACATTCATGACCACGGCTTTTCTGGACTCAGGGATGTGAAGTACCGACACTTTCTTGAAGCCTCCAGACCGATCAGACACACCACAAATGTCAGAGCAGAGCAGGACGCACATCGGATAAAGAGGTCAGCAGTCTTCAGCACAGGGGTCAAAGTGTGTCCCCAGGAGACGATGAAAGCAGTCATCGGCAGCCATCGGACCTATTACAAACTCCGAGGTAAAATGATATGTCCACTGTTAGACTTTGATGTGCGCTTACACTTCACATGAACTTTTTGAACTTTGACTTTATGCATAATTATGATTGAACATCTTACAGTGGAATGAATGAGCCTTTCCTAAAACATTGACTCTGTATCAAAAGAGAGGAAAGCGCTTCATCACACATAGATGTCTTAGCAGGTGGATAAATAGCTAGTCTGCTTTGATGTTTTGTTTTGTAGTTGGAGCTTTTTGGGAAGAGGATTAAAAAGATATTTTGATCCTCTCAGATGTGTATGATTCTATCAATTCAAGTACATACATATAGTATAGATGTTTGTTATTTGTTAATTGTTTACAGCCTGGTGATGTTGACATGATATCACTAAAGCTATTTTACTGACTTTAGGGATACACATAGTGAAGCACCTGATAATGAAGTTATATGCAAATATCCCTCGTCTGAGAGAGATGGATTGTGGATGACTTCAGAGGCAAAGATTGCTTACCAAATTGTTCCACGACAGCTGCAGTGGCGTGTGATTTTAAAATGAAGCATATTAATTTGGTGTATTGGAGGTAATCGCATCGCTCCAGAAATGAGTTTGTCTGAGGATAAATTTCCCACAGGCATCAAGATATTAGACAATGTGAAGCTTGTTTCTCCCACAGAGACAGAAAAAACCCACTGTAGCGTCTTTGTGCTCACAATTTTAATATTCACAAAATGTCACAGACATGTAACAACTTAATTATACAGTTTGACATTTTCTTAAACAGGCATTACTACCTTTTTGTGCTGTCCCAATCATGTCACATTTTGTGATTTATTGTAGCATTGTGGCATTGTAGACTGTTATGTGCTGTGTATTCACATGTAAAACTGCTCTGAAATGAAAGGAAAACTAAGCTAATCTTATAAATAAATCGTTAATTCACAGCAAGTTCTTCACATGCAGAGATGCCAAAATCAATACCAACAATCCTCTTTATCCTCAAATTTGATTCCACCATGCTGTCATTTCTATCCCATGTGCCCTTGTTGCAAATATATGAAATGCCATGTCTGATGTGTTTTGTTTAAAAACATAAATGTCACATATGAGTGTGTGAGTTTGATGTATTTTCTTAGAAAGGTCAGAAGAAAACTTCCACAAAATTATGTCATATCTCTTCAGTTTGTCAGGAAGCGATTTGGGAAGCCTTTCGGATCTTCTTGGACAGAGTCCCGAGCTCAGAGGAGTACAGAGCCTGGGTTTATATCTGCCAGCATGAAAACCTCTGCATGGACGACCTGGCCCAGAACTTTAGCAGCTCTCAGGAGCATCGGGACATGGTGGCCAGAGTGAGTCCAACACAACCAAATACCTTCATTGACCACTTTTTTTGACAATATGTTTCATACTGCAAGGCTGTTTTCATGTCAGTCTTCAGTGTAAGCATGTTGTTTCTTATTTCCAGAGAGTAGCTGAGCAAACTGAACTCGAAGGGTATGTGCAAACTCCCATCTTAAATTTTGTGTTGAATGTGAGTTTCTTTTGTGTGTCTGCAGTCATTTCATCTAGAATACACATTTAAACCAATATATGTCCATTTTAGTCTGTTTTAACAGTGCAAAGTGGTAAATATTATATTCTATTACATCCAACCAACTAAATATTTGCCACCCTAGCCACAAAAAGGAACATTGGCGATATTAAGCAAAATTAAATATTGATTTTTAAGCTTAAGAATTCCAGACTAATTTGCATATTTAGAGCAGTAAACGTTCACTGTCGTCTAACTAGATTCCTAACAATTATGTTCTTTTATTTCCAGAGTTGTCACTGGAACCCCCGAGCCAGGAAGGGAATGTGAGTTGGACACTAATGCATCAACACTGTTCAATGGAAGCATCTGAATTATTGTATGATTGTAACAGCTATCAATAAATGAACTGGTAAGTTGCTGTTTTGTCTCAGGTAACTGGACACCCCCACTGATTTTGCTACCAACTGAGGCTGACGTGGTATGTTAACCCACAAGGTTTAAGAATCATATTTGACTGTTGTGACTTAATCTAAGCACACACCGAATCTAGCGGCACTGTAGTCTAATAACAGTGTCATTTGGCTTTTCTTTGTCAGGTCCAAGACCCTAACGTGATAAAAGAGAACTATGAGGAGTACATTGTTGAGTTCAGCATCACAATCATGGACCCGGCATACAGCAAGCTGCTCAGTGACCCAGAGTCTCCACAGTACAATGACATCACACAAGAGCTCACAGACACGGTGAGAGCCAAGTGTGAGTTTACAGACCCACAGCAAATATTAGCAGGCCTCTGAGCTGTCTGCTTTAAATTTCTACAAACACAGAAAGCCCCTTGATAGCAGAGCTGTGCAAAAAAATCTTACTGAGGGATACAAAACCTTGAAATTCTATAGGCAAAGAAGCATCAATTGTGGTTGAAGTGTATTATTACACCTCTTTGTCGAGAAAATATCCTCCTCTGTCTTGGCTTATATTCTTCATACAATGGGATTAATGTGATAACCATCTTCTAAAGCATTGTATTGTTACGAGTAAAACTCACCCTGATTGATTTAACAGCTTTAAGCAACCGATGGACTTTAGATAAGACTCCTAAATGACCACAAGCCTAAAATAGTTAAGATCTAATCATATAGATTATCTTCGACTAAGAAGGCATTGACTGAAAGTCTAAACAAAGCTCTTAAGAATCACTTCTACTGGTGAAAAGTTGTTATGATATATATATTTTTAAAGAACTAATGTTAATCAGGTTCATTCTTCAAACTGAATCTCAAGTGTATGAACATAGTAGATATTATTGCCCTTTTTAACAACAATCGTTTTGTTGTTATTGTTTATCCACTGAGAAACCAGGCTAATGGCTACTGCCACTTCTTGATATTATTATTATACCTCATTTCAGGGCCTGCTTGCTCCCCCCGCCCTGTAGTAGTCCTCATTGTCTCCACCTTCCTTCCACACACCTGCTCCCAATCCCCTAATCCTGATCCCTGGCATATACTGTATACAGGCTTCTCTTCACTTTCTTTCTGTTCCTTGCTATAGTTTAACTGATCAGCAATATTGTTACCTATTTGCCTGCTTGTTATGACCATGTATCTACCTTTCCCCTTTTGCTTAGTTTTACTGTTTGGATTAACCACCTATTGGCGAACCCTTTTGTGTATTTCGGACACAGTAATCCTTTTAATATAAACTGTGCTCCTCTAAGTCATGCGTTTAGGTCCATTACCTGCAACACAGGTACAGTAGCACGTGTACAGCAATGAATCATTTAATCATTTTGTCTATAAACTATAAAATAATGAAAAATACCCGTTACAATTCTCCACAGTCTAAGGTGATGTCTTTTATTCTCCAAATCTGAAATATATTTACTTTACTATGGTTTGTGACAAAAAGAAGCATCAAAATCTCTCTTTGAAACATCAGTGGAACAAGGGAAAGTTTCATTTCATTTTTGCTTAAAATAGTTACCTATTAATTTTATGATGATCGACTAATTAGTCAACCAATCACTGCAGCTCTAGTGTACAGTAAATAATGCAGCAAATGTATTATATTGTTTTTATTGGCTTGTTACTGTCTAATGAAAACACATCTCCAAGTTGTCAACTTCTTGTGAAATAAGTTGGACGGTCTGTGAAAATGCATTTTTTAAAGAGGTGGCATTATGCTTTTTGGCTTTGCACCTTTTTGTGCATGTAATAGGTTTGCGTTCATCCCTGTGACATCACAGGAATAAAAGCTAAATGCACCTCATATAACGCTGGCCAAGCGGCTACTGCGACACGCCCTCAAAAACACCGATGGAAAAACACTGAGCTGCAGCACACACCTCCTCTCCCTTCCAAACACTAGCTACGCGACATAAAGTTGTTACTGTGATGTGGAGACAGGGCTCAGGTAAAACTTTATGGATGAAAGATACTTTGATACAGATTAATGACTCACCACTCTGAAAGTCTTGCTTCAGTACATGTTGCCAAGCTGGTCGGCAACATGTAGCCTACAGCTGAATCGAAGCTGTTTACGGGCTTTCTGCTGACCCGCACTTCTCTTCTTCGGATTGGCTAGAAGTCCTTAACCAGGAACTGCGCATGTGCAACTCCCAACAAAGATCATTTTGAAACAAGATGTATCACTCCATTGCTAAAAACAAAGACTTCAACACAGGGTGAAAAGAGGAGCTGCAGCAATGTGCAGTATGAAAAGTATGGTGGTTTTTTTTTTAAATTAAACCATGCAAACCTGTTCTGGTACAACCCCTAAATAAGATTTTGAACCTGAAAATGACCATAATACCACCTCTTTAAATAATTCAATGACTTTTATAAGTCTACAATGTAGGAATGATGTAGCAGTTTCTAAAACCATAAAGTGGCATCAATCCTTCAGTTATAAAATCACTAAATGTTGACATATATGTCTGCAAAACAGAATGATTGGAGAGACGATGCCTTTTTCTTTCATATCTATTTCATTCTGACTCTCTTGTTTTTCTTTGTATAGATGCTTCATGTGTTTGAAAAAGTTGCAGGATTCAAAGAGATTCGTGTTCTGGGATTTCGGTGGGTTGAATCAAGTTTTATTAGAGGTTTGGCACTATAATTGTGCTTTGTAATAATGACTGATTTTGACAAAACAACACAGTAAATAAGATAAGAGACTCAAAACATAAATTTCTTATACTTTTCCCCTGAAGTGACTTTTATTGAAGCATTTTATTGCTCAAGTCTCAAGAGAAACTATTACATTCCCCGAAATATCCTCTTTTGGGATATGACTCAGAAATTTCTGCCTTAGCAGACATCCATTACCAGCGAGGTCTGTCTGGGTTTCTGACATGATTTGTTGTGTTGATCAGCTCAGAGGACGTGTCTGTGCGTTACGCTGTGGTCTTTAATGGAGAAACAGAGCTCAGCAATGAACCTGAGAGTCTGGAGGATCTTGGCACAGAGACACACAAGGACGTAAACTCGCCTAAACTGAAGCACATCATCGTAAAGGCCTTAAAACAGGAGCCGTCACTACTACTGGACATACAGACACTAAGCTTTGAGGCTGGTAAGAATAATATTATACTCATATTTCACTGATTAAAATATTAGTTTAGAGGTCAGAATAGGATTTTAAAGCTGTATAAATGTTTTAACTCTTCCTTTTCAGTAACCACAGTTTATCCAGTTGCGGAACTCGGCGTTAACCCCATTGAAAGCGTTGCATCTGAGTATGACACCACACAGGCGGGCCCAGAGGGCAATACCCCCACAGTGCCAGTGATTGAAAACTCTTTGGAAGTTTCTACAATCAAAGCAGAAAGACACACTTTTGTGCCTTTCATCCCAAACATCTTCCCAGAAGCCACTTTTGCTGTCACAGATGAGACTCCTTTAATGGCAGCAGCAGAGGAGGACTCCACAGAAGATACTGCTGAGGAGCCTGGTGACATTATAACACCCGATACAAAACTCGAAACTATCACAGAGCAGGAAGAGGAACCAGAGCCCGAGGTGGAGGAGATACCACCGACTGAACATGATGACGGAGGTGAGGTGGAACCTGTAGAACATGTGACAGGCTACATCAGGCTGAATCTTGTTTTTAAAGCAGGATGTTGAAATTCAGACAGGAGATGAAAGTTTAACAATTTGAAGCTTTATTGATTAACCAACCATTAGATTGTGGTGTAAACTCCATTTAGAGCTACTGAGAGAAAACAGGAAGAACCTCGGGACAAACCCCATCTTAACCCACACTTCTCCATCAAGTCTCTGTTCCACTGATGGTGGGAAAGTGGTGGGAGGATGAGCTCATTGTTGTTATGGTCAGGATACACAAAATGCAGGAACAGCTGATGGGGTATATAAAAACACATCCCAAACATTACAAAACATCTCAAAGTAATTAGATTAAAGCAGGAAAACATAAAAGAGCCAGAGAGTAACCTATTTAAAGCGGAAATGGAGAATGAGATAGTAGATGGAAAACATGCTTTTCCTGTTTTGTGTATATCTACACATTATGCACCAACACTAATCCCAATTTTAATATTAACCTCAACCCTAAGAGTAACTTTAACTGGGTAATGCATGTTTGTCAGCTTCATTTTACACATGAAACTCCACTAGACTCAATAGTGACAATCAGCAGTGGACTGTCAAAAAAAAGAGTGACCTATTTCTTTTTGTCTTTTACCCACGCATAACTGCACAGAACACTCACCTCTCATAGGAAATGGAAATGGCAGTGCAATTAGACTTGGTGGTTTGGTTTTGCACATGGAGATGCTCCCTGCTGAAGCAATACATCATATTAGAACCCATTAACAAGCAGAGGCCTGCTGGTGGCTGAGTCATTACAAACTCATGCTGCGTAGCCTAATTTTGTTCAAACCTGGAAAACTTAATTTTAAAGTTTCCAAATACACCAGATGTGTCAGGCTGGTCAAGTTGAATTTTGGTGTAACATGTATAAAATGATGCTCAAGACATCTACTGTATTTTAAATAAATACTATATTTTTTATATATAAAAACAAGGAGTCTTAATATTAAGTATTTTAATATTTTATAATGAAGGTGAAATGAGTTAGATAAGAAGATCAATGCCACTCTCATGCCTGTGTGTTTAATATGGAGCTGTTAAGAAATCCACCTACTAGGTCCTCGAAAGCTACTAATTTTCCCAAAATAATTTTCCCATCTGTAATTTGTAGTAACAGTAATGTAAAAAGGGAGAGTTACGTGGTGTAACTGTGTAACTAGCAGAGATCCTAGTTGCCTTGCGACCTCACTGTTACGGCAAGACTTTGCAAAGTAACCGCACTCGGATATTGTTCACACAAATTGTTTTTTTTCCCCACATTCCTTTTTGTGTGTGGATGGGACAGATGAAGAGAGACAGGAGAAGTGGGGAGAGTAAGGGGATGACGTGTGGCAAAGAGGCCCGGGCTGGAAACAAACCCAACAACAAACAAGATTAAAACATGCTAATGATTGACCTTTAGAGGTCTAAAGAGATAGGAGTTATTTTGAACACTGGTGAGAGTCAGGCTAGCTGTTTGCCTCTGCTTCCTGTCTTCATGCTATGCTAGGATAATGGCTTCCTGACTCTGGCTCTATACTTATCTCTCAAACATGAGAGTGGTTTCAATCTTCTAATTTGACTATTGGAAAAATGTCTATCTATATTTTTAAAGAGAAACAACAGGTGGAACCGGTGTGTCAAGGGGTTAACATGGAATACATAGCACACTGGCTGCATTGGAGGTGGCTTTGTCCAACAGCAGCAACAGCAAAAAGCAGTCAAATCATCAAAGCAGCGAACTATAATGGGTACTGGTACCTATCAGATGAAACAGCATAAACATAAAAACTCTTTTCTGATATGTTTTATTTTAAAGAACTTGAATCAGCTGATGGGGCCCCTGAGGAACCTCCAGAGCAACAAAATGAAGATCTTCCTGAGGCAACTCCTGACTCCAAACCAGAAGAAGAAATTACTGAAACACCTCCTGAGGTTAACCTTGTGCTGCCAGAGTCTACATACCCCACGGTTACTGAGATATCTGTCAAGGAAGCTTCAGTCCCAGTCTCCAAATCATCATCTCATGAGGATGCTGTCCAAGGCATTGAACCAGACACAGATGTGGAGCCTTTGCCATCCCCCGCTGAGAGCGGCGAAGCCCTTGAGGACAGAGATGAAGCTAGTGGAGGGCACAGTGGAGTGACCCTGGTCTCAGCAGACCTGCCTCCTGAGAACTCAAACACTCAAGATGATGTAGGGTCAAGTCAGAATGGGATGGAGGTGGAAGTGACCGAACCTCTGGAAGAAGGGAGTGGTAGTGGATTCCCCTCAGAGTCTGACGAACGCCCATACGAATCCACGGCTGCGCCGGCCATGAGACAAGCCAGCACCCCTCTGATGACCGCAATGGATAAGAACAAAGAGTTAGTGGTTTTCTTTAGCTTGAGGGTCACTAACATGATGTTTTCTGATGACCTGTTCAACAAGAGCTCCCCAGAGTATAAATCACTGGAGAATACCTTTCTTGAGCTGGTAGGTACACAAGCTTTTGTGCTGGATATTATGTTTTTGCATGCTTCATTCTCATATTTGCTTTGGTAGTCCAAGCTGAAATGTGTGATGGAAGTACATTTGTGCAAAACGTACTGTTAAACTTTGGTTTTAATTTATACTTTAGTAAGAATAAAAATGTTTTAGAGTAGTCCCAGATTGGTGCTTAGTCTAAATTTTGTTGTCTTGCACAGTTGAGGATGCACTTCACACTAAGCCTTATCCTCTCTGCTGTTTTTTTCTAAATCTGAAATTTACAGTCACAAAATGTATATTTTTTCTTCAATAAATTATTTTTTTATAAAAACATTATAAAGTGTGACGTGGCGTTAAGCAATCGCCAAATTCTTGATCAAATCTGCAGTATGCTAATGCTTTAATTTCAGTTTAAAGAATTATTCTGTTTCACTCAGACACAGCACTCTAGGTCCAGAAACTCACCAAACCCTGGAGCTTCCAGTAAATCTGGGCTTGGGAGACAGACGACTTTAGCTTCCATACCGGTATTTTTTTTTCTTCCATATTGGAACTACATCTCCAATGCCTCAGAGAGAGCATATGACCTTTCTTAACTAACCTTTCCGAAATGCAGTATCTAACAATCTAAAAGCACCTAACATTTCTGAAACACTCAGCTTTAGTTTTCAGCTTTGCTTTTGTCCTTACATTAGACATTAGACCTTCATGCTGCAGCTGTTCATGTCCATTGGTTTTATATGCGAATCTGGTTCTAATATTGCTTGCTATGGTGTGTTTTGCCTTAATTTTTTAAATAGTTTTGGCTTTTTCAGGGACTGTTTAGATTCTTTTTGACTCATATTTCAGCAAGTTATTTTGTAAAATTTGTGTCTGAAAGGGGTTTGACCAATGACTGTGGACTATGAAAACAGACAGAAAGCAACGCAAATTTTTGCCTCATGTTATTAGCGCAAATTTGACCAATGGAGCGTTTTGAAGTCTATATTTTTTGGCCATAAAAAGCTAATGCACCAACAGTACAGATACTAGCTCCAGAGGTAGCTCAAGTAGCATCTGACTATGTGTGCGGTTGGTGCTGTCTTGTGAACTCACCAGGAACTCTGTTTCTTTCTGTTACTTTCCAACAGTCCTTGTCCTTTTCCCTCTCTGTGCATTTGTGAGGTAGCACTATTCATACTGGGATAAGTTTTTTTTTTTTTTCTCAGGTTGAAATTTTCAACTCGCACGGACGCCTGAGTTTGTGCCACCTCAGGTGAATTGGTGCCTATTGGTACCCACCCACGTTTTGCGATCGTGCGTTTAAAATTCGCCTCGCATTCTGTCTGGACACCCACTTAGGTAAGAATATTGATACCACTCTCATATCTATCCATTTAAAATGTAGCTTGAGCCAGCAGCCGGTTAAGTTAGCTTAGCATAAAGACTGTAAACAAGGTGCTCTGTTCGAAGGTAACAAAATCAATACTGCTAAAGCATCGCTGCTGGTTGCCAGGCCGAGAAACAGTTCAGCTCATAACTCCCAGTTAAATCACTAATTGTAGGGTTACCATACGTTCTCTTTTTCACGGACATGTCCTCGTTTTGGGTGTCTGGGATTCAGCTTTATTCCTTTCTACAGTGGGCATTCATTGTGTGCATTTTTTCCATTGCTTTGACCTTTTTCTGTAGGTCCTGCCTTCTTGCTGTACCGGGACTTTTTCTTGCCAACCATCACTTATCACAAGCTGCTGGTACTTTTTTCTTCCCGCTCCACCAGCTGAGAATGAGTAGGCAAAAGATGGGGTGCTTTTTATCCAAGCGTGTGCACAAAGTTTATAAAATACACTTTTCATTAACCTACCAATCACAGCCTGGATGGGGCGGGACATTAAAAAAAGGTTGACCTGGTGCTGCAGCAAACTGTTGAAATGTTGAACTCGTTCTGCATGAATGGTTTTGTTTAATGACAAGTTAGCAGTTAGCATTAACGCATTAGAGACTAAAAACAGTGTAGAGCAATTTTCTTAAATTAGATTTAATGAATGAGAATAACGTATCACAATGAAACTGCTGACTGGAGTTAATATTATACTGGTGCATGGTTTACCCCCACAACCCCTTACAAATAACCAATTACTTGAATCCCCAACCCCAACTTTCCACCCACTGCTGGTGTCCGTCTGCCTCCTGCCCCAACTGTCCTCAAAACCAAAATATGGTCACCCTAACTCATTGATTTTTTTAATCGTTAATTTGTATGGATTTATTAAATGAGAATAACTTGTTTTTAGTGAGCATTATATGCGCTGGTAAGCACTCTTTGTTGTATTTGGACAAAACGAGGTTGGTGGTGGCCCAAAGGTTAGAGAAGCGAGCTTGTGAGCGAGAGGTCGCCAGATAAAATCTGGGTGTGGTAAGTAAACCACACAGTGCTTGCCTTCCCTCATTTACCACCACTGAGGTGCCCTTAAGCAAGGCCCCTAACCCCAAAATCTCAAGAGGAGCTGCTTAGTGGCCAGCAGACCAGGCTGTGGTTGTACTGGTCAGCTTCCAGGTGTGAATGTGTAACAGTGTGAATGTGATCAGGGCCGTCCTGCAAAAGAGAGGCTTCCTCTCAGTGAAGCTCCCCTGAATAAAAAAAGGTTAAAAAAATAGCAAGGTGCGCTGTTTCCCCTTGTTTCAACCCTTTATGCTAAACTATGCTAACCGGCTGCTGGATTTAGCCTCATATTAAGTGGACAAACATGAGAGTGGGATCAGTCTTCTTATGTAACTCTTGGTGAGAAAGCAAATAAGCGTATTTCCTGAACTATTCCTTTAAAGAAAAACATTGTGAGCAAAACATCTGTCATTCCTTTGTACAGACAAGCTCTCTGGTGTGATAAACTAGAGAGATGCTGCTTGTTGAAGTTGCTCTGTATCATACTGTAGCATGCACTGATTATTGTTACCGGTTACATATTGTTTGAAGCCTTAAAGATAAACTTGCAGAGTGAATGAATGAATAAAAAAATGAATGCGGAACAGAATAATGTGATAATAATGTGTGAATTGGTAAACCTAATAGGAAAGTCATTCAGCTTAATGCATTTTTTATTGCTAAAACTGTATTGCTTTGTACGTGGTAGAGCACAATCTAGCCCAGGGTAGTCTGAATCATGAGACCTGGGTCTGTCTTAGTCATTGTAGGTTGTGACTTGTGGTAAGAAGCTTTAAGTAATTCTGGTCTGTCCCGGCACTACACACATTGTGCTAATAATGGTTCCAATCTGCTTAGTGCGACATCAGTCAGATTTGTGTGGACATCTGTATGCATGTTGCAGTAGTGTTCTGTGTTGGTTACCTGGTATTATAGACATACTATCTGTATTTCTTACTATTATACAAAACAATGAAATAAAATAGCTTCCAGATTGGGCGAGGTTATTTTGTTTTGGAGCATTTATGTATAAATGCACATACTTAGTTTTTTTTCTCTAAATAAGAGTTTTTGGCAGGAACCGCTGGCAAGCAGGCGAGGACTGTGTCTCTTTAAACCTGCACCTATTAGAGTACATCAAAGCAAGAAGCATCACTTGACATCCCTATTTAGTTTCAAAGCTTACCCTGAGGTTGATGGAAGGGACATATTTTTAGGCCTGCTCAGAGGTGCCCTGCACTCTGTGTTACGTAAAGGCCTCAGCCTCCAACTGAGGAGGTGCATTGATACAAATTGGATTGTGTGTTTGCAGCAATGCCAAGGAGCAGGGGGAATGTGAGGTACTGGGGCACGTGGGCTAAATAGTTAAGATTGTTATATTTGAAAAAGTTCTCAATCATTTTCAATTATTTATTACAGTAATATACAAGACTGTGAAAAGTATGGAAGGCCTCTCCGTTACTCCGTTTTCCCTTGATAACGGGATAATGTTCTTGTGATCTTACAATAACAAACAGTAGTTTAACACAGTGGTTTAATGATAATTTCAGTCAACGCTATGGTGTCATTGGTTAGCTCAGATGGTAGAGCACTGGATTCATACTCTTGGAGTTGTGGGTTTGATCCTCCCCAAAGATCAACTTTTTAAAATCTTTTTCAAAATCCTCTTCAACAAAGTTCTTATGAAGAGAGTGTCTCACATGCTCACAATAAAGCATGTGCTAGACTGTGTGAATCCCGGCGATAGGTCCACATCCATCAACCAATGGACTTTTCATTTCCCCATCATTCGCAGGTAGAGGAAATTCCTGCGCTTCTCAGTCAGGGGAATCCATTTAACGTGACACATTTCCTGATTTCCTTTCAAAACCATTGAAATAGCTGTCCGGAAATGTGTGATTGGATTCCCCTGAATCTCTTCATAACAACTTTGTTGGAGGGGATAATAAAAAGAAAAAGAAGGGAAAAAAAGGGCAAGAGCAAGGATCAAACACACAGTCCATGGATTACAAGCTCTACCAACTGAGTTAACCACACTGATAAATTGTCTGAAATTATCCTAAAGAAAGGCACCGGCTGACCCCTGTATTCAGCTATGGTTTGTTATCTTGTTATCCTGTTATCACGGGAAAACAGAGTAAAAAAACTATTTGAATGGATCGCCACTTAGGGCTTCCGTAGAAAAGTTTAGGCTTGATGATTCATATTTCATGATTTGTGAATTGGATCCGTTTGATTTTGTATTCAGTACAGAATTTTCTTTTATGTGTCACATTTTAGACTATTTTCATGGCAGAAATAGAAATATTTAACACTGTATCAGTGAATTCAAGATGAAGTAGTAGGGATACATGGACACAAATGACATACACAGATACATATTACAGACAAAAATCCAAAGCAATAATGAAAATAACACTCCATCTCCAATCTTTAATGGTTGCCCAAACCGTGGTTTCTGCAGTTCTCATCATTAATCAATGTAATTAGCTTCCTGGCAAAACTAATGTGGTCAGATGTTTGAGCTGGTAAGTATTTACCGTATACAGTCTATTGTCACTATTACATTAGGAATGTCAATATATCTTCCTTTAAATGGGCTATTTAGGCAAAGAAGGGACACACTGAGACAAATATTTCAAACTGGTCCACGCTGGTTTATAAATCACTGAAAAATAGCAGGGACAATAATGAAGAAATGTCAAATAATATACATTCTGCAGCCCATTTAAATGATTATGATGTAATGTTTTAGTGAATATTGGACCTCATTTGTGACACTCCCCATTTGGGTCTCATATATAAACATACATATATATGAACCATTAGCCTTCAGTGGCTTGCAGTTCCCTGTTTGCCTCTGCCACATGCCTCCATTACTCCTGTACCTACTGGTTTGTGAAGCAACCAATAAAATTGGACATGGAGGTTGGAATGACTTTATTTTATTTAACATTTTCACGGCAACCTAATTTTCCTTGTGACTTTTCTTTTCTTTTTTTTATTCTTTTTTTTTTTTTACATCAGTGACGGGATTTTTCATTAGGTTTTCCAAAACAAGAACCAGTAGATACATGTGTAACCTCAGAGAAGCATATGTGATTGTGTCAAAAATATTTATTATGGCTGTGTATGTGCCATGCTGTCTACATTTCTTTACAAAAGTCTAGTGTATATAGGTATAGAAATCTACAGTATCTCTATTGTTCCTTAGTACACAATACAGACTGCACTGAGGTTTGTTGTGAAAGAACCTTGACCTTGTGTGGAAGGCAGTAGAGCTGCATATAAGTTTCTAATCTGCAGTATAGTACATACTTGACATTCTGCATTGAGACAAATGGATGATCATACAGCAAGCTTTGTGTCCAGTTGTACTGCAAGCTGTTGCCCATTTGTTCAAAATGTTGGACCCTCTTATATTCCCATCTTTTCTCAGAGACTATTAGCTATAGGGAACTAGCCCTCAGTAAACTGTCTGCCAGTGATAAGTGAAGTAACCCGATCAGAGCAGAGCTCCTTAAGGCCTCTTATCTCCCCCTCGACAGCCAGGCCAGCTAAAGCATCGTAATCTCTGCCTCTCACACTGCTGCAGTTTGATGTTTGCCTCGTCTGTAGTGAACGTCAAGTGGCTGGAGGGAGAGCGGTTCAGATCAATGAACATTGATGCAGGTCCATTACTTGAGCAGGTTGACTTCCCCTCCCTGCCTAAATATCACCACCATCAACAGTCCATAGTTTTAATAGATTAGTTTATCAGTTATAAACTGCAAGTCTGAGTCTGTGGGAATATTTCTAAATAAAGCGATGTAGAAACTGGTAAAATATGAGGTCAAATGCTACGTACTGCCTTACAAAAGCAGGCAGCGCCTGCAGTATATAATGAAAAACCTTAATTTTATGCCTTTTTAGGCTGATTGAAAAGTTCTTAATTACCACCTATGTAGTTACTACGTTTTGGCTTTGTAGGGCAGTGTAGTGGGGATAATGCAATAATAATCACCCAACAATAAAGCATGCACATGTTACTGTTGAAAGCCATCAAACAAAAAATGTATTATAGATTTCTCTTGGACTTGAGATAGCTTTCACGTTATGCAAGTCTTTGCAAGTATCTGATCTTTTATCATGTGTTCTCAGGCTTTAGTGTGACTAGAATGATCATGTTCTGTGTTCTTATACTAATGCTCAAAACCCTACTTTTGTTCTGGATGTAATTACACAGTCAACGCAGTAATGGAAGGATTTCATGCTTGCATCAAAATTTAATTATGAACTATTCATAGCATTCACACTGTAAAATGTGACCTGAATCCTTCAAAATCAGCTGTGCTATGACAACCTCAGTCCTGTCATTGTGGAAGTAAAAACCACAGGTAAATGTGGGCTCTGTTGCCCCGGTCTTCCTCTCAGAAGGACACAGATCTTTACTGACGCTTGACACTGACATGAATTTGACATAATTTCATTTACCTAAACATCCAAGTGGAAATCTTTGTCCTCCTAGGATCAAGAATGATTGCCTTTTTACCCTGTAAGATTAAATCAATCTTGCTTGAGTGTGTGAACATGTAGTTTTTCTCACTGATCACTAACTGCACAGAAAACGAATCTTCTGAAAAATTAAAAGAGAATAGTTTAACAAACTGAATGAACTGACTAAATTAACTTTGCTTTCCTTTTCCTTCCCCCACAGCTTCTGCCATATCTACAATCCAATTTGACTGGATTTAAGCAGCTGGAAATTCTCAACTTCAGGAATGGCAGTGTTGTGGTAAACAGCAGGATGAAACTGGACAAACCGGTACCATATAACGTCACAGAAGCTGTTCACTGTGTGCTTGAAGACTTCTGCAGCGCAGCATCGAAACGGCTTGACATCGAAATTGACAGTCGCTCCTTGGAAGTAGAACCAGGTGAAATGTCCAGCTTGTACAGTATAATCACAGCTGTGTCCTAAAAAACACTCTACCAACTCCCCATCCCTGTAAAATAGCTTCAACCTAAAGCAAAAGTACAATCGCAATTGCTCTTGCGTGAGTGAAATATGGCAGTGGGATTACAGGATGCAGACGCCTCATGCATAAAAAATGAAATAAGATCCCTAATCTGTTCATGCAGTGACATGCTCATTCATGCTACAAAGTCAGAGTGCCTGTCCATAACACTCATCCTCACACTGTTGTCTTTTGCAATATATAATCGCATGCGTCGTTATGTTTGGAAGAGTTCATGACTGTGTGTGACCTCATTAAAGACACCTAACGGAAAGCACGAAAGAGCACACCTTTATTCGCATCAATCAAAACGCTCTTTAATTTCTCCTCTGAATCTGCGGACAGTGAGAGACACAGCATTAATGCTAATGAGCTATCACCTCTCTGGTCTGTATTTCTCCTACGCCTCTTCCCGCCTGCTTCTCCCCTCCTACCTTTCCTCTCCCCTCCTCTCCTCTCTGTTGGTTTCAGCTGACCAAGCAGACCCCTGTAAATTCCTGGCTTGCAATGAGTTTTCACGCTGCGTGGTGAACAGTTGGACCGAAGAGGCAGAGTGTCTGTGTGATCCGGGTTACAGCACCGTGGATGGCCTGCCTTGTCAGAGCACCTGCGCTGTGCAGCCAAACTACTGCCTGAATGGAGGCCAGTGTGAAATAATCCCAGGGCATGGAGCCACCTGCAGGTACACAAAAGCTTCAATCGCGAACATGACCTGAGCTTGTTTGAAGGTGTATTTACTGTATATTCAAAAGCATAGTCATTACTTAGAATTCATGTAAGTATTCTTAAAAAACAAATAAATCTCTTTTCTCATTGTGTTGCACCACAGTTTCAAGCGGGGATTGCGTTTAAAACCCTTCCTTGATGGTGCATTCAAAGAACATTCAACATTTGAAAGCTGACTGCCGAAAAACATTTCATTCTAAACTTTGTTATCACACCCAAAAGATAAACGTTAAGCAAATCTCAATGCTGTGGAGAGGATAATGTGTATCTATTAGTTTCTCGCAATTAAGCCTATTATTGCCTTACACCAGTACACCAGTAAGAATTAAACAGCGAGGTCAACTAGTCTGGCAATTGTATTGACTCAGCATATAGTCCCGGGAAATGACATCTGAATCTAACTAATGAAAACAGCTCCTTATGTGCTGATTCAATGTAATCTGTTTTTCCATTTCAGTTTAAATAGGCAGGCGACATGTGCATACCGTTCGGGAACCAATCAAAACTCAAAAGTAATAGTATGCATTAGTCAGACTAGCTTGCAACTGCAATGTTTATTTAAAATCATGATCTAAGGATCATCTTGCTTTCCTAGTTTGATATATTCCTGTTGAAACAGGATGTTGCAGCCAGACTTAATGCAGGGTTCATTCAGTTATTTAATTAGAAAAGTGGATTTATTTGAATTGGAATGATGAAAAACAAAATCTGTGATGATTTAATTGGCTGGCAATTTTATGTATATTTACGACTTCATCATGGAGTATTTATTAAAATTACACTATTTTCCAGAACGTAGAAGTAATAATTAAGTACATTTCATGGCAATTCTTTTGTGCCTGGCAATCAAAGGGAAAAGGGTTTCTTGTGGTGTATAGAGGGTTCTATTTACATCTATTTATATATATATTTTTTCTCTTTCAGATGTCCTGTAGGTAAATACTGGCACTACCATGGAGAACGCTGCAATGAGCTGGTGTCTATGCCAATAGACCCTCCCTTAATTGTAACCTGCCTCGTGGGAAGCCTCTGCCTTGTTTGTGCCATCATTGGCATCTTGATTTTCATCAACAAGAAATGTATAAACACCAGAAAGGCCGTGACATTGGTGTAAGTATGAGCTCTTTTGTTGTTCATATTTTGAACCATTTTTTTGTTGCAGGGTGTTATCTGCAATGATTTGTGATGTTTTGCATTGTGTTGTATTCACCACCTCATCTCCTTTACGTTGTAGGCACACACTTGCTCCCTATGCCTTTGAGCATACTTTGAGGGTGAACCCAGTGTTTGAGAATGATGATGGTGTCTTAACTCAAGTGTCCACATTGCCATGTCCTTCAAGTTCTGCTTCTTCCCAATCCCAACAGTCTGAACAAGAACATTATGCCTCTATTGAAAATATACACCTGAGTATTGAGGTACACTGTGCAGCGCAGCACATACGACTAAGCTGACTAAACTACTAAGATCAATCCTTCAGCCTCAGTGTCATAAACTAATATGCTCTAACAAACTCTCGGCAAATGCTTGTCTTGGTTTCCTTGCAGCAGATGTTGCTCTCATCCTCCATACGTTTCATCTTAGCTTTGTCCTTAGAACTTTATGTTCACCATCAATGTTGAAAAACTGTCTGATGTATCTTTTAGTATTGTTTTAAAGTGTTCAGTGTGGCTTTAATGGTAGTTAAATGTAGATCAAGGTCCTCTGATACCTTCAGGAGTTTCTCAAGGGCCTTGATCCACAGAATCAAACATAGTTTAGACTTTTTAAGGTACACACAATCCACAACTTTGAAGAGGATTTGTTTTAACAACTCTGCAGTAGCAGCTCTAGGTATAATCCCCTGTAGTGGAACCTTTTTTTCCTGGTTTTGGTATATTGTGTGCTTTTATTCACATTGGATCTGTGTTGAAGTGCATCTAGCTCTATAACATATTAATGAAGCACAGTGTAAACACTGAGCCTCTCTCTCTCTCTCTCTCTCTCTCCCCACAGATCCCCAGACAACTCTACACAACAAGATCAGAAAGGCTAGTCTCAGAAATGGTGGACTTCCATCACAGTATACCCCAAAATGAGGTGAGGGCCGCTGAGTAAAGTCTGACTGTTGATTTTGCAGATTTTAAAGATTCACAAAAATCCCCAAACCTCCTACCAGAAAAGCTTAAAGGAGAAAATATTGGGAGTTTTTTTGTGCTATGATGAGACATAATCAGAAAATGTACAAGAATAGTATCATCAGAGGCCGCACACTTTAGACATTCAATATGAATTATATACTGTATATGAATATGGATGATGGTCTGAGAGAGTTGCTGATATTCAATAACAATAACCTTTATGTCAAATATTTCACAGCTCTATGATGTGTGCAAAGGTAAAACATCTGTGCATGTGTTGTAGTCCTTGCTGATTATTCACTCACAAACCAAATCACTGTTGACCTACATTTACATGCAAATTATCAAATATTAACCTTAAAATGATTTCCATGTAGAAGAGTCTCAGTGCTGATCTTCTGCAATGTACTTGGAGCAATGAAAAAAATTCCCTTTCTTGAGTTTAAGTACATTTTTGATTGATTAATCCAAAGCAAATATCTTGTGCTGATGTAGTTACAAGGGTATTTGGTCATTTGTTGTATTATTGCATCTGAAGTGAGCTATTTTTCATTCATCCCTCTTGTCTCTTTCTAGACGTGGCGACTGCCAAATGAATACAGAACATGCTGTGTTTTAAGGGCATCAGATAACGAATGTTTTGAAGTAACCGTTCTTTGATGACACCTTGTTCGTTTGAGGAGCAGCAAACACGTTGACACAGTGCAAAACACGAGGTAGCCAAGACTGATGTTGCTGTTTGAGCTGTATATGGGATGCGTGGTACAGTAGACCAGTCAAATGGTGTTAAAGTGTTGAGAATAATTGTTCATAGTGATGAGAGTGTCTTGTTAGACAGAGAGCTATGGATATTAAGGTGGACTTAGGTTGTCTTAAAGTGAAACCTAATATTTATTTTATATATTGAAGGTAGGAACATTTCCTGTATACCCTTGGCAAAGGTTGTTGTTTCCTCACAATGAGGTATTTATTATTTACAAACTGATACACACGGTGTAGTTTGTTGTTTATTTCAATGCTTGACCATTGTTTTGTCTCAAAAAGAGAAGAATTGACTTGATGTTGACTTGGGTCATGACATATTGTTTATAGAAATATTGGCTGTGGAGCTGTATTTCCACCAGTCCTATTCAAAAGAGCTCTTCCCACTAATCATCGATTTGGTATTATAATAATTTTCTTTTTTTTTTTTTTTTTTTTTACACATTTTGCATTTCAAAGCAAAAAATAAAGTTTTTTGCATTAAAAGTATGTTTTGTTTGTCTTTGAATGCTCAAATATGGTTAGGTCTGTCAAATTGAGCCAGTTGTGAAGAAAAAACCAGAAAAATGTATCTGTGTGGGATGAAAGTACTTTTTAGTACTGGTTACTGATACATACTACCACTACTGTGTATTATCTTGTGTATTATCAAGAAAATATACTTAAGTACAAAACATTTGCAGTCAAATCAAGGTCAGGTTATGGTTCATTAATGTGTTTATTATATGTTGTTAGAATTATCAATTGATGTTTGTCGGTGACGTAAATACAGAAAAACCTAAAATATAAAGAAAACATCTACAAAAGAGAACGATAAATCTGTTTTAATCCAGTTGATCACTTACTGGGAGCGAGCCTCAGCTCAGTGATGACATCAGCAGCACATTAGCCTTTGTTGTTTAATTAATCTACACTCTAATCTTATTAGCTGCTGTTACCGTCCGGAGGTCAGATCCATTAACAGAACACTGACCACTAACAGCTATTTTACCAAGTCTGTGAATTGACTCATTCTCACTTAGTGACTTAGCAACAAAATGGATTTGAAAACATGGGGGCACACATTTATTTTCTACAGTAAACCAGTGCAAAGGCCAACATACAACCAGATCCAAGAGGGAACACTTGAAAGTGAATCATTAGTTACAACAGTCTACTTTATCTTTCAGTAAATAAGTGTGAGCTTAAATTAAGGTATTGCATGATTGTCCAATGAGATGACTGAAATCTTCCTGACCTAACCGTCAGAGAAGTCAAGTAATCAGCTTAATAAAATATCACATGAGCACACACACACCACACGCACAAAAGTTACATTATTGTCTGTAAAACCCACAAAACTGCAAACATGAAAACAGACTTCCACATTTCCCTCTTGAATAAGAAATAAACAACAATACAAAAAAAGTAAAAGTTGTGTATACGAAGCAAGAAAATAATGGATGGATACATTTTTGTAGTAAACCCATCACTTTCATCTTTCTTAAAAAGTACATCTTAGAACAAAAATACATTCTATGATTACATTTGGGATGTTATATTGTGTGCATGATTTTGACCCATTATTTCTCATGTGTCAAATTCGTAGTGGATGGAGGATTGAAATATAATAATTTTAATATTGAACTTGAAAACTGTATAACATAATTACATAAACATGTATAGAAATATAACTTGTTCGTTGTAGTTGTGATATTCTATCTATGATTACAGTCATCTTTCGGTACTTTCAACAAAACCGAGTAGGAGAAGCTTTTTCTTCCTTTTTAAGCCGAATGTTTGAAAATTTTAATATTTAATATTATATATAAATTATATAAACTTAATATTCAGATGACCATAAAGCATGACTTGAAAGACAATATTGCTATTAAAAGCACCTCTACATATTTTCTCTAAAAGTCTTAATCTTTTGTCCTTATTGCAGACCGTTAAGGTTTCAGGTTAAGAGGCTGTTACAGTTACTAGATCGGCTCTGCATCAGTTAAGACTTCCTCGGCGTAGTGCAGTGATATTGCAGTTTAAGGCCTCTCAGTGGGATATTCCATTCAAGCATAGATTGAGAGTAAGACTGAACATGAATGCTAACGCTACACCAATAAGGTGTTTCACTCCAAAATATAGATATAAAAAGTGAAAATAAACATTATTTAAAAAGGAGATGAGTGAGTGAGTGCCTACACTGAGCTTGTATAGGGAGCATCTTTCTCTGTGGTTACTCCTTTTCATCCCACAAACCACAGGTGCACTGTGCTGCCCTTGAACGTGCGTGTTTGTGTTTGAGAGTCTGTGTATCAGTGTCATGTTTCAGGACCAAACTCGGGGCTGTGCTCTTCTCTTGCTGCTGGGGTTCACTTGAGGAGACTCTGCAGCATGGCGGTGGCGTGCGTGGGGCGGGCCTGCTTGTTCTCAATGGCTTTCTTGAGGTACTGAATTCCATCACAGCGTTCCCAGATTTCTTCAAACTGCCTGGGCAGGATCTCAGCGCCCCTCTTCCTGGTCAGACCCGTCTCCTCTAGACTCAGTTCGCACATCTCCATGTCGTCTTTCCCTGAGTGGTGGACGTGTAGGGGCAGAAGTTTACTAAAAAGGACATGTACTTGTGCATATTGATCACAAACACTGGGTCATCCATTTACTAAACATTTACTCACTACACCTGCATATAAAGCAGGGCTAAAACAATTATTTGACTAATATCATCTCAAATGTAAAGGCTTTGACAATTTCTTTTGATTTATGTATCTTTATAAACTAATGTATATTTTAGGTTAGGGACAGTTTGTCAGACAAAACAAGTGATTGGAAGACTTCACCTACACCCACACCCACAGGCATTTATTTTTTTACTCTTTTCCGACATTTTATAGACTAAACCAGCGGTGTCTGAGGATTGGGAACCTCACAAGATGATTAAAGAGATACGAAAAGTATTTCTGTTACACAAAAGTATGTTTTATGTCAAATTATTTTCTCAAATTTTTCTGACTTTTGCATTTTTCTTGTCAATTACTAGATACTTTTCCAAAAATTCTTCAAATTAAACAATTTTAGGAGGGAAAGCCTTGTTTAGTTGTAACTGCTCGCAACTCTTTTCTGCACAATAGAAAAATCAATCACAGTTAAAAGTTCTCAGGGTAGTTCACAGGTAGATATTTCTTTGTTTTAAAAGGAGTCACGAGCCAAAAAGGTTAGGAACCACTGAACTAAACTGAATACTCCCACAAATAATGAGCATTTTAATCAATTATAAAAAATGATCATATGTTGCAGCCCTAATATAAAGCAATGCATTTATGGGATTCTTTGTTATCATATGATGCAAAAGCTGTTGACTCACCTGCAACCAACACAATAGGTTGCTTGTCTGGGTGAAGCTCCATCTGTCTGGCTATCCAGGGCCCATCGAAGTGGGCGTACCACCAGCCCTTCTTTTTATTCTGGGGGTCTTTGTACTGGTCGGCCGGCCGGATGAAAGGTATGCGGAAATATCGCTGCTGGCGGTTCATGGCCACTTCCTGATGCTGGGCTGTCATTGGAGGAGCGGGGTTCTGTTCCGCTGCAGTGGGATAGAGCGTGATCGTTAAAACATTTGATTTGTATTAAAAGTGGAGACTGTTATATCCGTTGTTAGGAGGAGTACAACAAAGCATCTGTCATTTGGTCTTAAAGAAATGTAACCCTATAATCATGTTTTTGCATGTGTTGCTAACACACTGAATGAGGCAGAAAACAAAGTATAAAGCTTTCAAAACATATGGGATCAAAGAGGACCCAGGAAATGCCCAAGTAAACATCACATGGAAAGGCCAGGTAAAGCAGCTTTTAGCCTCTTATGAAATGGCCTCGATAAGACCCGTGCTCCATCAGCAGAGGCCAAGAACAGGATCCAAATATAATACAAACAAAGCACAGCCAGTATGGCTTTCAGGAGCTATCATATCAAAAGAGAAAGGCGAGTAAATATAGTGAAAGTAGAAGAAACATTTTCCCATTCCCCATCAAACTTAATGTTTGTTTTTAAGATGAAAAAGAAGGAAAATGCAGAGCACCAGTAAGCTCTCAAGCAGCTAAATTACATGTATTTGTGTGTGTTTGTGGCACAGCCCCATGCTTGGTTGAGTTGAGAATGAAATGAACAAAGCAGTGGGCTGTCACACTAGCAGCCGCTGAACCTGACAAGGCATGGCTGGCAGTTATTTGCTAATTAGAACAAATATTTCTGACAGAGCCAGACGGAAGGTGGCTGCATTTTTAGGCCCTGGCGTTTCATCGGCTAATTGAATGTTAGGAAACACAGGCAGGTTATTTTTGTGCAGGTAATTAATTCCTGCCAATGACAGTGAGAGGCGAAAGTGGAGAAACGAAACACTTGTCACCTATAACTTAATGCGCCTGGGTTGAGGTATGCATGTGTGAAATGTTCATTATGTTTATTTGCCGTATTTGTGAATTTACAGATGTGTGCTCATATCTGTGAAGTATTAATGAAAGTAATTTAGAGCAAGAGGAGAAGATACAAGAAATAATATCTCTACTAACCATAGTCGGTGATAGATTTAGGAGCCCTCTGATCACTTCCATCATCATTACGTTTCTTGTTCTTGGACTTCCATGCATGATAGACCTTCAGACGACGGTGGAACTCCTCTCTGCAGGCTGCCAGCAGCTCAATGTCTGTCCACACAACAGGGCACCAGTGAGTAAACAAATGCAGCAAGCAAAGACTGGTGGCAACATGGTGAAATACTAAGTTAGACATGGAACATACAAGTGTGACTTCCATCCCAAGTATTATATCAGTGACAACAGATGACAATTAGCCTGTTCAGCTAAGCCTGGCTCATTTAGAGTTACTTACAGAGTCCTCAAATGTAGACTCAATCGTTTTAAAAACTCATTTGTGCCTTTCTTCACCATCCTTCTGATACAGACCCAAAAATAGTAAAATGTTTAAAAATGTCTGTTTGATGTTTGATTGATTAAATGTACGTAGCATCACAGAGCCCAAAAAGAATTTCCCATGGGGACAATGAAGTATATCGTATTGTATCGTATCGTACTTTGCTGTTGATTAATAAGCATTGCCTCAGCCAAATAAACAAATAAATTAAATTAAACAAAGTCTTCACTTTCATCCTGTATTGACTGGTATCAAGAGATTTTCTACAAGTTCAATTTCTGGAAGTAAAATGTGATAGTCCGAGCTTAAAATGAACAATTCCATATGCATCAAGAGAAATTGTATTTTCCCCCCATCTATTAAATGTGTTGAAGGGCTACTTGATTTTGCATTGAACTTTCATACATTTCTGTGACTTGAAAGAGACAGATCAAAAAAATCATCGGAATTGAAGCATCAGAAGCATCTAAACTGTATCTTGTATGGGGGTCAAGTTTCCAAAAGCATGGATGCTACATTTCCCATAATACCGGATTGCAGCTTTCAATAGAACCTTCCTACTTCGTAAATACGCATCCTGATGACTTTTGAAAGCTCCCTCAATTAAGCCAAATATTACTATTTTCACAAGCTGAGTAGTACTTCTTAGTGACGTGTAAACTGAACTTTATGTATAATATTGGTGGAGTGACCCCTTAATAATATATTTCTAATTGTTTGTAATTGTTTCAAACTTTCAACAAATATTTAAGACATGTCTATCATCAGGATGAAGTATAACAGTGGACAGCTTGAAATATACAACTGTTCTTTTCAGAAAACAGGATTTTCTGAACCACCTGTTTGCTCATTGATGGGTTAAAGCAATTGTTCTATGTTTTGAAAAACACGCTTATTGGCTTTCTTTTTGAGAGTTTGGTAAGAAGCTCGATACCACTCTCATGTTTATCCATTTGATATTAAGCTGGACTCAGAGAGCCCAGCAGAGATTAAACAACAAGATAACAAGATACGTGTTAATTAATGAGCTTGTAGCTGGTAGACGGATTTTCTTACCTTTAGACAGAGCCCTGTTTTCACTCTTTATGCTAAGCTAAGCTAACCGGCCGTTGGCTATAGCCTTATATTGAATGGACGGATATGAGAGTGGTATCAATCTTCCCATCTAACTCTCTGTGAAACCTATTTTAAAAGGATTGTAATATTGTTTATAATATCTGATGTTGTGGTGACTTGGAAGTCACTGTGAAGTGATGGATTGTGTATAAAGAAACTGGAAACAACCCAATATACCACTCTAATCAAGGCAAAATAGCTGAAAACATTTAGGGAATAAAGCAAAATATATTGGAGACAAGATGTGCAACATGTTTAACTTTGATGAGCATGTACTTAAACTTAAAACGTAAAGTATAATGAGGAGTTACGGGGCACACACTGTGTTTTCGTCCCTATGATGACACACATCATACAGTCCTTTTAGTGAACAAAAGTTTTGGCTTCAAACACAGATTTTTGGTATCACCACTAGTACCACCAAAGTACATTGGTTCCACAAATTAGCCAGATGTCCTTGGAATCCCACAGGGGATATCAGAGTCCCTAACACTGATCAGAGTACTGTATACAGTGTAAATTACAAAGGCATCGACAAGTGTGCCAGCAGAGGAGAGGGTTGGCTGGGAATGACTAGGAAGGGCAGAAGTCTGCCATCCTCCATAATGGTGATAATTTCCTCTCTCCACCACTAAAACGCATGAGATGAGCCGGAGCAGCTGTGGGAACATCCTCAGATCGGTCTTTTGAATTTTCAGGCAAGACATCTTATGTCCACACTGTGTACAGCTGCAGCTTCAGCTTTTTAAACATTCACTCTGGCTACTCAAAAAATGACGGAGAAAAAAATGCTACAGAGTGCAAATGGAAAACATGCATGGCGATGGTGCTACATGTTTTTGGTTAACAAAATTGCCAGAACATGAGCTGCTGCTGAATTATAAAATGTAAATACACTTTGAATGAAGGAGGGAAAAGAGCTGGATTATGCATTTCACAAAGAGCTCTTCCACCTTGATCTGTCTGTAAAGGCTGGGTCTGTGCACACACACACACACACACAGGTTAGTTGATCATGGTGGCATCAAGCTGAACTTGGGTGTGTTCGGGATTTCTCACCACAGGAAGTGTTGATGACATCTCGCAGTTCAGCATACTTCCACTTGCTGAGGTCATACTTCTTCACACCAGCAGCGGCTTTGGTTGCCTGTACCAGAGGACCCCTGTAGCACGGAACAGACGCACGTGGGTGTGTGTGACAGAGAAAAAAGACAAAGTAGGTGAGTGCAGACAGGTGAGAGTGTGACAAGGTGGGTGTAACAGAGATTAAGGCCTTGAGGTTTCTTATTTTTCAACACTGAATATGATTCAAGTTTCACAATCAGAGAGGTGTTAATTTCTAAAAGAACAGGAGAAACAGCACCTTACTTGAAAACAAAACCCAGCATTTACACAGTAAACAACTGGCAGTGAAGCAACATTTTATGTGTAATTATACTGGATGTCATCATTTCCAAGCATAGTGTTATGTAGAATTTCTATGACAGACAAAATTCATAAATATTAAAAGGAAAACAGGATTTATTAAGTATACCGCCTTGAGTGAGAAATTAAAACAGATGCCTCACTTCTTTCAAGCCCTCCTCATTGTCTCAGCCGATTAGATCCACATTATAGGCCGCTCAGCATGGGAGCTGAAGAGCAGTTTGTCCATATCCTTACAGCCCACTGTTTCAACTCCCCTTGAAATGATGCAAAGCTCTTCTAATGTTACAACTTGCCAGATGCCAGTTTACATCTGATGGCTTTTGTAGTGTTTTCCCCCTTGGCTTATTTTAACAGGAATGAGAGATGACGAAAAATAAAGGTGAATTAATGCACTTTAATATACAGTGAGGAAAATAAGTATTTGAACACCCTGCTATTTTGCAAGTTCTCCCACTTAGAAATCATGGAGGGGTCTGAAATTGTCATCATAGGTGCATGTCCACTGTGAGAGACATAATCTAAAAAAAAAAAAATCCTGAAATCACAATGTATGATTTTTTAACTATTTATTTGTATGATACAGCTGGCTAATACCCTAAAGGGTGCCCTCTTTGCTTGCGCGCTCCCGGGTACATTATCAAATCCGGGTTTGTTATTTTCCAAACTACAATGTAAACAAAAATGGCACATTCTCATATCCAACCTTCCATGGTCTAGTCAGACCCCTCCATGATTTCTAAGTGGGAGAACTTGCAAAATAGCAGGGTGTTCAAATACTTATTTTCCTCACTGTATAGATCAAACTGATGGCACAGAGTTTCAGCTACTTAAATGAATGCTGCAGCAAGTCTGAGCTCATGTCAGCCATGTCTCCAGCTTCCCTGCTGAGTTGAGGCTGCTAATTCAATAATACGAAGGATTTAGCTCCTCTATTTGGAATAGCTGCTAATATATCAGAGTAGAGTACTGATCTATGAATCATTAGCCAGATTAGATTACCATAACTATTTGTAATTCATACTGACTGGAACGATGAATGTGATGAACCAGGGCTGAGGCTTTACTTTTGCTGCTTCAAGGGGAAAAAAAAGGAAGCGAAGCAATGGCCAGGCTCTGCTTTTGGCAGTATAGTGAATAGGAAATGGATGGTTGTAAAAAGACGGAGGTGGTGCTCTAGCTACTTCGCCAGCAATCTTAGCCAGTGTGTATACTTCTACTGCACACATGCTTTCATCTGCTTAATCTCTGTGGGGGCACATGTAAGACACGTGGCCTGTGGAGCTTCTTTCTTGCAACAGAGCTGCTTTTGGTTTCCAGGGATCAGCTGACTCACAGGGATTGTAGGAGACATGCAACCCTGGATGCCTGAGTCGATATGGACAAGATTACAGGCTATTGGATCAAATGTAAATTTGTGCTCACTGGACTTGAAGATAAGGCCCATGCAGGCTTTGAGAGAACTTACCCTGGCTTTAAACACAAATTTGGGTTGTGGAAAATGTAGAGTTTAAATTAAAGATATGATAATCAAACCTATTGGGTTGTGAAACCAGTTTCAGTGGATGTAGCTAATGGTGACGAGGTAGCTGCACCAAGCAGAGGCGTCCTGATGTAACCTCTGTGGATGTGGATTTTCTTGCTGTCCAGCATTATCGAACATGGAAGGTTGGATATGAGAATGTGCCATTTTTGTTTACATTGTAGTTTGGAAAATAACAAACCCGGATTTGATAATGTACCCGGGAGCGCGCAAGCAAAGATGGCACCCTTTAGGGTATTAGCCAAATAGAAGACAGAAGGCTTTTGGGGAGGAGTGGGCTTAAAAGAGAGAGGAGCATCTACAGCTTGTTTCAGACAGAGGCTGAAATGAGGGCCTGCATGAAGGGCCAGTATAAGATATATAATATCTAATATTTATTTGAACTTTGACTCATGCAAAGCTACCATACAGGAGTCACACAACCACAATACAGGGCTGGAAATGCAGTATAATTGGTCACTCTTAAACACTGTTCAATGGCTGTGTCTGAAATTACTCCCTAATCACTGAATAGGATGTCTGAACTAATGAGTGTCTATTATATAGGGAATAGTGAATGAGTGGACAAGGGAGTGATTTCAAACACAGCTAGTGTGCAAGGTATGTGAAACTGCAGGTAACCATGGAAACTACGTATTATGTTCCTGTACATAACCTACAATGGCGTCACCTCACTCATGACACAAACATGTGGTTTCCAACCTACAAGAAGTAAAGGAAAACCCACAAGGAGTCCCAAGATATATCTGATAGCTCAACAGATGATTAAAAGGATAAACAAAACATGTATATTAAAGAAATAAATCTATTATTATGTTTATTTTTGTCTGTTTTTGTTTTATTCTTGTGAAATACTTTCACCTCTTCAGGCCTCTAAAAGTCCATTATGAGAAGTAAAAACTTTACTATGCAGGTCCACATTGAGGCCATAACATTACTTTGTGCTTTCTCATCCCGGTCCTTCTGGCACTTTTTGCAGGTATTTCTGCCTCCGGAGCTGTGGAGTCCGGATTAGATTTTGATTGCCCCGTTGTTCATGCTCAACAACCGCAACCACAATTATTATTTATAGTCTTGTTACTATTATTGTTATTGCTATCATTGTCATTATTAATATCAGTAATTTAATCAATATTATTAACACTGACATTACCATAATTTTAAATCTTTTTAAAAACTTTCATAGTGCTACTGTGTGTTCTCAATGAAGCATTATTTTCCTTTTTGTCAGTTATTTTCTCCTTGTCTTGCATACACTTGCACAAGACTAGTGTTGAGCTAACTCAACACTAGTGGATAAATATAGTACAATCCAGACTAACAACGAAAGGTGACAGAGCATTTGCTGTCAGTGGCCCGAGGAATGACCTGCCTGAGGAAATTAGGCTGGCGGGGTCTGCTTCTTCTTTTAAGTCTCTTTTAAAAACTTATTTTAACCAGAAAGCATATCCTGATTTTATCTGAGCGGCCAGTAATTTTAATATTGTTGCCTGTCATTCTGTATTTTACCCTTATGTATCTTAGTCCTCATTGTTCGTTTTCTTTGTATTTTATGTGTGCTTTGTTGTGAAGCACTTTGTACACTGTTTTGATATGTGCTATATAAATAAAGATTATTATTAATACAATTTATACCATTTGTACCATTATAAATATTGTAGATAGCATATTTTAATGGTATGAAAGAAAAGTGTGAGTTGCCAGGAAATAAATATTGGCTATCTTCACTAATAGCTAAGACTCTAAGCACCTGGTACTTAAAGGCAGCTGATATCATTAATAAGATTTAAGCTAGATGTACAGTAAAGTAGGTGAGTTAAGATGTAATGTGTCATAAAATATACATGTATCCAGAGGACACAAATACTGAACAAATTTAGAAAAACTACATTTTTGAGTCATGGGAAGCACATATTATAGTCAAGCTCATGAGCTTTTGCTGTCCACCAGCACTAAAAAGGACAGACAAGCTTTAACCACCACAGACTCATACGGCGCCAATTAAGATCACGGTAACAAAACAGTCACATACTGCACATTCTGATCGACCTCTCATTTACGATTAGGTGTCCCATCTTCAATTCTGAGTAACCTGTGATCACACATAATTATCCTCTAAATGGCTTATCTTGATGATTCATGCCACATACACATACTACATTTGACTGGTGATTTCTTAAAGTCAAAGGCGTTTTCTGTTGGCTTGGCATTGCTGATATTATCCTGCATCTATATTAGGTTCTGAGATATTTAGAACTATGACAGAGATTAAGACAGACAGTGAGGAGGTGAGTGACTGATTACTGTTGGTGTTAGCTACACAGGGCAGTAATAGAAACCTAAGCTGATATCTTACATGGCTCTGGCTGAGGATGAAGAGATAGGAAGATCTGAAAAAGACTCATCACTGAGAGAAACACAGCAACAGGAAATATGCAGTTACACATGCATGCTGAGGTTATTGTTCACACTGCTTATTCACTGTGCACTGCATAGTATACTGCACAAAAGCCATATATAATGGAAAGGTGTGCATTGCAGTCACATATACAATACCTGCGCAGGCTTGCATCCAACTGCCCCTCCTCAGTGATGAGCTCCGCTTCATTTTGAGCAATTCTCATGGCTAACTCCCTGTCTCTTCTCTCCTGCTCCAGCATGGTGGCATGCTGGACCTGCTCCTCACGCTTCAGAGCCAGCTCAAACTCCAGCTCTGCCTGTAAACACAAACACACAACACTTCATAAATAATCTACATAAACCTAGCTCTTGTCCAAATACTAAGGCTGCCCTTTGTGCCAGACAATCTGCTGTGTGCCCAAGCCCGATTAGACCCATTAATCCAGATTGAAGGGCTGCTAATAAAGCTTTCAATTCATTTGTCTAGACACAGACAACAGAAATACATTCAACATCAATCAGTAGGGAAACTGTTTATAGACTTGACCCAGATTCATATATATATATACACACACACACACACACACACACACATCCAGGTTTGCCTGTTGATATGGTTGTCATGATAAATTCTGTACTATATCATGTACATTTACATGGTATACATGGTGTACAGCTTCAGTCAGTCAGTCGGACAGGCAGGCAAACAGTTACAGAAGTTGCAGAATTGTTCATGTTCACAAATATTCATTACACTATTGTGAATGATATCGAAACATATCGAAAGTCTTCAACTGAGTTGTGCAGAGTGTCAACTGCAGAGTTGAGGACATTTTAAAGGGAGCAGGATACAATGCTATATTAACCTTTGACACAGCAGAAAATAGCAAAGAAATCACAAGTCACAGCAGACACCCAAAAAAGTGTACTGCTGCAGCTTTCAGAGCAGTGGGTAAACAAACTTTGTTGAGAGCCTCCTGAGACATGTGGCTTATGACAGCCTGGTGTCAACGGTCTCGCAACCAGAAAGAAAAAAAATGACTGGTCTTGGGTGAATAAAAAAGGGCGTTAGATGTACAGAAGGTGGGATGTATGTGTAACAGATGGACGAAGTGATGGTTAGGAAAGGTGACACATAATAGCAAAACAGAGGAGGAGCAGGTGTATGTAGTGATCAGGCCAGAGGAGAAAAGTGAAGTGAAAGAAATAGCAATGAAACTAAAAAGTGAGACATTTAAATGTGAGAGAAAGAGACGGATAACGGGGACAAAGTGTAGATGAGAGTAATAAAACACAGGAGAGCACACAGAAGGATAAAGTAGAGAGAGAAACTCGGCAAGAAGTGGAATGATCAATCAGGACCCTGTGGACAACCCTCTGGGAATCTGACCAATGTCATGACACAACTGTTGCTGTGGGAGACCAAAGAGCTAATGGATGTTTCACTCAGAGGGGAGAGCAGGCAGACACTGAGCCATACCGGTGGTTTTTTTTTTACCCTGCCAATTAAATACAACACACATACTTTACACTACATCCTCGGAAGCCTTGGGATTCATTTGTAAGGTCAGCCTCGTATTGTACGAAAATCAACCTCAAGAGACATGAAATTAGTTGTTACTGGTATGCTGCTTAAAGTAGGGACTGTTTTGAAAGCACTCTCGTGGTTTAAAATGTAAAACGTACAGTCAGCGTTTGCTCATTGTATGACCCCTAGCTTCTAAATGTAATGCTTTTCAGCAAATTATTTTGAGTCTCACATGTCGGAGCCTCCTTTAAAGCCCCACTCCAACTGCTTTGTTTGTTGCCATTTAGTCTGCAACAAATGGTTATATTTTTTTTCACTGTCAGTTAACATGCAGATTATTTTCTCGAATAATCAAAATCAATTAACCTTTTGATTTATAAAAAGAAAATGCACATCAAACAACTGATGAGTTGTATGTGGGTTCAACAGTGTCCAAAACCTAAAGAGATTCAGACAAAACAAGCAAGTGTTCTAGAAGCTGGAGAAAGGGAAATGTTTTTCAAACCATTAAATCAATTTTCAAAATTGTTACAGATTACCCTTCTATTGATTTACTAATCCATTATTGACTAGTTGTTTTAGCTTAATGGCCATTATGTACACAATCACAAACTCTACAAAACACTTTGACATAAATATTTCATAAATTGACTGACTTATTTCCAATCCAGTCCCTATCCACTTAAAATAGGTTTCTGCTGTAAACTTAGTACATCGTTCAGTTTATTTTATGGGTTTAACCTGGAAATAGGGGGAGAAACCATAATAATTTAATGACAGTGTTCAGTTTTCACATTATACTCTACAAATTGACCGTGTGAAGATCCTGCTCAGTCTAGGAAACCATCTTGCTTAAATGTGATTATAATGGCAGGGTATGAGCACTGCAGGGGTATAGGGGTCAGTTACCTCACTGCGTGTAAACATGAAGCTCAGAAAGAGACTGCAGGGAGCCATGAGTTCATGAACATGTGCACCTAAAATAAATTAAATCTAACACCAGGAAAAAGTTTAAAAAGATGTATAAGAGTACACAACTTAATATTTAAACTAATATATGGCCGGTTTCATTGATTTAGAGTAGAAGTAAAAATGCAGGTGCTGGTCATGTATGCAGGTAAACAGCTCATGTGGAGAGCAAAAGAGGCAGAAAGCATTGGCCATAAGCTTTCTAATAATCTGAGAACCCTACAGGTGCTGGTCATATAATTAGAATATCATCAAAAAGTTGATTTATTTCAGTAATTCCATTCAAAAAGTGAAACTTGCATAATGTATAGATTCATTCCACACAGACTGATATATTTCAAGTGTTCATTCCTTTTAATTTTGATGATTATAAATGACAACTAATGAAAATCCCAAAATCAGTATCTCAGAAAATTTGAATATTGTGAAAAGGTTCAATATTGAAGACACCTGGTGCCACACTCTAATCAGCCAATTAACTCAAAACACCTGCAAAGGCCTTTAAATGGTCTCTCAGTCTAGTTCTGTAGGCTACACAATTATGGGGAAGACTGCTGACTTGACAGCTGTCCAAAAGACGACCATTGACACCTTGCACAAGGAGGGCAAGACACAAAAGGTCATTGCTAAAGAGGCTGGCTGTTCACAGAGCTCTGTGTCCAAGTACATTAATAGCGAGGCGAAGGGAAGGAAAAGATGTGGTAGAAAAAAGTGTACAAGCAATAGGGATAACCACACCCTGGAGAGGATTGTGAAACAAAAGCCATTCAAAAATGTGGAGATTCACAAAGAGTGGACTGCAGCTGGAGTCAATGCTTCAAGAACCACCACGCACAGACGTATGCAAGACATGGGTTTCAGCTGTCGCATTCCTTGTGTCAAGCCACTCTTGAACAAGACACAGCGACAAGGACTGGACTGCTACTGAGTGGTCCAAAGTTATGTTCTCTAATGAAAGAAAATTTTGCATTTCCTTTGGAAATCAAGGTCCCAGAGTCTGGAGGAAGAGAGGAGAGGCACAGAATCCACGTTGCTTGAAGTCCAGTGTAAAGTTTCCACAGTCAGTGATGGTTTGGGGTGTCATGTCATCTGCTGGTGTTGGTCCACTGTGTTTTCTGAGGTCCAAGGTCAACACAGCCGTCTACCAGGAAGTTTTAGAGCACTTCATGCTTCCTGCTGCTGACCAACTTTATGGATATTTCATTTTCCTACAGGACTTGGCACCTGCACACAGTGCCAAAGCTACCAGTACCTGGTTTAAGGACCATGGTATCCCTGTTCTTAATTGGCCAGCAAACTCGCCTGACCTTAACCCTATGGAAAATCTAAGGTGTATTGTGAAGAGGAAGATGCAATACGCCAGACCCAACAATGCAGAAGAGCTGGAGGCCACTATCAGAGCAACCTGGGCTCTCATAACACCTGAGCAGTGCCACAGACTGATCGACTCCATGCCACGCAGCATTGCTGCAGTAATTCAGGCAAAAGGAGCCCCAACTAAGTATTGAGTGCTGTACATGCTCATACTTTTCATGTTCATACTTTTCAGTTGGCCAACATTTCTAAAAATCCTTTTTTTGTATTGGTCTTCAGTAATATTCAAATTTTCAGAGATACTGAAATTTGGGATTTTCATTAGTTGTCAGTTTTAATCATCACAATTAAATGAAATAAACATTTGAAATATATCAGTCTGTGTGTAATGAATGAATATAATATCCAAGTTTCACTTTTTGAATGGAATTACTGAAATACATCACCTTTTTGATGATATTCTAATTATATGACCAGCACCTGTATAACCTTTGAGGGGGGTACAAACCTGTATTACTTTCTCTTCCTCCTCTCTCTTTTTTCTATCCTCCTCCTCCTGCTTCCTCTTTAGCTCCATCTCTGCTTTCCTAAAATGTTTGAGGAAAAAAAAATCTTTACAGAGAGAACACAAAACTTATAGTTTCAAACATTTATCATTTATTAACATTTCTACTGATATTCTCCCCCCCGCCCTCACTTACAGTCTTCTGTCCTCTTCCTCCTGTTTGCGTCGTTGTTCTTCCTTCTCCCTCCCCTTCCTCTCTTTCTCCATCTCCTCCTCGATGCATTTCAGCCTCTCGCTCTCTTCCTCCTCCTGCTTCTTCTTTTGCATTGAAGAGAGCAGCTGCTCTGAGCGTTTCACCAGCCCCTGGTACTCTATGTCTATCTCTTTCCAGGTCATCACTGTGGCCTAGAGGTCAAAGGAAAGAAGAGAATGGCAGGTCATGTTCACAAAATGATGAAACACTTTTCATTTCTATATCTAATTGTTCAATTAATAATTTTCAGTCTTAAGCATCAGTGGAGTTCAAAGCCATAGGGTTTGAACTCCAATACTACAAGGTGTTTATTGATAATAAAAATTAAGGAGATTCCCTCAGGATGGTTAACATGCTATTGTGAATTTGTCTGAATAAAACTTTGCCCTGTGCCAAATTTCAATCAGGGGAAGGGAACATTTGAGAAGCAACACCGAGGGCACTTATACCCTGACTTGGCAAACACACAACTGTTACCATGGCACACTCTTTCCATGTGGCGACAAGGGAAGACACTGACTGACAGACACTGTGCCTGTCACTTACACACCACAGCGCTCAGTTTCCCACTTTACTTGTCAGACAATAAGTAGGGGGAGAGGAGGTCACCGTATTGTGAAGGTTTATTAGAGGCAGTCTCAGTGACACAGGGAGGGAAGATGACAAGGTCTTGTCCCCAATGTATAGCGGTCTGAATGACAACCATTGGCATCTCATGCATTATTCACTCAGAGACACCATGCCAGGAGCAATTTCTAAGCACTCAGAACGCCATAAGTGTTGACAGTGGGGCTGCTAAAAGGCTAACAGAGGAAAATAGGGGAAGCGGTGAGGCTGATTGGGGTAGAGGGGATTGAAAGGGTCAGGAGTCACAGGTGCATCAGCTTTAATCAGGAAACCTCAAAGAACTTATGAGCACTCTAATCATACCTGTTGATAGCATACACTACTGGGGAATTCAGGGTCTGGATGCGTTTGTGGTGATTTGCTGTACCTACAGGGTCCAATAAGACAGGCGCTTATTGCACAGGGAGAGCTGGGATTTCACTAAACAAGTTTGATAATTTAGCAAAGCAGCCTCACTAAATTATATTATTGGAGAGGATTTGTTCTTCACCCAGCTCTTCTTTTTATCCTGAGGTGATTGAAAATATAGATTCTGAGAGAAGGAATGAGAAAACGGCACAGCACACTTGTGAAAGGGCATAGTGTACAACAGGAGAAGACTGGTTGTGCCGGGGAGTTGCACATGTGAATGTAGAGAACCATATATGTGAGAGGCAGTCATGCTTAAAACAAGGTATGTGCTCTGGAAAATGTTCCCTGGATGAGCACGTATAAAAGAAGAACAACGTGTTTGCTGTACACCCTTTTACTCACGCTGTATCAGGCTCAAAGCACCTGAAAAACTGTTGACATGAACAGCTTTAAAATCACCAGAGCAATAATCCTCGGGCTTTATGAAAGAGGTCATTGTCTCACCTTTATCTTTGCTAACAGAGCATCTATAGCGGTGGCCAGCTCCTGAACCTGTTTGGTCATCTCCTGCTTGCCCTCCTTCAGCCCGTTCACCACCTCGTTGAACCTCTCCATGTGTTTCTTCAGGTTTCGAACCTTCACCATACCATCAATGCTATGAGAAAGGTGAAAAATGCAAACATGTCACAAATTAGAGAGTACTATGAAGAGTTCCATTTAAATGGCCACTGCTTAAAAAAGGTAACAAACTTATAAAAGAAGTGATCAAGTGCAACTGAAGCATTGGTTGAAGTCACCTGTGAAATAAGCTTCATTTTCCAAGCTGTAAATCATGTGTCCTTGTGTTAATGATATAGTTATATAGAGAGAGTTATATATAGTTGTATAGTATGTAACATTAAAGCATGTTTGAGGGCTTATCTTGACCTCAGGATAAACATAAATTATTTCAATCAAACATGATTTGGGACGACAAACTAACTCCACTCCATCGTAAAAAAATCGCACTTGACTGTTGTAGTTGGGTTATAGTGGCTAGAAGAGCAATTTCATGGGTCAGAGGTGCGTGTTTGGATCTCTCAGTTGGCGAAAACTTTGTTTATAATTCAAACAGAGCGTGGTTGTCTTCTGATTTATTCATTTCCCCCTCATCTTCCACCTCCTGACCTCATTTACAGCTTTTTTTGCCAAGTCATGCCCGCTATCGAGTGTTGTGACTTTGAAATGTATGAAGTCCCTACAAAGACCAAAATGTTTTTTTAAAGACACATTACATACCTTTTTCCCTTTCTTAGTTTTCACCAAAAACAGATATATTACTGTTAGGAATAACACCCTTTCATATTTGACCAGATATGTGTATGCTGGTATAAAGTATTTCCTCATGCATCCATACATATACTGTCACAATCAAAATCTGAAAACCCATCATCTGGATGGCTGCTTTCACCAGTGCCATTTTTCCAAATACAACCCAATATAGCGAAACATGCAGTATTTCCCAAAACAGTACAGTGGGGACATCATGACTTTCTAGATTGATTTGAACTCCTAAATTCCCAATATGGGAAAGTCATCAAAACCCACCAAGCGTGAATCCCTTTTAATAAAAACATACAGGTTAAAAGAAAAAAATAGGAGGGCTAACAGACAAACAGAAAGATGTTAAAATAATGTATGTGTGTAAGTCTGTGTGAGTCTGTGTGTGTATATTGGGTACAAGAACTAGCATGAGACTCACCGTGGCTTATGCTTCCTCTTACACAACCACATCCGGACAGTTTTCTGAATCTTAATGCAGGCTAAAGCTCTGTAACTCATCTTGTTCCTAACTGTTGAAGATGGGGATGAAAAAGAACAGGATTCAAACAAAAATGTATGAAAATTCTTATAGCAGAGGCCTAAGGGTTAAGGTGCTGACCATGAACCGCCATGTCCCCAGTTTACAGTTACAGGACCTTTGTTGCTTGTCGATCCCCATCTCTCTACTATGTCTCTCTATTAAAGGCATAAAGATGCCCAAAAATACTTAAAAGTAGAGACACATATGCATCTGCACAACTTCTACATTTGAAATCACTGCAGTTCTCAGCTCTTACAAATAGATCTGGAATGGCCTCTTTAGATTCAAATATCATAAAAAACATTATAGTAAAACTTCATTTTTAAAGATAAATATCAGAAAGGCATAATATAGCTATGTATAAACTGCTATAATGGGTACTACTGATCAGGCATGCACAAAAACAAATGCAGGTGCAGGTGAAATAAATGACCAGAAACACATTTCCTCAGGTCACTTATTCAAGAAATGTGTCGTCAAGCAGAGGCAGTGTTCTGTTATAACTTTAATGTAATTTCATATGATGCTTTTGCAGAAATAAGTAGAAGTCAGCCTGCACTTTGCTATAAGGTGTAAATCAATAACTTGGCACAGAGTGTAATGGTTCAAAGAAATGCTTCTAGAGTACTATTCCATACGGCTAGAGGCTGCTGCTTTCAATATTCAGAATGAATGGAAAAGTAAAATGTGATTTAATACAGCTATCAGCGCTGTATAATAAACCATGAGGAAATGACAAAGCATCTTACAGTCAACCACTTGAAAGTGATGTGGCTGATTTTCTAATATGGGGGCATATTGGAGACTTTTTTCAGAAATGGTTTTATTACTAGTTTCGCCTCTCTATTAGAAACGACTCACTCAGGCCATTGTGTCATATTGCAGTATGGTGACAGGCATACAAATACTGCATCGGGCTGCATATTGTCTAAATGTTCACACACAGAAATTGAAGTTAAATCATGACTTTATACGCAGGGTCTCTGTCTGAAACAGACATAACCCAGGCAAAGGCAATGGTAAATAATGATTACATATTTTCTTCAATGTCCAGACTAAGTGTGTTAAATTACTACTTAGACTAATGTTTGAAAAATAATTCCCATTACAGAAATGACAAAACAGAAAGATAATGTAAATAATTACTAATCTATATAATTCCTATCTGTATTGAGGCTGCTTGAGATACACATCAAAAGTTCTGTTGTTCATAACCCACGTTTGATGACAGACAAGCTGCACCACTGGACCTTCTTCCAGCGGCTGCACACCAACCACGTGTTGACTTTCTTAAGCAGCTCTGCGAGGTGGTCCGGATCAGACTTCATAATCTGGTCAAACTCAGCAAACTGATGCATGCACACAGACACAAAAACACAAATTGTGTTTGGTGATCCTTGGCATATTGAAGGCATATTTATGTTCTGCGTAATGACCTGCAAACCTTAATGGTTAATCTGTTGACTTTTCTGTACCTTTCCAGGGCGGAAGAACACTCTGGTCAATCCAAACTTGAAGTCACTGTCATTTAGCCCCAGAGCTTTGAATAATGCCTACAGAGGAACAAAGTCTCAGCAACATTGCATATATGGTAAGAACGCTTATGCTAGTAAATCAGTTCCCAAATGGGTCAGTGTTGCTATAGGCTTTTTTTACACAACTACTTAAGCTTTGTTTTAAACAGACTAGCTAATTATATAAACCCAGTAACAGTACATTCTGTATTAATCCAGTTAAGGAGAAAACTATTTAATTCATATAATCCCACCTTGCAGAAGAGTCGTGGATTCAGGCGTGTGAGCTTGTCAGGCATATACTGTTTATACATGTTGTAGAGCTCATGGAAGGGGGCCCTGGAGGGGAAGCCCCCCTGCATCAGGTCCAACACTGACACCATTCCTAATCAACAGAAAAATGGACCTGACATTTAAAGCACTATTAAAAAGAAACAGAATTGCCTGAGGAATTGCAGTATACTGTAAAATGTGCACTACTGATCGTCTACCAAATAAACATTATGAACTTGAACTCCAAGCAAGCTGAAAACTGTTCACATACAGCATGCACTATTCTGCTTAATCCCCGACAAGCACAATGTCAATGTCTATCTCTATATCAATATAGGATAGGAAAAACTGCACTGAAAAGTAGTGTAGTCAAATGCCTGACAAGCTTTTTCCAGTCGCTACAGTTTAACATAATTTAACCTTTGTGGGAAGCAGTTGGAAGAATGTAATATTTACATGTTTTGCATTCTTTAAAAACTGGAGACCTTTATTTTTGAAGAAAGGTCCAATATTCAATGCCAGTTCTGGACATATGTGTAAATTGCTCAACTAACAGTAGAGCTACATTGGGTGCATCCTTATATATATTCACTCATCCTAATTAAATTATAAATTATGAATATAAAAACTTTTTTTATTCTATAGTACATATTGTACACACTGTTTTTGGTCCTACCTGAACACTGCAGCTGTGAGAGAATCAGAGCTCCTTCAAACTGGTGGCTGACCATCTTAAGGTTGGGTTTTACACAGCGGATAAAACTTGAGCCCTATGACACAAAGATTAATCAGGAAAACCCAGTGCAGTACTACAGTCTTTACCTGCCATCTATATAATTGGCATCTGAAGCAGTAATAAGTTGCTCCAGTACATACTGTATATTGTAAAGGGACATTTATTTCATGCTGATTTTGAGCAGAAAGCACAAACCTTTTCTAGAAAATACAGAATGAATCTGACGCATAACTGACATATTACTCACAGTACTCCGAAGCTTTTCTAGTAGCAGGTTAAGTTGGGTCTGTGTGTACAAGCAGACAAAAGGAAATGTTTAATAATTTGATTTTAATGTTCATGATGAAGCTAGCCCCCGTGACCCTGTACACAGGATAGGCGGTTGATGATGGATGGATGGATGGGTGGATGTAGCCCAGGCAGACATTTCAAATGAGGCAGCAGTGACACACATCCTCATCACAGGTAAGGGAAGGGAGCAACCAGAGATAACAGTCATGCAAGGACAAAGGCAACGCTAGGAAAATTTAGTTGCATAGCACCTGGAAAAAACAAGGCAATTCTACTCCGACGCATTAGGGTCATTGTAGATAAAAAAAATTACCAAGGCCGTAAATTTGCAAGAAAAAAACGTGGAAAAATAGTGTCTGCTGTCATTACTAACACAAGACAAGAGTCAGTACAGACATAACAGAAGAGGTGGAGCTTTCAGACAGTTAGGCAGATATAAGGGACTTCAACAAAGCCACTTTAAAGCATGTGTCACATCTTAGACATTTATAAATGTCTGCAGTTCTTTCCCATTTTTTTATGCTTTTGGCCTTCGAACAGAAGGAAATATCTCATAATACTGGTTAGTGAAAGTAGCTTAGATGTGACAGCTGTTGTTATTAACATTTGCATACCCTGCTTTTAACTGAGTAGACTACAGAGCCTTTAATAACACAAGCACATCTGAAGTTTTGTTCTCGTAAATTTATTACTTTAATCTCATTGAATATTCAAGTTTTTTCCTCCTAAATGTACCTCTTTAATCTCAGAGTTTTTTCTTCCCTATCCCTCTGTAATTTATTTTTAACCTACTATAGCCCTAATACGCTGTCAAACAATTCAGAGTGCTTTCCATTAGATAATCTCTACAAACATCTCTGTTTTTTAGTCCAAGTTGTAACTAAACCATCACGTCTGAGCTGGATTTGGTTGTATGCAGGTAAACAGCTCATGTGGAGAGCAAAAGAGGCAGAAAGCATTGGCCATAAGCTTTCTAATAATCTCAGAACCCTACAGGTGCTGGTCATATAATTATGTTCATTCCTTTTAATTTTGATGATTATAAATGACAACTAATGAAAACCCCAAAATCAGTATCTCAGAAAATTAGAATATTGTAAAAAAAGTTAAATATTGAAGACAGCTGGTGCCACACTCTAATCAGCCAATTAACTCAAAACACCTGCAAAGGCCTTTAAATGGTCTCTCAGTCTAGTTCTGTAGGCTACACAATCATGGGGAAGACTGCTGACATGACAGGTGTCCAAAAGACGACCAATGACACCTTGCACAAGGAGGGCAAGACACAAAAGGTCATTGCTAAAGAGGCTGGCTGTTCACAGAGCTCTGTGTCCAAGCACATTAATAGAGAGGCGAAGGGAAGGAAAAGATGTGGTAGAAAAAAGTGTGCAAGCAATAGGGATAACCGCACCCTGGAGAGGATTGTGAAACAAAAGCCATTCAAAAATGTGGGGGAGATTCACAAAGAGTGGACTGCAGCTGGAGTCAGTGCTTCAAGAACCACCACGCACAGACGTATGCAAGACATGGGTTTCAGCTGTCGCATTCCTTGTGTCAAGCCACTCTTCAACGAGACACAGCGTCAGAAGCGTCTCGCCTACGCTAAAGACAAAAAGGATCGGACTGCTGCTGAGTGGTCCAAAGTTATGTTCTCTAATGAAAGTAAATTTTGCATTTCCTTTGGAAATCAAGGTCCCAGAGTCTGAAGGTAGAGAGGAGAGGCACAGAATCCACGTTGCTTGAAGTCCAGTGTAAAGTTGCCACAGTCAGTGATGGCCATCACTCAGCCATGTCATCTGCTGGTGTTGATCCACTGTATTTTCTGAGGTCCAAGGTCAACGCAGCCGTCTACCAGGAAGTTTTAGAGCACTTCATGCTTCCTGCTGCTGGCCAACTTTATGGAGATGCAGATTTCATTTTCCAACAGGACTTGGCACCTGCACACAGTGACAAAGCTACCAGTACCTGGTTTAAGGACCATGGTATCCCTGTTCTTAATTGGCCAGCAAACTCGCCTGACCTTAACCCTATAGAAAATCTAAGGGGTATTGTGAAGAGGAAGATGCGATACGCCAGACCCAACAATGCAGAAGAGCTGAAGGCCACTATCAGAGCAACCTGGGCTCTGATAACACCTGAGCAGTGCCACAGACTGATCGACTCCATGCCACGCCGCATTGCTGCAGTAATTCAGGCAAAAGAAGCCCCAACTAAGTATTGAGTGCTGTACATGCTCATACTTTTCATGTTCATACTTTTCAGTTGGCCAACATTTCTAAAAATCCTTTTTTTTGTATTGGTCTTCAGTAATATTCAAATTTTCGGAGATACTGAATTTGGGATTTTCATTAGTTGTCAGTTTTAATCATCACAATTAAATGAAATAAACATTTGAAATATATCAGTCTGTGTGTAATGAATGAATATAATATCCAAGTTTCACTTTTTGAATGGAATTACTGAAATAAATCACCTTTTTGATGATATTCTAATTATATGACCAGCACCTGTACATATTAGCTTTTTATTAGCTTTTCAAAATGTATCCACATTCAAATCGACGTCAGATGAGAGCAGACTGTAAACAATGATGGTGAAGAGGAAGTCTTGGCCTGGATGTCCGCTATCTGGATATCACCTGGCTATACTTAGCCAAACACTGGCCGTTGCCCCCAACAGCTCAATTGATTCCGAGATTACACAACACATAAAAGGCATTAAGATGATATAAAAGAAACAAGGCGATATAAAAAGAAAACATAATAGATACACATAAATAGGATTTAAAGGATTAAAACAAAGAAGAGGATTGAAATAAGATGCATGTAAAACAGAATAAAACATATTAAACAGTAGAATACATTAAGATTATTAAGATATTAATTAATAGTCCCAATTTTAAATAAATAAAAAAAAAAAAATAACAAAATGCAGTAACAAACATAAAAGTATTAAGCCCTGACCTAAAAGAATGATTTTCTGAGAGTTTGTTGCAGAAATGCGGTACATAAAAACAGTGTGCAGCTTCTCCATGATTAGTTCTGACTCTAGGGACAGTGAGCTGACCTGTCCCAGACCCTCTGAAATGCTGCAGCTGTCTGATCAAATAAATCAAGCTTATTGAAGAAAATCATTCTAAATCCAGCTGAAACACAAGTCCTTTAATTCTTGATTTATTCCTACAGTTAGTCTATGCTGATACTGTAATTGCCTTAATGTGGATGTTAGAATGTTGGTTGATGAGTCCATGACTACACTGGCTTCTGACTTGGTTAACGTTAGCGACTGATGCTGAGTGCTGACTTTAAATCGTTCTTCTATGAGTCAAAAGACAAACATTTCAGTTTTTTTCTCCCTTTGTTTAACTAGAGAAAAATTTGGCACATCCAAACTATTGATTTGTTTGATGCACTATGGGACCTTAGTTACATGGTGATATTGTTACATAAATCAGTGTGTCGTCACAAAAGGCACGTGCATTATTATAGTTTTTTGGCAATTACCTCAGAGAAGGAGGACTGCCTTGCATTTTTCGCAACCTGCATTAAGTTTTTCCTTACCAGAGATCGCCTTTACCATTAGTAATTTCAGAAATGTACAAGACCATTGAGCATGGGCATACTGTGGATGACTTATAAATAAATGAATAAACAATGTTGCTTTAAAAATACAAGTAAGGAGTGCTCATTTTGATACATTTATCTTATCTTGAGTCCATATCTTATGCATTAGTGATGCAAGCAAAGAAGGTACATTAATAATAAAGAAACCTCGAGTCAAAATAAGACTGCCGTTGAGTTTTTTGATTGCTGTTGAGACATGTGGCTGGAAGTTCTGTACTTCTGGCTCGCTCAACAAACGTCTATGAGAAAGAGTTCTTTCTTTCTTTTATTCTTTCTCTATCTTATTTCTTTCACTCTCCCTGTTTTCTAACTCCTCTCTATTATACCTCAGGCTGACTTTATCCAGCTTTATCCACAAAGGAAGGTTTTCTCAGAGTAAAGAGATGGAAGAGAGGAGGAAATCTAAAAGACGGGAACCTTGAATAAGGAGGAGAAAGAGGGTTGGGAAGAAGAGTGGAAAGGTGAAAAGTTACTGAACATGTCTAGAGATTAGAGTTAAAAACGAGTGTTATGAAATATTCAACAACATTTTACATGTTTAAATAGGAAAGCAGCACATTTAATAAAGCATGTTCAGCAAATTCATGTATTGCAAATATTACATCTAAATAATTGCATTTTTACAGAATTACTAGACAACCAAATATCAAATTTAATATGAATTATTTTAATGTATTCTTTAATTTGGACTACATACTATGCAGTTAGTCTCTCCCCAATCCAGTTGGTCAAAATATATAAAATTAAATAATGCTATTCTAATTCTAATTGTATCGGACAATAAAAGATATGATCTACCATCCCACAAAGTATTGTAGCAAGTGTTTAGATTCAGATTCATAATTCAATAGAAAAAAATACATTTGATTTCCTTATTATTTGCGATAGTTAAGTATTATGATAAACTAAAAATGAGTTTATTTATGTTCAGCCACTCTGACCTTGAACTTGTTGCCAACGCTGATGAAGCTGAGTTTTCCCGCTTTCTGTTTGGAGTCCTTGGTGGTGCTGGAGTTCTCAAACAGCTCTCGAACAAATTTGTCTTTTGATTCACACACTAAGCTCTCCAAGGACATGTGGAGGGCATCATTATTCTTCTCCACAAACCGAGTCTATGGACACAAACACACGCAAATCCATACATTTATGTAGTGGCAGACTTTTATACAGATGTACAAAATACAAAGACAAATGAGGAAAGCCTTAATCCCTGCAGCATACAACACACAAGTATAAGTGATGTATTGTGACTACTCAACAGTGAAAATAATCATTAGCTGGAGACTTAAAATGTGACATTGACTTCATTGACTACTGAGTTTTACTTAGCTTTAACCTTAGCTAGTAACTCCATTGTCTTATGGAACTGGTAGACACATAATAAGTAGAGTTGTTTGGTAAAAATATGATATTACTGGATTTTGTGAATATCACACATACCCAACAGTCCTACATAAGATATATGTTAAGAATTACTGTTTCATAGCAGACAGCTCCAGCAAAGTGCCTGATGATAAAGCCCTCGTCATCCCGGAGATTCCTATGAATGGTCAACTTTGACTTCCTGGGAACCTAAGTGGGGGAGGAAGAAAGCAAATCAAATTTAATGACAGTGCTAAAACACATAATCTATCCATCACCATCTCTGCAGCAGAATCTCATTCATCCACACCCTTATTGAATGGAGAGGGCAGCTTTGGAGAATGAAGCATTTGGATCAGTGAAGTGCAGCAAAAAAAATGTATTTATATTTTTTTGTTATTTAACATGTTTACTTGCATTGATATTAAAAAGGGATATAACAACTGTACACAGTTGAGATATATATTTTTAAATGCCACATTATTTTTATCTGGCTCACGTATTATAATCGACCCAAAAAATCCATTACCAATATTATTCAAGGATAATAAATAAAATGTAGCACCCAGCTTTTTAAAGCTCCATTAGCTTCATCAGTGAGGGAAAGCATTATAAATTATCCTCAATGTGAACACTGTACAGCAAAAATGTGACATTCCAGCACTTTAGATTAAGATCAATGTGTTTCATCCTATTAAATGTAAAGAATAGTCTTCATTTGAGTAATAACTCTCCATGCACTATGTGGCTGCAGCCAGCCACCTCTAATCTTAAATTTGAATTGGTGTCAAGGCTACAGTTTTAAAAGGATTTCATGCTTGAAGAGATACAGGCAGAGTGACGAACTAAGGGGACAATAACAGAGACAGAGGGAGGGACTGGGACTGTGCATCATTCACAAAACTGCTGTTACAAACAGGCAGAGTAAAAATGACCACAATGAGAAAAAACACTATGTGCAGTTACATCGCTGCCTGCTCTCACAAAAGAACTTAGGACACAAAGGAAGAGAACAATAGCAGATTACTGGACAAAAACCAAGGACAGAAGGAGAGGGAGAAAATAAGAAAGATAATAAAAGAAGAGAGAGGGAGGGAGAGGGAAGAGAGAACACAGCTAAGAGATCTGACCGTCAGTCTGAAGTGGTCTTTATGCTTGCTATGAACAGCCAGTGCAAAGTGTTGGTCGCTGGGCTGAGGAAGACGGTTCTCTTCATCCAAAATGTCCAGGACTCCCACCAGCTTTGCTTCTACTAGGTCTGGAACAACAGTTATGTGCATCAGCAACAGTATGTTTCATTCATGTTTAAGCCCAGCTCTACAACATACAATGAAGCATCAGTATGAAAAGTAATACCCTAATGCTTACTGTTAACACTTTCCAAACTGATAATATTTCATCAAATGCTTATAGAGATTTTAGGGTAAACAATAAAACACGTGAATCCCTGTGAAGGTATTTAGGAAGCGTGAGGTGGGACTCATCATTATGATACAGAAGTTATAAAATCACTAAACATTCAGTTTATGAAAATGACATTTATTGGAAATTTCCACTGTTTACTGCTTCTGGGTGTGAATATTCAAAGCACAAAACATGTTCATCAGGATGCTCATTTAGCCATATATCTGAATTATTCATACGGCATGCTGTGTTTGGAATATAATCTAATAGCCAAGGACCTCTGAAAAAATTTGCATGAACAAGCACCTGTGCATAAATCCTGAAGATTGATGAGTGAATTAATGGCCAACCCAAACGGTCATTTGCAAGTCATAAATGTTATTTGCGGCTGTCAGTTAACCTCGCACCTGAATAATCACAGCCTTTGAAATACAAATCAAACTGCTTCACCTTGATACACTGACTACTTCATCCCATAATTCGAGAATTCATTCGAGGACAGAGACAACAAAAACAAGGGGGCATTATTTCTCCGGCTTCTCATTGCACAAAAAGGGGCCATAAAACCCACAAATCCTCATTACGCTTGCTCCCTTCAGACAAATGGATATGCCAGCTTCTTCAATAATGAGAAGTTGGTATTTTTGTCCCCCTGACAGGTGTATTCTTGCTACTCTGACGTGCAGGCCAGAGCACAAGGAATGGCCCCAATCAATGCAATGTGAGTGAGCTGATGAAGCTCATGAACCAGCCTAAGTACATTTGTGGTGTGTGGGCTCAACAGGCAGCCACGTCTTGATCAGTCATTTTGCGTATTGAAGTACAAGCCCTCAAAAGACAACACTTCTTCACTTAATGTTGTCCCTAACTGTCGGCCCTCTCTTCATTTCTGAATATCACCCAAGGTACAGATCCATGAAGTCATCAAAACACATACTTCTACACATGAATATCTTTGATTCTAGTCATTTGAAACCAGCTCAAGTCAGACATCGGATCAGCTTTACAAGGAAATATCATTACAAGGTTATTAGCCCTGAATTATTTTTTTTTATTTTGCAATGCAATGCTGCAAATTTTTAATATGCAGCTGTTACATTTTTCAGGGAACTTTTGAGAAGTGACTGAGCACACGGGGGAGGAGTAATGTTTTGAAAGCTGCAGAGTTGGAGGGAAGCTGACATAGAGACTTACCTATGCAGTCCTGGTTGTCAACATAGTGCACTTCATTCACTCCCAGCCCTTCCCTTTGATACAGCTCTTGCTCCTGCACAGACATGGTCAAAAATCAAAACCTGTGAGTGGCTTCAGAACTCAATCCACCTGATATAACAAACAAAAACAAACGCATCAAAACGACAACACACGATTCAGATAATGAGAAAGAGGATTCAACAAGAATTGTGGCACATTAATTGCAGACCTTGGAAGAGAATAACGCTAAAAGATCACAGGAGAGAAACAAGCCTCATCATTTCCCTTGAGAAATTAGCATTCTAATGAGAGAGCGCAGGAGGGAAAATCTAAGCGTGGAATCAGAGAAGAGAAGGACAGAGAAGCTTAGTGTGCCAAACACTTCCTCCTGGCTCATGAAAGAGTCAGTAAGTTCGGCTTGGGAGCGACATGACATGGCCAGTTTCCTAGGATGAAGAAGTAAACCACACCAAATCACCTTAATCCACATGCCGTTCACCCACCTCTTTCAGAATGCGCTCGTTGAAGAACTGCTGCAGTTTCTCATTGCAGTAATTGATACAGAACTGCTCAAAGCTGTTGTGTTCAAAATACTCTAAGAGGAGGAAAAAACAGAAAGAAGCAGAAAAAGTACATATTTCAATTAATTTTCAAAAATGAAAATTTGTGCAAAGCCTGTATTAATCATGGCAGTCGGGGGAAATGAATTCTCAAGCAAGAGCTCTGGTAATAAAGTGTGTTTATGCATTAGGGTACTTATATTAAAAAACAAGCTGCACAGACAAGTGTCTCTTTAGTAGACTGAATTCTTAACAAACCAAGGAAAAAACATGACAGTTAAATAGCAGCAAAATGCTGTCAAGTTGCAGAAAATCATGGTTTAAGTTTGTCCGTTATGTTGTCAGTGATGTAGGGCTAAATCTACACATTATATTAAGTTTAAGTGAAACTTCCACATTTTATTGAACACTAACTGCATTTTATTACCAAACCCAGCGATGTCCAGCACCCCGATGAAGTTGGAGGACGACTCGAAGGGGAAACACTGGTTTACTCGTTTGACCACATGATCAAAGAGGCGGCTGTACACTGCCTTTGCCAGGGCATCGCGGGCATTGTTAGCTTGTTCCACCTTTAGAGGCACCCTGGAGGGAAACACAAAGTGGGGCAGTGAGAGACAGTCTGAAAGTGGGACATGCTAGTCTCTGATTAAACTTTTTTTTCGCTAATCAACCCAATTTTCACAAGGCAGCAAAGTTTTAGATCTGTTGATGTGCTGCATAATGCCATTCTACTTCTGATCTCTACAGTCAAGCAAGGTAATCATTAAAGAAAAAGCCAAAGATGAGGTATTAATACTAAAATACGAACCTTGAACTCTACTAGACTTTCTAATGGTGCTTTACCACAATTTATTTTTAAATTATTTAAAGGGGTTGAGTGTATGGAAAGTGCAGTCCATAGTGACCCCAAGTTCAACTCAGCAGTCCCAGCTGAGAAGAAGGTGAATTTAAATTGAAAAGATCTGTCTTTTGCTATGATAGATCATTGCCCATTTTTTTTCTTTAGATTTTCTACCCACCCAGTCGGAAAAAGAAATAAAACCCTCATCCATTACAAATCGGAATAGTCCACCTATGCTAAGGCAAAGGCAGCCTATTCAGGCAGAGAATAGGTCACATTTTCTCCATTTGACTATTACATGAGTTAAAGGCAGTAAGTCTTTGAAAACACATGAAATTCTTACAATTCATCTCAGTGGCATTTTTATCCATTGCAATGTTTCATCTGAGCACTAGTTAGAGATTCAGTCATCCCTGATGCGATCACGTCGCACTATCCCCTCTGTAACCCTCAACCTCCCAGGGATTGGGTGGATCCCTCTGGGGCTTAATGACAAAGCCAGGCCCCCTCTGCTCCACCTGCTCCCCAGACACCAGGCCTGCACTGTACTGCAGCCATGCTCGCCTGCCTCCTAAGATACAGGCTGCATTATTTATGTGGAGAAAACTCTTCCAGGCCAGGCCAGCATCTGGTACTTCTGCAATATTAATCTATCAAACACCACATCACCACCAAAGTACAGAGGGACAGTGCCAATACTGCACCATGTGCAATCATGTAGAAGTATGGTTAACCTAAGCAAGACCACTCTATATTTGTGTTACTGCGTCCTTTCCACTTTTAGCAGTGGTGTTTGAGTCTTGTCTGCAAAGAATAAGATCCATTATATATTCTGCTAATACCATATTTAAGACCATAAAATAAATGCTTAATTCAGTGTCAGGATTTCAAGTCATCGTCATGCACAATAAAGTATCTTAATACTAATCCTACAGGATAGTATCAATAAGTACTGCAACATCTGCCTGGCCACTGCCTGGGTCAATAACATTCTAGTGGGTTAATCTGTAGTCTAGGATTATCAGCTATTTTCAGACCTATCATGAACCATCACTGAGAGAGTTCAGTTGTCTGTAAATATTGACGGTGACTGCTGAGGGCACTAAGAGGATCATTTTTTTCCTCTACAAAAACATTTTCAAAAGAAGTTGCAAAGAGTCATAGACCTTTGGAGCAGAGTGCTGTTGTTCTTACTTGATAACTGTTCCTTTGGCGCCCCCTGCTGTAGTGAGCATGACCCTGGTTGTGAGGCTGACACGCAGATCATCCTGGTCCAGACCCAGCAGATCAGCACAGTACTCTAGAGTCTGGCCTGACTGATTCTTCAGGACACAGCCACCTGAAACATACAGCAAGTTTCTGAAAATGTGCAAGATAATTCCTTCCCTTTGTATCAGCCGTACTTTCTGAATTCTTGCCAATGGATTTTAAGGGAAATCATTACAAACAGTTTTTATATCAAAACAACAATGCGATCACACGATTAATGGATTGTAATTTAAGATGAGGTGAATCCATTTTAGCACTAATTTGACTTAGTAGAGATTAGAACTCTGGGTCTTGTAGTAATACATGAAATTTTTACAAACCATTGTAAAATCATCAGAGTTTTGTAGCTATGCCCCAACATGAAACATGCACAGTCAACTTTTTATTGGCAGGATAATGAAGGACTCAACAGCCTGATACAAAACTGGTATTCAGGTTCAGTGGGTATAAGATACACTAAGGGAGATCCTTCTGAAAATTGCCCTCAAGAGAAGTTGAAAGTTGACTTATTTAATTCACAGACTCTTTGGTTGTAGAATCAGAAAGAGAAAGAATGAACCAGAAAATTAGACGAACATGGATCTTGGTTACCAGGGAAACAGAGATTTTCTTTATCAACGTTTGAGACTAAATGATGGTGACATCCAAGGACAGCAGATCTATTCTTCAGTATTTTTATACTGATCTAATACTGTAACTGTAATTGTATGCGATCGCATTTATTGAAAAAGCGAACTGACACCTACTTGTTATGGTGATTTCAATGGGCTGCATCTCATTAAAGATTCTACATACCTGTAGCCCTGTTAGTTTTAGGATTGATTTTAACATCTTATTGATTACTTATAAGGCTCTTCATGACCTGGCTCCAGATTATATTTTGGACCTTTTAATTAATCTCTTAGGAACCTTTGCGTAATATGAGATTTTTGGGCAGTGATCTTCTGTTTCATGGCTGAAAACAAAAGAGGTTTTTATTTTCTTGTTATTTCTTATTTAAATTTTACCCCTCATTTATTTTATCATTCACTGCGGTATTTCAATTCATGTTTCTCTCCGTTTCTGTGAAGCACTTTATTGTTTGTGCTCTATAAATAAAATGTATTATAATTATTATAATTAATGTAAAGACCTTTTCAGCGAAAAATCCCACATAGCGACACAGTCAAATTAATGCAATGACAAGTTCTCAAGAAAGAGCTTATCTGATCTGTCTAACCTGAGGAGCTCCCTGTCTCTTCAAAGTCAATGTTGCCGAGATGCAGAACGCCGGCAACCACCCTGAACAGGTCCAGCTTCTCTGTGTCGTCCAGACCGATCTTCTTCATGGCCACACACATCCTATTGAAGTCACCCAGGTCATCAAGAAGGGGGTCCTTCAGAGAACCGACGTTCAAATGCTACAAAACACATGAGTGAGTCAGAAAAAGCTGAGATCACAAGAGAAACAGACACTGAGTGAGAATTCAATTCAAATCATGATTTACTCAAACAAGATGCAATTCCCGAACGACAATCTGTTCTATATTTTAGCAGTTTCATAAATTTTTCTTTTAATATTGAGTAAATCTGACTCTAAATTGAATTAAAGGGGCTCCAACGCTGCAACTATGAAAGCCACATGTTTAACATGGACTTTTAACAAACCAAAATATTTTACATAAATGTGTTGAAAGAGCCTCCACCAACGGCACACAGCAAGCACACCATCCTATGAACTACTATAAGGTCGCTCCGCTACAGTAGCCTTGTCTCCAAATGTCTTGACAAGCACTGTATTTATACAATTAAAGAAAAAACATAGCCAATGTAACATCTAGCAATATCTCAGGGATGATGAAATCAGAAAAAACAGACATGCAGTGTAAAATGTCACTGGAACAGAGCACTTCAAGATTCATTAGGAGTCAAGATCGTAGATAAATCATACAGTTATAATTAACAAGGGCTGCACGATTATCAGTAAACGTATACAACTGATTATAATGTAAGATAAGACACCATTAACAGTTCTTGTATAAATGAGACCAAAATGCTTTATTTGCACCTTTTCCATGTTTTACTGAAGTGTTGCATTTTTAAAAATAATGAGCCTTCAAACTAAAATGTCAATCTTACAAACGAACCTCTAACAAATATTGGTTATTAACTATGGAAAATATACATATATATATATATATATATATATATATATATATATATATATATATATATATATATATATATATATATATATATATTTTAATTGTGCAGCCCTGCATTGTATGACTGAAAAAGCGGAATAAGCAAACAGTCTTTGTATTGTTCTATCTAAACACCAGCCAACCCCAACCAAACCTGGCAGACACATGCAGACAAAGAGGAAGCATGCACTCTTATTTCCTGTTTGCACTACAGACAGCAGCACATAAAACCTGAGAGTCTCAGTGTTTACTTCAGGAAAAAGACTAATAAATAAAGGGATAAAGGGAGCACAAAGCCCTTATAAAAAAGGAAACATCACCTTATTGTCCTATATAACATGTGGAAAGACAGATGTACAATGACTTAATTAGCATTAACACACAGGTACTTACAATAACAATTACACAGTGCTATAATGTCTCTTACAAATGTAAGAAGGGGAAGGTGAGAACATTTTAATCTACACCAAGGATCCAATATTTCAAGAGAAAACTAGAAATTACATATTGTTTTGAAAGATTAATAAACAGAGAATAGCTAAAAGCTGGACCAGTATGGCTAATCTAACACCAGCTGCCTGTGAACTTGTAGAAATCTATCAGTATTTTTACAATATGTCAATGCAAAAATCACATGTACATAAACTCATCATGAGCAAATTAATAGAGAACTGAAAGCACCTCCTTCGTCTACCACTATCTCACCTGATTTTCCTGAAACACTGATTAACATACAAGTAGATATTATTCTATCTTAGCAAACATGAAATGAACATGTGTAATTAGTCCCTGAGAGCGCACCGTGTCACACTTACTCTTCTAATTGTTTCATGATATTAATTACACATCTCCTTCAGGCTTTGTGGGCACTGATTCTTTTTCATGTCGTACATAATTCATCAAATATACAGAACTGAACTAATTTCTCAGCATGAAATATTCCTATTGAGGAGTTTCACGCATATCATTCCACATCTGCAGCTGATTTCCTTGAATATGGTCTGGGATTTGCTTTCTGTCCAGTGCTTACGTCATTACTGAAAAAAGAATCGTGTTCATCTGTCTGAATGATTGATTGCACAGGAAAGAATTCAAAAGTGTTGCACTATAATACACTATTCGCCTTTGCTCATTGACATAAAATATGTTGCCATACAGTAGGCTTATGTAAGACAAGTGTCCAAACTGATCATGTGTTGGGTTAGAGTGATTAAGCCAGAACTGAACGTGACCTTACCTCAGGACTCTTGCGGTTTTGCATTATTTGTTTATCAGAGTCCTTGCCGGCAAAATATCTGGTGCATCCTCGGTTGAGGTACTGCAATGGAGAAAAATCATCTTTTCATTTAAACATAATTAGTGTTTTTATAAATAACACAGACACTGTATAAATGTATTTCCCTCGTGGCTGGCAAACCTACTGGGGATATTTGTATTGATTTCCATCATCTAAAAGATTTACTCTGCTGTCTTCCAATAATCCTCCACAGCTGACTAGTAGCGAATCACATTAAGTAATTGCCTCTGTTGATGTGGGTGTCACCTCAGGGATCTAATATAATGACACTATGATAAAACATCCATAAGGAACAGCTTGAGCTGCGTGTTGTTTTGTTAGACATTGCTTTGTAGCGCATGTAGAAGAAAATAAAGGCTGGGGTAAACACCTTCAAGCTCTCTGACTTTGCCCCTGCTGAGTTGATAACTGCATTTAAAAGGAGATATAATTAAAATGTGAAATATTCTGTTTCTGAGGGATTTTGATTTTGCTTGGGAGGACCTCTTGACGTCACTAAAAATAAGTTAATGTGACATCTAGTGGGCTTCAATAGAACTGCCAACCAATGTCTATTTCAAAATTATGAGAAATATTGACACCGCAGACCCTGGTGTCTGTCTAAGCCCACTGACCCTGAAGCTGTCTGGAGAATCCAGGTGCAGTTTCTTCTTTATGTCCTCGGATGCCCCGGCACACAGCCTGTAGAAGATGTGGTAGTTCCTCTCATCGTTACTTTGCATGCAAATCCTCGACTTCTCTAGCAAGTAATGAGAGACGAATCCACCCACAACCGCGTTCTGGTGACACAAGACAAGAATCAGGTCTTAAAATCAGATTTTAAAATTCATGGTCCACACAGAGAAAATGATCGACCAACCTAGAACGTAATCAATGATCATCTATTACCTTCTCACTGAAGTGGATTTCCACAAACTTCCCAAAGCGACTGCTGTTATTATTCCGGGCTGTCTTCGCATTTCCAAAGGCCTCGAGGAGGGGATTTGCTGAGATTTGAAATAGAGATTTGACAAAAAAGAATCAGGATCACACTGTACCCATACAGTGCAAACAGTATCAATAGTTAATCATAGTTGTTTTAGATTTGTTATTATATTACCTTCTACAATTCTCTCATCAATATCTTGACCACTTCCATATGTTGTGGTGAGATATCTACAGGATGGGGATGAAACTGATGTCAACAATGATGAATATTTTTAATAAAGAATTTTTAAAAAGACAAAAAGACACTCAGCTTACACAGTTTACTACAACAGCTTTCCCTTTCAAAGCAGCTATGACTACTAGACATAACAGTAAAAAAAATATTTTTAACTACTTATTACCCCTTATCTGATCACTCATTTCTGTATTGTTTGGAGTGGCCCTCTAAAAACAGAGCTCTGAAAGCTAGTTGGAAAATAACAACAATTAACAACACTACGGAATGGGACGCCACATGCAACTTGTATAAAAACTGATACCAAGGGTCTGAAAGGCCATCATTTTTGCAAGTTTATTTGGCAATTGTGTCCAGCTTCAATTTGTATTACTACCTACACTGTTCACTATTTTCTGTTCACTATTTTCATGAGATATTTGCAAAGTATTATCAGTAACTCTCATTGTGGTGCAGTCAAAGTGCAGCGGGCAAATGTCTTCGTTTGGAAAGAGAGTGGAAAGTTTTAATTTGCAACACTACTTTGTATCTCATGAACACACAATCAGGAGGGAAAGGACCAGAGGTGAGTGTGAAGGGAAGATGAAGATGGGATGTAGGATGATTCACGTGGACTCATACCTGAGAACAAACTTGGTGTTTTCAGTCTTGCCAGCGCCAGATTCACCGGAAACGATGATGGACTGGCTCATCTTGAGAACCTTCATGTCCCTGTAGGCTTTGTCAGCTAAAAACAAACAAAATCCCTTAACTTTCTAATATAATAGATATCAAGGATCAAATAATGCAAGAATAAGAATGTAACAAGTGTTGAGGAGGTGAAACACTTGATGTATATTTCATTTAGACTGTACATTGTTTTAATTATGCTAATTTGTGCTATTTCATATTTTGTTTCTAGTATGTTAACAAGAAGGTCACTTATTTCCTTTTTTTGTACTGTATTATTTCCACCTCTGACCAAATGAATTTCCCCTTTTGATTACAAAGTTACATTTGAATTGGGAAGCCTGGCAATAAAATAATATATAATGTAAAGATGCAATCCCCTTAATAAAAAAAAAAATCCATTCAATTCAGATAAACTAGAGTTCACACCAAAGCCTTTTCAGAAAGTGCCATTACAATATCTTGTCAATATTATTTAAGCAACGCTTTTCAAATACAACTCTGTTACTCTTTTAGTGAGAGTAATATAACTTCAGTTTGTAGTTATGTATGTTATGTCCTCAGTTAACAGTGATTAGATCGCATGAGCCCTCACCTATAGCATAGACGTGAGGTGGCAGAGTTCCCAGTGACTTCCCCTGGTACGACTTGATGGAGTCGGGCCCATACAGTTTGGGGATGTCATAGTAAGGATTCACAGCTATCAATATATTGGCCACATATGTCTGTAAGAGATGTACATACAGGTATGAGTGTAGTCACTGTATTTAGATGACGTTAATAAACAGCAAAACAACATATATATGATTGAATAATGAGAGACAACTGAGGTGAAAATAAGCCCAGTGAAGGCTGCTCGGACTTACATTTTTTCCCTGTCTTGCTTTCCCCATCTACCAGCTGTCCCTCATTTCCTAAGTGAGTGACTGGGATCAGGTTGGGTTTGCCAGTCTGACTTGGTGACCCCTTTCTAGCCTCCCTTTCCTCTTTACCACCTGGTGCTTTCCCCCCAGGGAAACAAGGATAGGGATCCTTTCTCCATCTATCTTCCAACCCGTTACTGTATCTCCTTATGATGCAACTGAATAGTAGTGACTTTAAGCCATTGCAGGAGAACACATATGAAGGATTTATGCGTGTGCTAATGCAAGCTAGAAAAGGAGAAGAAGAAAACATACATAGATGTGGTCTTTATTGTACCGCACTCTGACATTGTTGAGAAGAGTGGCTTCATTCAAGTACATAAGGGAACCTGAAAACAACAGGAGACAAATACAATGATAATATATTATTTCTTGGAATACAGACCTTGTTAAGAATAACAACATTCTTAAAAGATGGTTGTAAAAAATAAATTAACAGCCAACTGTGTGTTGACTTACAGTTGTCATCTACAAGTTTGTTGACATCATCCTCTGCTGGGAAGACTTGGCTGATCAGAGCAAGAAAGGTCTGTAACACAAACAGTTTTCCATATCCAATCCATATGATATAATTTCCAGGATGGATGGACATGCTACAAACAGCACTGTCTCTACGTATCATTGCTTTATGTACAAGTTTTATGTACAAGATTATTCATTGTTTACTTGTTGTTCTTTGAAAAGCTTATGACACAAAACAAATGTTTGTTAGCACCCCCCCCCCACACACACACACCACCACCACCACCACCACCACAAAAAAGGGAGGCATATTAGACATCATAAAAAGCTAAGCAAGCATGCATAAACATGAATCATTCTTCATGGGTAAAGATCACAGTAATGATGTTTGGTGCGACATGTTCCCAGGCTAAATTAGTTACTGATATTCTCGCTCTATTGTTTAAGAGTCTGAGTTAATGGAAATAAACTCAATAGAACAAGCCGGCTGTGAGAGAAACAAGGGGGAGACATGGCAGGGTAATGAATTATTTGGTGGGAGTGCTACCGGATCTGAACACCTGAGTGAGTATGTGAGTGTATGTGGTGTATGTGTGTGGTAGAAAAGACACGATGGTGGTGCTCTGTGCTCATCTTGTAAGACTTCATCAAATGAAATTATCAAAGAAGAACAATGACTGTTTCTGGTTATTCCCTACAATATCTATCTATCTGATTCTTTTGTCTTTACATTTACATTAAACTCCCTATGTCAATGCCACTGATTGTGACTGTGTGACCCAGTCTGTGTTATAATGCATGGTTTATTATCACAAATAGGCTGTAAGCATAAACAGAAATCAGCTTTGTGTGCCAGTACCTTGGCTAAATCTGGGCTTACCCATCTACAATAATAACCATGTGAGAAATAAAAATGACAAAGAAGAGGCAGCCAGGCTGTGGGTTGTGTACTGAGTTGAGGCACTAATGAGCGCACTGCAGTAAACCCCCACCCCAAAAATACTCAATGGGCCTTTTATTCCCTCACTGAATGGGACAGAGTTTATGCCTTGCAATAAGAAACAAACTTCAAAGTTCACAGCTATTCCAAAAGAGATTCACTTCCAACTCTTTCAAATCTTTTCCAGCTGCTTACTCAAACACCTAAACACCCTTTTTCACAGAAGATATTTTGTCCCAAAGGAAAATGATGCACAGATGTAAATAATAAAATTAATGATGGCTGAATACCATTTAGCTGCTTTAGTTTCAGGGTCCTGGTACTGTGCAGAGACACTTTAGAGACACTGTTAATGTTTTAGATAACACCTGTGCGTTTCCTACTATAACAAGCCAAAATGACTGCAGTTAGCTGTGATTAGCTGAGGTTAGCTGTCATTAACCGTGGTGAGAACACATCAGACAAAACAAATGCAGAGGAAATTGCTAAGAGTGCATGACTGTTGTAAACATCAGAGGCCTGCCTGCTGGGGACACGTGACGGCTCAGGTGTAAGAGGTGGCTTTTACCTCCTAATGAGCAGCTCGGCCTCCAGGCAACTCTATCAGCGCACCTGCTGCTGCTCTCTTTATTTATTCATGCCTCTGGACATGGGGTCTCATGTTTCTCACATTTTACGCATTGTTGTGCTAACGCCTTTCTACCTGAAATCGCACTTTTGACCGAGAACATATGCATGTGTGTTTGTGTGTGATGACCCACCTTGCCCTTCTGGTTCAATGGCTCTATGGTGAGCGTGTCGGCTCCTATGTCAACGATCATGCCCAGCTGGAACCCGTCGGTGGGGTGGGGCGCCCATACTGGCTTCCCATCATCCATGGCTTACCTCCAAGTCAGCACAACAACACACCTGGGAGAGGGGGAGGCAACAGAAAGGAGAGGAGTTGCAACATAAATACAGGAAAGAACATATGTAGTTTAAAACAGAAATTCAAAGCACACAGTTTCGCATTTTGCTTCTAAGATTTTAACATTAATCCCGTGTGAGGGTGATTTCCCAGTGTCATTGTTCTGTGTTCTGTTTTTTTGATCACCTGATCCCGATTCGTACAGCATAGCATTTCCCTGCACCCTTCATTATCATAACAGTCTGAACTCGACATGTCTACATGAAAATCCTTTTAGCACATTAATATTTTGTCAGTAAACATTATCTTTTACTTGACATAGAGACTACGATTAAAATAGTTAGGTATGACTGATAGAACCTTAAGTGAAATCACACAAAAGCAAAGTTGGAAATCATTTTATTGTCTGATCTAAAGTGGCATTCCTCAGTCATTTGCATGATGTGACTGGGACCTGACCCACTGCCGCTGATGTCTGCTTCGCTTCCATTAACCTGTTTTTCCTCCTACTAATCTTGTCAGAGAGGATTTCCCACTGGAATGCGACTGGAGTTGTCTCCTGAGGGATTCCTGCGATCTTTAGTGAGGATGACACAACCCCAAGTGACCTGACATAAACTGCCATCCCATATAAGACCCATGTAAGACTTTATTCTGTGAAATTGATAGCAGTAGTTAGACCACAGCAAATGGAGAGTACCAAATGGATAGTTTCTAATAATTTGCCTTAATCTTGTCTGAGAGCATCTTTAGTCAATGTGAAAGGTGTTCCATGTCATTTTAACAGTTCTTGACAGTTAATTCTACAACCGCAGAGTTCTTCAAAGCAAAAGTGCTGACATTTTGACTATCCTATTAGCTTCAAGGATTGGGGTTAAATGTCAGAGAGGATAGGCACTGGAAACTGCTGATGCAGCCTCCAACACGGACTCAAAGATCAACAGGTACATTGACTCAGCATAATGGTGAATCCAACTTAGGGAGAGAATGGATGAATGAATTTCTTTTGGACCTAGATGAGGCAAGACAACAATGCTGTTGCATTATTTAAAATGTTAGATAGCATTCGTGATATTACTTCTACAGCTCAGTCGACAAAAAACAAGAAACTGAAAGACATTTGATTTCTCTGTGTTACATAAAAATGTCAATCATTTCTTTCTTACTAAACAGCAATCACATGGTGACTGCACTCAGACTTTTATTGCTTCGTTATCAAGCACATGTTCTGTCTGGTCAATACACCTACCTGGCTTTTGTCAATAAGCTACAGCAATTTCTAGTCACTCACTCACTTTGATTTGTAATGCGAGGCTCACATGGTAAACCCTTAAAATGGAGAGATAAGTTACGTTGTTGGAAATCTATTGTCTCAGCAACCCCATTAGACTGTACATTCTAAATAACATTTGGCCAGATGCTTTACTTATAGACATAATGCAGATATGTCGGAATTTGAACAGAAATTAGAGGATTTGGGGAACACCTCTGTACATATGCTAATGCAAAATAACCAAATATGAGAATGTATAAAAGATTTAACATCTTATTTATACAAGCATGAATGTATGAAAACCTGGTTTTAGTGAATGATCTTTAATGCAGTAAGGACTGAATGTTATCACTGCTTCCGCTAAAAGTGAATGTAAGATGAAACAAATGGCTTGCTGCTTTGTCAATTTATTATCATTATATGGCTCATCTATTGTTGGAGCAATAATCTTTGTTTACAACATTTTTTGCCCAGTGGGGAAACAGCTGAGCAAGAGGATGCCAAGGCCAAAACTAGCACAGAACAAAAATTAGAGAGAGGCAAACTTCATGGCTGCTTATAAAAGTTTGATTCAATGATATACTTGGCTGTAGAAAGCAGAGTCAATGAATTGTCTTCAGACTGACAGGATGAAAACTAGAGCCACTTAACGCCAATACAGAAATCTGACTCTACAACATTCACTAGAGCTGGCTGAAACATGTGCAAAGTAGCGGGTGACACAGAAGTGGATTTTGACTCCTATCCTATCCCGCTCCCACAAAAATAATCCTGTTGTGTCCCACTCCCTAAAGAATCATCCCATCCCGTTTAAAATAGCTTTTATTCATATTAGAAATGCATATTTATATTGACCATCCCAGTCCTATGATGAATAGACTCCCATCCCGCGGGAATCCTACAGGAATCCCGTGACCCACCGGTTTCCCAAATAAATGTCAGCCTCAAGCCTACAAAGGCTGGATCTGTAACTTTCATAAGCTGCGTGTACACTACATGGATGCCAGATGGAAATTTGCAGTGGTGACCATTTGATTACCAAACTTGAAAACCGTAGAATTGTTAAAGGTGAATTGACACAGCATTCAAACCACATTCAAACATATAATCGGGAAATGCACCAGAAGGAGGGAGAATGAGATTACTTTCCCAGTCTGTTATCTTCAACCTTCAAGTGTGAGATCAAGGCTGGGGGGGGGATCATCAAGACTGTCTGTGTTAGATGACTGATAGCCATGAAGCTTTCCCACAGATCCCTACTTCAGTCCAAGTTTAATTACATTATGTTCAAACAGGAAATATGCTCAGTTCAAAAGTATAAAACCAGAAAAGGCCTAAATATCTACAAACATTCTGTACAATAACACAAAATTCATGTGAATCTGTCATTCACCAAGAACAGTCTAAGTCTGCTGCAAACTCAGTTCCACACACGTCCTGTATGTCTTCATAAGAGCACTGCACAATATACCAAGAGCTTTGGGATTCTCCTGCTACTTTCTGGTATTTCATTTAGGGAGATGGCCTTTACCCTAAACGTCTACGTCAGAAAGCAAAGGCATCACTGACTCCTCTCAACAAAACAATCCTCTTAGTGTTTGACCCTAATCCAGACAGGGAGGTGAGACGCTTCAAGTGAGCTCTAAGCCCAACAAAATAAAAGCAAGTGATCAGTTGCGATACAATGCAAATCAGAAGGCCGTCACATTACTCGTAAAACACAGAGACACATAAAGTACAGAGAGAAAGAAAAATAAATAGACACACACACACACACACACGAATGGACACTGGCTCCCAGTTAAAGCAGGACACACAAGCACGCCTCTTGTTTCCTGCCTCTTGTTTCCTGTTCTCCACCAGGCAAAAGGGACATGGAAAATGCACTGGATTTCGACAACAGGCCAACAGGATAAAGACAGATGTACAGACACATCAAACTGTCATAGGTGTGATCTTCAGACAAGATAGATTTTTGGTTTAAGAAGGGTTGTCTTGACAACCTTTTATATACAGTCTATGGAGGCAACAAGTCAGAAATTGTAGACTGAAACACAGAGAGGAGATTAGACAGTGAAATGAAAAAATTAAATAAATAAACCTTATGTTACCATGTTATCAAGTATCAGGTATCAGCAAAACTATGAGTTTGTAACAGTGATACTTTTAGGATGTCATGCAGGTAAAATGAGGCAACATGGTTTACTGTCTCACTGTGATCTTTCAAGTCAGTTCAAGACAACTTCATCACTGAATGACTTTAAACATATCAAGACTAATGGTAGCCTACTATGCCCCTTGTACTGTCAATAATTCCTTACCGCAGGAGTTTGTCAACAAACTAACACCATAGTAATGCAGACATGGCGTGATATTCATTAAATTACGTTATAGGTAGTTAGCATACACAGTAGACAACGGTACTCACGCCATTCGTGTCACTGTAAAGGTGGAAAGTAACGTTACCTCAAGCTGTCTCTGACCCTGACTATTCGCTAAAAAAGTATAAAAGTTAGACAAACGCGGGGACTTACGCCTTGTTTACTTCAGACAGTCAAATTTAAGTCCCTCATACGGATGTGCAGTTGTAGCACTACTCCTACTTTCCTCCCGGCGCAGGACAAGACGGACGGAGCTGCAGGATAGCAGGATGACAGACTATGTGCTCGCGCTCCGGTGAGCACAGGTGACGTCACTCTGACTGTACGCTACTGAAGGTGCATTGAGGTGCTCCTCGTAAGATCCTGTGTCAGGTACGATTTTGGTTTTTTTGCTGGCTGTTTTTGCGTCTAAAAATCCAGAGGCAGCACTGAATCCCATCGTGCAACAGAGAAGAAAATAAGCATTGGGAAAGTAGACTACGGTATGTTATTTTTTAATATCGCAGACATATTTCCTAATTTGGCTTATCCCCCTCACAGCAACAGAGAACAGTGATGTGCACCTTTTCAAGTATGCTGTAAGTCACTTTGTAGTAAATTCCAATTTTAAAACTCGGGTCAGACAGATATGTTTTATTTTTATTAACTTTCTGGAAACTGTGTACTTGGACCCATATATTACTACATTTAGCCAACTTTATGCACTGTATGTCATTATGTGGAATATATTACTATACTGTATTTTTGTGTCATTATAAAACTGAAGTTAGAGTATAAGGTGAGCGAGCACGCACACACACACACACACACACACACACACACACACACACACACACACACACACACACACACACACACACAGCTACTTCACTGGCTGCATTGAAAAGACAGCAAATGTTGCCTTGAGAGTCATGAATATTTGAGAGGCAGGTAATCTAAAACTTTTGGGGGGATTTTAGAAGGAGACACCCAATCCACCATTGAAAGCCACCACTCGGTTTGTAAATCTAATTAGGATATCTGACACTCCAGTACTGAACAATATCCAATTACTGACTCTAGATGACAGCATTTAAACATTAACATGAAATATTTTGTTCACAAGCTAAAAGTCTGGAAGTTAGTAGGCTAATTGCATGGTATCCTAAATAATGCAACAAAGACCAGCATCACTTACATATTTTATATTGGGATCCTACAGTAGGCTATCCTAGTCTCCAAACAACAACAAGGTCTATTGTAGCCCACAATTAGCCTATGAGTGGGGATTATGCACCAGCCACCATTTTATTATTGTTCTTTTCACTTCACTGTGGTTAAGAAAATACACACCGGCGAATATTGGGATTTCAGTATATTTAAAGTCTGTAATTATATTTATTTTATAATTTTGACTATGTGTTACGTTAGTCGCAGTAATTGTAACTGATGCAAAAAGTAATTGTACATTTAGATCCAGACCAGTCGTTTTTGTGGGGGGGGGGGGGGGGGGGGCACAAGACTGTGCTATTGTACTTGTATGGACAATGGCTCCGTCAGGTGGCCACAAAGGGGATGAGCATGTCTGTGAAGCCCGAAGCCAAATCCCAAACCAGAGGCAGACAAGAGTGAAGAGAAGAGAGGGGAGAGTTTATCATCACAAGGAACCACAGCACTCTTGGGAAATGATAGTGGCAGAAATGCTATTCAAGTGAGTTATCATATTCACGGAAAATCCTAAATGCTTAACTAGTACACTCATTACACTCATTATACTCACATACATTATTTAGCATCTGCAGTGAAATGCATTAGCCAGTGTCACACAACCCATTATAAACCCCAAACTAACTGAAGCACAGGTAAACCAGAACTACAGCTACATAGTTCTGTGAAATGATTTAAAATGTTCTGTAGATTAACTTGCTTTTAAAATATCTGAGAGAGTCTGAAGTTGTGTCAGTGTATTTATCAGGCCCATTCACTGTCAATCACTCCACTACTTTCCCAGCCAATTATCTGAGGGGCCCCAGCTGCTTTGGACTTTATCTGTGAACTGTTTATGAAACAGCCTATCACACACATTCTGTGGTGCCTGTGGAAGAACATGAAATGTTTCTGTAGGACCACCAGTGTTCAAAGCTCCTGCAAGTCTTTGCAAGTTGGCAACACTTCTCTACTTCTGTCTGGAAATACCTCTACAGGTAGGCCATCCAGATTTTGATATGCACTATGCTGTTAAACCCGTGATGAACAAAAAAAGGTTCTCTCTGGGGTTATATATTTATTCCTGACAGGTGTTGCAAAGTTTATAATAAAAAAACAGAACATGTCCATCCTTAGCAATTTACATTAAGCATTTATTTAGGATATGTATGGATTGGTATTGTATCTATGGCTTCAAACGTGCGGTTTTCGCAACAACCAAATATTTCTCAGGATAAAGAAATCAAGCTTTTTGCAAAGCTCACTTTGATTTGTGAAAGAAATGCTGCATTTATAGGTTCTGATCAAAATGGGCTGTTCACTTATCACAATAAGGCGTGTTCTCTCAGAAATTCAGTAGCCTGTAATCTGGATGTAATGGATAATGTCTTTAGTAATATATTATAGAAGTCACTGTCTTCTGTTACTTCTGATTCCAGCTCTGAAGTAAGGTATTTTAGATACTTAGTCACTCATTATATATTTTGTTTAATGATTTGTATTTTCTCTAGTGAAGCCCACCAACCAGCCCATGTAAAGCATGATAGGAGAGAAGCGGTTATTGCCCTTGATGCTAATGTCTGTGCTGAGTTTACTAACACTACAGACATCATATGGAGAGCCCTTGGCAGAGGAGTCCTGCACGGTTCAGATCCTTGTCCCTGGACTCAAAGGCATGTCGTTCTACATACTTTCTTATGCACACCATACAAAGTACACAGAATCAGCATTCATATTTACTTATTCTGCTTTTTCTGCAAAAGGAGAACCAGGGGAGAAAGGACAAAAAGGTGCACCAGGGAGACCAGGAAGAGTTGGCCCTCCTGGAGAGATCGGTATAGTTTTTGCACTTGCAACAAAGTGAGATGACTGTAGAATAATTTTTGTTTTCAGTGCAGGGAAACAACATTTACCACACACCCAAACTTAATTTTTTTCACACTACTACTAAGCCGAAAGAAAAAGAACTGGGGTAAAGATCACATTGCTTGGGCTGATAATGCGCTGTTACATCACTACCAGGCCATCCAGAGATGGCCATGTGTTTACATTTGGGTGAGAGGCTGGAGGAAAAATGATTTGCAGAATCCACTGCTGTGGACAAGTGTTTACTGAAGCCCTTAACGAGGAGTGGAGGGTGTTTACAATATTACACAGACTCAGCATTTTAATAAATATACCTTAGTGGAAGGACATAGTGGTTTGAGAATTTGAAGTTATTTTTTTCATCAATTCATTTGTAGTCTTTTAAGGTAGCACAAGAGATAGCAGGGCCTTTTAAGAGAGACAAAATGTTTTTCTTTTCAGGTCAACCTGGGCTTAAAGGTCAGAAAGGCATAATGGGACGTTATGGAAAAGTGGGCCCAAGTGGGATGAAAGGTAATTAGAAAATGCCAAAAAGTACTTCTCATGTAGTTATTTAGGGATGAATTAATATTAAAGTATAATATCTTTATGTTTTTATGAATAATTACATTTCATATCTCAGGGGTAAAGGGAGACATGGGGGATCCAGGTCCAAGGGGCCCTAATGGAGATCCTGGTGAGATATTATACTGTGTTGTTCAGTTTGTCAAACAGATTATTCCAGGATTAGACAGACGCATGTTGTGGAATTTGAGAACTAAATAATACAACCGTGTGGTAATCCCCTACATTTTTGCCTTATCAGGTGTTCCATGCGAGTGCGCACCAATGAGAAAGATGATTGGAGAAATGGACATACTTGTGGCCCAGCTCTCCTCTGAATTGAAATTCATTAAAAATGGTATGATCTGAGCATTACTTAAAAAAAAACAAATGTATTTGTGTGCTATTGCTTCACTTGCTATCCTCACAGAACTGCAAATGCTGGGCATGTCAATGTGAAATGTATAGAAATACAAGTGCTCATTTTTCAGCACTGCCCTCCCCTGCAGCTGTTGCTGGCATAAAAGAGACAGACAGTAAGGTCTATCTGTTGGTGAAGGAGGAGAAACGCTACTCCGAAGCTGAGGTCTACTGTCAGACGAGGGGAGGGCACCTGGCCATGCCCAAGGATGAGGGAGCCAACACGGCTATCGCAGGTTACATAACCGAAGCGGGCCTGAATAGAGTCTACATTGGCATTCATGACCTGCACCGTGAGGGTGTTTTCACCTACGTGGATCTCTCCCCTATGACCACTTTTAGCAAATGGAGAAAAGGAGAGCCCAACAACGCCTATGATGATGAGGACTGTGTTGAGATGATGGCCTCTGGGGAGTGGACTGATGTGGCGTGCCACCCTACCATGTATTTTGTTTGTGAATTTGACAAGGACAGCGTGTGAGCTCAGTCTACGCTAAAGGGACTGCTTTAAGAAAGGCTGCATAAAATGGAACAAAAGTTAGATGTATTGTTCGTGATATAGTCTGTCTTTTATCTGTATATAGGATGACAAAATTACATGCAAGTTGTGCAAACTGGTATATGTCCTACTTTCTCTGTTCCTCATAAGTTTATAAGGTATTTATTTTCGAGTTTTTGTTCTTTTGTGAGAATTTAGTAGTACACCCTTAATCTCACGCTCCGTGATTCACTTGTGTTTCTAACAGCATGCCAGGCAATGTATTGAGTCTTTATGTTATGCAAACTATCCACTGAGCAATATTTGCAACAGTACCATCAACAAACAAGACAAATAAGCAATTGTAGAAGGCTGTTTGTGCATAAAATATGAAATTAAAAGGTTTTGGTTCCAGTTAGGTGCTTTTAATCAGAGAAATGGAGTACAATATTCATTCTATATACATATTCATATAATAAGTTATGTGGTGGTTGGTGTCAAATAAAGATTCACTGATAATAAAAGAAAAAAAACCTAGAGAAACAGTGTCTATTATTTTCTGCCTGTGGGCCAACTACAGTTGAACAGCAGCTGAACCAAATCCAGCAGCATAAGACAGCCTCCACCCAGTGGAAGGAAACTGTACTGCATTGTAGCACTCTGGGATGTCTTTTTTGACTTGCCACAGTGGGAAAAGCACAGGTGTTACTGATAACATTAATGATAGCTCCGCTTTTTTCACATGCCAGTGTGACAGTATGCACTATATCAAGAGCCTGTAATGAAGCTGTAAAAAAATCAGCCATCATTCACTGTATTATGTACACCTGTGCCTTCCTTATGGTGAAAAGGTGTACTGTAGCTATCTACAGTAGGTGCAGACACTTAACTGATTTTGTAACTTTAAATTATTTGGTGTTCATTTGGATCTTACAAGTTGTATCTTATTGACTTTTATTACTGTTTTTATAGTAAAGCATTTTGTAACATTGTTTTTAAAAGTGCTATATACATAAAGTTATTATTACTGTTATATAAAAAGATATAAAAAAAACCCACAGTCAATAGAAAAGACCCTCTGGAGTATGCTAAAGTCCTTTGAGTGCAATAACTCAGGCAAAGAAAATCCTATGGGTGAACAAAGTCTGCGTCTCATGTATTATCTAGAGAGCAATGCATTTACAAGTGTTCGCACATCAAAGCATCCACTTTCCAGTGTACAGCTTTAAACAGTACATGCTCACAAGTATTGACTTAACGGTTTCCTGTGGAGTTTTTGACCTTGACTAGTGCTATGGAGCTGTTTTTCTATGAGTGGGTCCCTGTTTAGTTGTGACGTGATACAGCCAGGGTTGGGACGATTACTTTAAAAATGTATCCGGGAAAATTTGTAATTACATGTTTAAAAATGTAATCAGTAAAGCAATCAAAATACCACAAAATTAAAGTAATGTAATCTGATTAATTTTAGTTACTTTTGGATTACTTTAATCCCAAATAGGCAAGTGTATGCTCAGTGTATTTTTTGAGAAACAGAATAACAAAATCTCCCATTCCCAAAATCCATGTTTAAATGTTTTTTTACGATATGCTTTTCACTATGTCACCACTATGGCAGTAGCCTATCTTTCCCATCAATGACAAAGAAACGTTGTTTTGTATGTATTCTTGATGATTTAAGTTTGTCATTTGGAAAACAATTTTAAATTGTGACTCATGCTCATTGTGCACTTGTATTAATTTAACGTCCAATGAAAAGATTTCTCAATGTCAAGCTGCTGAAGCATAATGTTTCTGGGACCGGGCCCCACTGATTACTGTACAAAAACACAAGTTTTTTTCACTGATTTTGGTCAAACTGGATCAAATTTGGAGAAATATTAGAAATATGGAAAAAATATTTTTTTTATAGTTTTCTCTCTGATGTCCCCCTGCTGCTCTGCCTCTTTGATTCACAGAGTTTCCTGATGGACAGATAGCTTTACTTGCTAAAGTTAGTTAACAGCTAATTAGCTGCTGTTATTAGCTCAGTTAGGTGTGCAACTACTGGTGAGATTAGCTCTGCCCCTACTGGGAGCTCGGAGCACGGGGGGAATGTTAGTTAGTGTTAGTTTTTACCATAGACTGTATAAAGGTGTTTAAGTTACAAGGGATAACGTTACGGTGTAACTTTACTGGGAGTGGGCAAGCAGGTAACGAAAACTCACTCAGCAGCTTACCAGTGAACACGGCATGAACATGACCGAACACAGCCTCAAAGACCAACAGGGAATCCAGTATTGAGATGATTTACACCAGAGCTTCTTGGTGGGTGGCTTTACTTTTTCTAAACCACTAACGTTAACTATAGCCAATTTGCCTGTCTCTTGCCAAACCCGGCAAGAAAACCACATCTGTACTGTAGTCCCAGTGGTCAAACTGGCCTCTGTCGGTCTCCATCTACAGTCTATGGCTCGGTCCCGGTCTAGCTGCCGTGTTCACTCACTGAGAGCTGGAACCAGTCCTCGCAGAGTCTGGATGACGGGGTAGGGGAGTAAACACACATTTGCCTCTATATACAGTCTATGGCTCTACTGGCTACTGTAAACGCCACGTCCATTTCTAGCTTTGTGTTTTTACAGAAACACGTACATATACAATAGTCTGTATATTAAAACATATATAGAGGCAAATAACACTGCGTTTTCTGTTTCATGGAAACGTTCTGCTTAAAGTAATCCCTATGAGTAATCCCTGACTTTTTCAAAATGTACCTGTAATCTGATTACCTCTTTATTTTCTGTACTGTAACGGAATAGTTACTTTTTTGTGTCCTGATTACGAAACGCTGTTACGTGTAATCCGTTACTCCCCGGAGTAAGCCAATGGTGTCACACTGCTCCACTGATCAAAAGATAATGTGCAGAGATATGCAGGAATGGCGGGCAAAGGCAGGAAAGAAGAATACTTGATGAAAATAGTGGAGGATTAAAGCTTTTAAGAAAAGTGTTTTTTGAGGAAGGAAAATGCATTCGTAACATCTGTTAGACCCTCAAAGATGCACACAATGTGTTTTGGTGAATAACGCTGAATGAGAACGGGAGTTACGTTCTGTAACCTGGATTCTATGAGTATAGGCGCAGCCCTCTAAGGCTATCGCTATTGGTTTACCCCTTCCGCGCACTTGCGCGTCACTGATAATTTTAGTCTACGCCCACCCACAGCGTGGGCCTCTCCTACATCTGCACCTTGTATATATACACACAACGGTGGGACCCAGCCTTCGGCTCCCAAATGCCTTTTCTTCAGCACTGAGAACCAAGGTCCAGTGAGGCCTACAACTTAAGAGGGCTGCAGCTATACTCAGAGAATCTGGGTTACAGTACGCAACCCCCATTCTATTTCGTATAGGCTTCGCCCTCTAAGGCTATCGCTATTGGGTTAAAGATGAAGCAGAGAGTCAACGCCTCACTGGCCCATACGGTACCACCAAGCACAACTCACCTGCCCAGAGCCATAATGAGCCACCGCTGATGCCGCTGACCGCGGCATTGGTCTCAGCGTGCGCGCGAGCACCGATGACCGGGGGCCGACCCATGCGTAAATCGGGAAACTGGGTGGGGCCCCGCAGCCGTACAGACGCAGGAGGGGTCACGACAGCAACCACATCAGCTGCACCCAAGGCAGGGCCACGTAAGCAGCGGCTGCCCCCCCACACTGTCCCGTGGGAGAGGGCACACCGCACACGCACAAGGAGGATCACTCAGCCAAAACAATCAGTACTGATTGAGTCAGAGAGAGATGGGAGACATCCCGCAGATAGAAATGGACGAAAGAGCATGGGGACGACCAGGAGGCCACCGTGCAGATGTAAGCCCCGGCAGACACGTAAGCCTGGGAAATTGCATCACACAGCCAGTGAGACAGGCGTTGCACCGACAGGGGAAGTCCCTTGGGCCGCTCCCTGTAGTGCACAAACAGACGCTGCGAACGGCGCCAGGCGGCCATGCGCGCCACATAGCAGGACAGCGCTCGCACTGGGCAGAGGAGGTGGGACGTGGCGTCCTCCGCCAACCCATGGGGGGGAGGGAAAAAGCCGCGACCGAAAGGAGCTTGTAATGCTTTTAGGCATTAATGCCGGGTTAGGCCGCAGGATAGCCGAGCTAACATCGCCCTGAATCCTGAGGCACAACGGAGCCACAGAGAGGGCAGCTACATATCTGACCCTCTTGGCCCATGTCAGAGCCAGGAGCAAGACGACCTTAGCCGAAAGGAATCTCAGGTCCGCCGTCTCCAAGGGCTATAACGGGGCTTGGGTTAGCGCGCATAAAACCAGCGGCAAATCCCACTGTGGGGCAACAGGCCGCATCACCGGCCTGCGCCTTCGCACCCCTCTAAGAAAGCACTTCACCAGGGGGTAGGAGAACACAGTCCTGTCCCCGAAGCCCTTGTGACAGGACGATATGGCGGCAGGTGTGCTCTGTCGGTGATGCGGCCCAACCACTGTGCTGCCTGGGAGGCCTGGACAGGGCACCAGATCTCGCTTAGCCTGCTGGCTAAGGTTGAGAACACCGGCCATTTCATCCGGTGGGGCGAACTCCTGGGCCGGGGGGACGAGCAGGTGGCAGGGGACGGAGGCCCACTGTATGATGGCGGGGAGCTCTCTGACGAGGCCGCTGATGGATGGTGGTAGCGGAGAGCAGGATGGAAACATTGCTGGAGGGAGCCCCCTCGAGTCTGGGATCACCCTTGTGAAGGCCAGGGTCGATGTTCTCTGAAGGTTGGAACGGGGGAAGAGGACAGCGGCTGGGGGACCCGTGGGGGGAGAGGGGGGAGTCGTCTGACTCCTGCTCCTCCGGCAACAGCATCTCAATCACTTCGTCCAGCGAGTGTGGGCCACACTTCCTTGTCGAGGACGGCTTGCCGGGCCGAGGCAAGCCTCACATCGGGGATGAAGATTCCCCGGCAGGATGAAGCCCGAATACATTGTTCTTCTCGCTGTACGCAGATTACTCTTTTTCTTCTTCTTCTGTCTTCTATGCTCTTAGACTTCAAGCTCAGTGCTGAAGAAAATAGGAAGCCGAAGGCTGGGTCTCACCGTTGTATATATACAAGGTGCAGACGTAGGAGAGGCCCAGGGGGGTAAACCAATAGCGATAGCCTTAGAGGGCGAAGCCTATACGAAATAGAACAACTCCACAGGTAAACTTTAGCCACTGGTGCACAGAGATTAAGAGAGTATGTGACAAAGTAAATGTCCCGCTGCTACCCACTGATTTTCCACTTGACAAGACACAGGAGTCTTTTCTTTGAATAATCAACACATTTTATTGTGTCATATGGAAGCACATCACTAAGAAATAAAATGCGACCACTTGAGCTAAACACCATATACTACACTTATGTTATTTCATGAGTTGTTTATTTGGTGTTGATGGAGAATTTTCTATATTAATATTGCTTTGGGGAAAATGTTGAAATGTATCTTAAGCAGTGATTTAAATCCGATGGTGTGGACTAAACACAGTGTGTTGAGCTAAATTAACACAGACAGTTTTGCTGTGACATGACTATTATTTAAATGTATTGTCTAAACACAAGGGTTTAAAATAATAATACATTAATTAAACTTAGTAACAATATGACAGCATGATGACAAAAACAAGACATCACGTACCTTAGGTTTATACAGCATTTTCATCTTTGTAAATCCTCTATGGTTTAGTTGTGTGATTAATAGAAGTTGTCTTGCAGCCCTGGCTGCTATTGTTTTTTTGGGTGGGCATCCCAGCTGAGATGATATCCTATTGAGCCCCTTTAAGGAAAGGAATTTGAATATGCATGATGCCGTTCTCTAATAAAGCACAGCACCATTCCCTTAAGAAATGAATATTTAATGCTGAGATGAATTATGCATTTAATTGACCAGGAGTTGTCTGGCATAAACCAATTAGGTGCCATTATTGGTGCAATCTCTGGTTACCTTTGTGGTAAACAATTTGGACAGCACTGTCTAAAAGTGGACTGGCAAGTAATGAAAAAGGTGGTGAAAAAGTGGGCTGCAAATGGGAGACATGGCTACTGTGCAGAAAAATGAGGAAAAACACATCCTGCATCAGATGACAAATCCAATTCTGTGTCCACAATGGACATTTTCATTTCCGTACTGTAATAGTGATGTTTTCACTTGTGCTCGTAATAAATGGACTAAAGTTTCATCATCATCATCATCAGTGAACAGCCTCCTGCACATATACAGCATAAAGTTGCTTAGAGAGACAGATGAAACAAATGGTGAAGAAATTTTAAATTAAGACAAAAAGACATATATACATCTGAAAGAGATGGTGGACCAAATCTAGGTGTGCCAGTAGCCTATTGGACTTCAACACAAAGTCCCTCAATTTGTTTATGCATGACGGTCAATGGTAGGTTTGCTTAAGGCAATACATCATATGTCTAAGCTTGTTGCTGTCTTTCTGGTCAAAATATATTATTTATAGCAATTTTAAAACAATAATAAGGTTTTCTTGATTCCAAAGTCAGTAGGCCAAGGACTGGAGCAGAATCTGAATTTCTGAGGTCACAGAAATATGGGGCCATTGACAAAATGAATAAATAAAATACAATTTCACAGCATGTAACATATAATTAAAATAAATAAGAAATTTCCATATGGGTTAAAAAAGCCAGCTTGTTGGACATTGGATGTACTGTAACGTTCCGGTCTTATTTTGAATTGTGACTTATTATGACTTGTAGTATGATTAATTTTCACCCTGCTGGTTACCTTGGAAACACTTTTGGAATCAAACACTAAATCAGCGTTTACTCGTGTTACATACCAAAGGAAGAATCGAGTAAACAACAACACAGCAGTTGATAGGTTTCTCACCTCTCATGTGGAAGAAGTGGTTTCCATATCAGATGCTATCTCCAGTTACGTCTAAGGAGGCTCAACACACCTGCGAGTGACACATTTACTTTTGACACCAAGCGCCATCGTTGCTGAAACGGTTGAAACTGCTTCTGTTAGCTTAGTAAATATGCCGGGAACTGCAGGTGCAGCTGACCTGCCGCCGACAAAAACAATAATTGTCTACAGGAACGGAGACGCTTTCTTCCCCGGAAGGAAAGTAGTCGTGAATCCGCGGCAGGTGTCAACCTTTGACAACTTGCTGACCTATTTGACCAGAGGGATTGAGGCTCCGTTTGGCGCCGTGAGGAAGCTGTACACTCCCACAGAGGGACACAAAGTTCAGCATATGGACGATTTGAAGCATGGGAGTGCATATGTTGCAGGCGGAAATGAACAGTTTAAAAAGCTGGAGTAGGTATCATGATGTTTGGTGTGTCTCTGTGTGTGGAGGGGTTATAGCAGGGAGGTCATATCACTTTGACCGAGAAGGTGCATTTTTCAGGTCTAGAGATGTCTTCCATTTATCTTGATAGATATTCCACTAGTAACTGTATAGGGTTCACATGTAAGTTAGCACCTGAAGCCTTTGGTTTTGAGTCATTTACATGATTTTTTAATGCCTTCCAGCTATTGTGAGATTACACACAAGAAGCCACAGAATAAGGAAAAAGAACCGGTAAGACCACCTTTTGTGTTTATCAGTTATACTGAAAACGATTAAACTGGGCTGGGTGATAAGGCCAAAAATGTTATCACAATGAAAACATTTCATACCATTCGATATTGATAATTATCACAATAAATCATCAAATCATTTCTTCTTTCAAGTTTAAAGGCTTGATCTTTGCTCCTAGGTGAAAAGTTAAAGAAATCAGATGGTTAATTGCATGGTTAAACTTTTCTTTATAGTCAAAACTGGACAAACACTTGATGCCAAACAGTGGATCACTTCAATAATCTGAGGTAGAATCTTCAAGATGATTCTGTTAAAATCATTTTTTTTTTTTTACAAATATGATTAGTAAATCTTTTTTTTTCAGTCCCTTTTCCTCAACAAAATAAATATTTTAGTAGAAAAATTAAGTGCAAATTCGTTATTGATTCAGATGAATTAAATCAAACATTTATTGAACATTTGTTGTGTTTGTTATTGAGGAAAATTATATTACGATAATTATCATTATTGTTTTATTGCACAGCCCTGTGATAAAGTCCTGTCACACTTAACATTAGTTTGAGTCAGAGATTTAAAATGCCTCATTCCTTGTTTACCACTTGTCTATTTAGATTTCCGACCCCTGTTTTTGACAATTTCAGATCCTACCTGTTGTTCACAGCAGATTAGTAGTTTCTGCTCGCTGGAGGAGAACTTCTGATGAGTCTTGTACGATAAAGTGAGTGCTGATTTTAAGCTGGATACAAAGTTATCCAAAAAAAGACGAAAACATTTAAATAACACAGCAAATCTTTGCTGTGTTATTTAAATGTTTTCTTCTTGTTTCCTTTTCAACAATTGAAATTTGTGTCTCATCTTTTGTTGCATTTCATAGTGTCTTCACCAACGGAGATGTCTTGGTTCCTCCAGCTCGAATACGGATCCCAAAGTATACTCTTAGAAGCTGGGAAAATGTTTTAGCAATGGTGACAAAGAGAGTGGGTCTTCGCACTGGGGCTGTGTACAGGTAATACCCCTTGTCATGTGCCAGTGGTGGCAAGAAAAAGTATAACCTGCAGGTTTTCTCTATTAAGAAAATAGGACCTGACTAGGTTAGGAATAGGAAAGGTTTTTGTATTTTTTGTTTCAAATATACTATGAATCATGAAACAACTGATTTTTCTCCATGTTTTGAAATGAAATCAACACACATCAATAATCGTCACAATATTGAATCTCAATTCTCTGTGGTATATCAGATTCTCTAAAATAGGTTAGGGTAATATGATTAGTTTCCAATCAGTTTAAATACAGCATGGAAGGATGTTTCTAGTTAATTTGTGAGTCTTGTTGTGCTCAGTGTTCATAAGAAAACAGCTTGTGGGTTTAAAATATGTGCTAACATTAAATAAAACCGCTCAAACAATATTTGAGACATCTATGTCGCTTCAAAATCCCCACTGATATTCATAGTTCAGTCAGAAAACATTGCTCCAATTTGTGGCATTTTTTATCCCAGGCTTTGCAGATTAGATGGACGTCCTGTCTGTGGTCCCACTGAACTTCAGAATAACCAGCACTATGTTGCAGTTGGTGCAGAAAAGTTTAAAGCTCTCCCATATGAGCACCGCACCCCCTGCAGGGATTTAATCCGGGAAAACAAGATGTTTGAAGGGTACCTATGATCTATGAGACCTATGATTTTGAATCAGTTAAATACATTTTTAGTTATGTATTTTAAATAAACATGGATCACTATTTTGATGTAGAAAAAAGAGAAAATATGTTTTTCTTGCAGCCAAGACACCCTGCCTGCCATTAGAAAGACAAGACATGCAAAGGATGTGGTGAGTACTATTGCCTCAGAGTTGGCCGCAGTTTGCCATCTGGTTGTTCACTTTATCACGACATGCTAAAGTCCCTCTAGTTTACTGCTGTAACACCTTGGTAGTATTGTTGTTGAAAAGCGTGTCTTTGCACACACAGCATTTCAATTAAAATTTCCCATGTGTGAGACTTGTTGTGGGGGTGCAATTCGTTATGAAACAGGGCTATCATCAATCACTGTCTGCAGGAGGCATTGAGTTACCTTGGCTTTCCACTTTGATGGGTAATCCCCACAGAGACAGGCTGGCCCACTTGATCAAGTGCAGTGAGCCTCATAGACAGATCATATCCACCAGGGGGACTTCACTGACTGAAAACAAAAAAAAAATTCTCTTATTCAAACTAGAACCCGGTATTGTGATTAAGTAGACAGTGAAGTGCTTTGAATTCACGTGAGGATTGCGCTGCTGTGGGCCCGAAATGAACACCAAATCACACTGTGAAGATGAGAACTTGCCCACTCAGCAGGTTGAGGTGGTGATGGGGGGCCCTCCTGTGAGAGAGGCGTCTGACATCTGATTTTTCTAACCATGAAAGATGACAATGCTGTGGCAGATGCCAATTTTTTTTCAGATGGAGAAAAATGCCCCATGTCTTATCTCCAGCTGTACCTGTGGTAGAGTACTGTTAAATTCAGAATTATGCTGAATTATTAATATATTAGAATCTTTCTAAATGTTGTGGCTTATTTATAAGATGTCTTTATCTCATTAAAATCTATCCAACCATGAAATAATATATGGAAACCACACTGGTATATCAAACTTTGCTTAAATGAGGTCCAGTCTTTATGTAGTAAAATCTGAATCAACACTGCTAAGACCAAAGCCTTTGCCATTTCACACAGTACCATGAGGTGGAGACAGAGACAGAGCTATGCTGGGTTTTTCTATCCACCATCTCATTGTAGTATTAGCCATTCAATGGACATGATGCTGCCGCATTTCACTCCCTTCGCATCCACGTCTGATCCCTCATGAATTTGTAAACATGATTTGACCAGTTAATAAGGACCTTTAAGAGGGGAAAGATACATGTGACAAAAATCGCCCACTCCGTCTTGATCTGTCAGCTGTTTAGCTTACTGATTACACATACATTTATAGGGTCATGTCCGTCATTAATTTCTGTTTGACCTCACAAAGCTACAGCAGTCTGGTTTGAAATGCCTGTAAAAGGATCCTTTAAACATGCCCACTGAGGCTGTGTAAAAATGTAACCTTGTAATGTAATCTTGCAACCTCGCTGTATGGGAACAGTGTCTGTCCCATCCTGTCCTGTCTGCAGCGGTGGCAGAGCGTTTCTGCGCTGCTGAATGGGACATCTGGTCTGGAGCAACCACTGAAGTCTAAACTGACAGCTCTGCACAGTGTAATATTGAAACTCTCCAGCACACCATGTTCCCACTGGAAGCATGCATTTATGCTGAGTTTGGTGTTCACAGACATGATGAGGTAGAAACTTTTTGAGGTAGACATTGTATAAAGAAAAGATTAATAGGAGGGAGAGGAATGCAAAGAGAATAACGGTGTGCATCAAAGCTGACTACTGTCATGTTACAGTAATAATAATAATGAGCAGTGCAATTGAGTTTCACATGTACATGAAAGCAGCCCAGAATGGCTGACTAAACCTTAAATAGCTGCTCTCCCTGACATCAGCCATGACTGGCTGCTGCTCCCCATTTCGCCGCTGTTTCTGGATGATCTCATTGGTGAGGGGAAGTAGCAATGCCCCATGGAAAACTCTACCCCCTCACTGCTGCCAGCATGTCTGCTTGCTGAGGACCCTGCCATGGGAATGGCTGCTGCTGATACCACAGCCAGCATGGCTGGATGCTGGTCGGTCCAATTGGTTGGGACCCATGTTTTCCCCTGGCTATCATATCACGGGTGTCCTCTTGTTGACTCCTGTTCACTGCCACTTGAGAGGGCCGCAGATTATTTGCCGCTCGGTCCCCCCTGAGCCCCCTTCACACTAACTCTAGCTCTCTCTCTCTCTTGGTTACTCTCTCTCTCTCAGGGGCCTCCTCATACACACAGTTGTCTGCTCCCACAGGACATGGTACTGTAGATATGTTATGCCGAACGAGGGGAGAGATGACCTCAGCTTTTCCACTGCCGTGTTTGTAGTTGGGCTGCTACTTATACTGTACTCTCCTGCCTCTGAGGCGCCCCTCGTCCTCCGCTTTCTCCTCCCCGAGTGAGACAGTCTTGATTTGACTTTGTTGATTTTAAATAAGATCTGTTTACATCTCACCACCGGGCTGCAAACAGGGAAAACAAGCTGTTAAATTTTTGATTGCCCAGATGTATTTTGATTCTGCTCTTTATCACGGAGTCATTTCACATCACTCACAGACGAATTGAGGTTATGAAACTGAATTAACAGCTTACCGCTGCGACAGTGCCACTGCTCTTCTGTCTTTGATCTCGTGTGGTTATGTGGACACTACGGCGCTAGAGTGTGAACTCTGTTTCAACTCTCCTTTTGCCGAACATACCAGGCAAACTTCACTCTTCTTTTGTTGTTGTATCTTTCTCCCTCGGCCCACCAACGGCTGTAGAAATTCAAAAGAATATCAACAGACTTTGCCTCTGCATTAAAGAAAGCAAACAAGTGAAGAAACAATGCTGCTGTTCCCCAGAGTCCATGTTAGTGAGCTTGCAAACACCATTGCCAGTAGTGTATTCTGCTGGAAGCCTGAGATCACTACGCTATCCCCCGAGCCAGCCCAGGGATCCAGCCAGGCAGCTGCAGTAAAGAGTGCCGTAGCTGAAAAGAAACATTAAGTCTGCTCTCTCCTGCTCTGTGACTGTGTCTCTCATTCTCTGTAAGGGAGACATACCTCACCTTGCTACCTACAGAAGGGATGAGGAGCCTGTGAGGGGAAAATTGCCTTTTGTGGAAGCATTAATTCAGATGTGTACCCTGCTGTCTGAACATCACTCTGAACTCTCCCCACTGTTCTCGCTCTTCCTCTCTCGCTCCTTCACTCTCACCCACCATGCAACTCAAGTCCCCCCCCCCCATCAATAACCTTCTGCTGTCTACTGCTGAAGAATAAGTTATTCCCTGCAACTCCCTCCCTTTCCCTTTAAGCTTGTTTGGATTTTCGTTGTTTGATCTGGCTTGATAAATAAGACAAATGCAGTTAGAAATTCATGGCTGCCCATTTCATCAATAAATGATTAGTTTGCCACACTCCCTAGTGATTGATAGGTTGAGCACAGGATGTATTGGAACCAGATGAATTCAATACAGTAGGAGTCACCGGGGAGCTACAAAGCATATCAGCTCATGAAGAATTGAGGTCAATGGAAAATGTAAAATGTTGAAAAAGAGAGGAGAAACAAGTTTTGCCCCGATGTATTTTGTCTTTTTTCCCCCTCTTATTTCCTCTTTGCAAAACAACAGCAAAAAAATCGATGATGAATCACAGAGAAATCTGAGAAAATATGCTTTAATCTCTGCCTCTGTTTTCCTCTCTCTTTTGTCTTGTCATGTAGTTTGCTCACACAGGCTTTAGAGAGGACCTTGAGCCCGCAGCCAGGGGCCAGATGCAGAAACCCACAGCCAAGCTGCAGAGAACCAAACAACAGAGGCAGGTGTCCAGAAACCCAGTTCTCCTCTCAACAGGGGGTAAGTAGAGCAATTCTATAGAAATATCTCTTTCTCCTCATCTCTCTCTCCAGAACCCCCTGCCCTCGTGTTTTTTCCCTCCAACACATGCTTTCTCACTATGACAATATGAAGAAACCTGTTGGCTTTTGAAGACGAATGTATATGCGGGTGGGTACAGTATGTGTGTGCACGTACGTGAAAGTCTGCATGTGTAGGGCTACATTTGGGCACATATGTAGGCATGTGTATGTGAGGACATGTGAGTTTAGCGTGTGTTGGCAACATAGAGGAAAAACCAACATTTGGCAGGTGAAGGAGCTTTATTTTTGACTATCAACCTGTTCTTTTAAGTCCAAACAGAACACAGCTCCCTGCTCTTTGAAGTCTTGTTCTGTTTAACATTCACAGAAAAGACTGGGGTTTCTTTCAAACACCGTCAAAGGGCCTTAAATCATAGATGAATTAAATCAGGTTTTGTTGAATATGTATACAGAAAGCCTTCTTAACTGTGTGGGGGGAAAACAGAACGCTCTGTTTTTCTCCTGATGCGCAGATCAAAATGGTAATAACTTATTAATCACAAATGATGCTGACAAAAGAGCATAAGAGTGACAAAATACTCCTTTAGATCGATAGTAGTGCTGTTTAAAAGTGACTGTTTATCATAATACACAGTAATTGTGTGTTTGCTTCCTCTCTTCAGTACCACATATGACATGACATGATGTAGTAGCATAGATGGGCTAATTGCCGCAGTCTGAAACCTGCCATCCTTTCATATGTTGCAACTAAGACAGCTGACATTATTAAATAGAAGTGGCTGTCTTTCTCCTCTTTGGCTACAAACAACAGCATCATCCTCATAAGCCAGAATGCGGTTCCCTGGCCATATTTTGGACAATTGATCATATCTAGTGTGGTTTCCTCGCACAAAGCACAGTACTAAGACCCAAGGGTTAAAGATGAAATTCACAAGTTTTCTTTGAAACTAAATCACCTCTTACAACCCTTCATACAGGCAGTAGTTCTGTGTAGTGTTTACAGGCGTCATCTGGTATAGGATCAAAGCTTTTGGCACCAGATTCCTTCTATCATTTAGCCTTTTTTTTACTGGAGTGAGTCTAGAAAGAGATCCAAAAGTAATGGCTTGACAGAAAAACATAATGAAGTCTACATGTTTTGTCGTTGATTAATTGCCTCTTTCAGCTGAACTTACTAACCGCATACTTTTTTCTATACATTATTCCTTTGTCTTATCACTGATTAATCTAACATGCTTTGCTATTTATTATTTACTTGAAATTACTTAAGGTTATTGAAGTAGATTCAAGCCAAATAGTGTGTTTAATTATTCACATTGCACCTCATATCAGATTCAGCAGCCACAGACAGAAAGGAGTTTGTTTACAAGGAAAAACAGTGTGACGTTACCGTATAAGCTATTCCCCACATGCATCAAGAGCAGCCTGTCACTGTCAGCGGCTAACCCTGGGCCGAAAGTTCACGCTGGCTGGCCATATTTGTGGCAGGGCAGCTGTGGCTTTCTGTGGCCCTTTCCTCTGTGTTACCACTCTAAATAAATAAATGGCATGACAGCAACATTGATCTCTTGAGAAGTTGAACAGGAAAAGCAAAGGGAGAGGACGGCAGGGCAGTGAGGGATGGAGGGGGTATAGAGAGAGGGAGCGAACGAGTGTGCAGAAGAATGAGACGGTGACTGCCAGCAGATGAGGTAATTGTGATTAATCACTTTTCTCAGAGGGCAGCGTGTTCCATGCACAAAACAAAAGAAGTGAGGTGGCAGGAGCAGCCGAGGTGCAGGAAGAGCGCCAGTTGAAGGTGGACCTGCCAATTGATCAGGTAAAGCACCCCCCCCCCCCCCCCCACACACACACACACACACACACACACACACACACACAGCACTGCAGCCTGATGAGGTCTTTAGCATACAATCTCTGAGCAGCTTGGTCCTGTTTATCTGACAGGAAGTAAGACTTGATTCCAGTCTAAAAACACTATTATCACTATAGAAAACATAGACCATAGGGGTGGGAATCACCAAGGGCCCCACGATACGATATTATCATGATACTTATGTTGCGATTCGATTTTATTGCGATTTTAAATATTGATATAATATTGAGATATACTTTGTCAACATCTTTTTATCTTAAAAGATCAATTTCTCTGTTTGTTCATTTCACTTTTTCAGTCCTCTATATGGTCCTGTTAAGTTTTATAGTGGACTGAAAAAGCAATAGATCTTATTATTCTAGTAATAAAACATTAAACTCTCATGTGTAATTTATATAATAAAAGACTGATACTTGGCGTCCGTGTATCGATACAGTATTGCCATGACAAATATCACGATACTATGCTGTATCAATTTTTTCCCCCCACCCCTAATAGACCACATGTGCTCATTCCATTTAACTTGAATATATGATTCTAACTGTACGCTTCAGTTCTCATAATTTTAGAGTGTTTTGTCAGTGAAGACAAACAGAAGTCTAAAAGTTGATGAACATCACAACAAGCTTTTTACATTTGATGTAAAATGTACGGTGTCTGCCTGCTTTAGCTTTCTCTCCCCATTTTCCTCCATTTAAGCTTTACCTTTGGCTGTGTTTTTCTGCTTCAAAAAGAATTGGAGAATATACTTCCAGTAGAGTATAATCTCAGCTTGGAAAAAAGACTCATGAATGCTCAGTAGAACAAGTTACATAAATATATAAATATTTTTGCTAAATCAATACAGCAGCACAGTACACTGTAAGCCAAGGGGGATCTTGTTTTCTCAATCCCTGCAGGTTGAGGCCAAGATAGTTGACGAGGAGTATGAGGATAGGAGTTGTTGTGCGAGCCCCTGCAAGGCCTCCCTCCATGATTCAGACGGCTTGTATCTGCAGAGGTCTTTTTCGGCAGGTTCTGGGAAGGATGTAAGTACCCTTATTATGAGTATTATGTAGTTACTATTTTACCTTTAGTTCATTTCTACTTTATTATTATGTCCAATTTTTTCATTTGCTTTTTGGATTAGGTCACATAAAATGGTCTAACCAGCAATTATGGTAATCACCATTTCCATAAATGCAATATTGTCACGTAGACCTGCTTTGGCAACTGTACTTGTATATCTTATGTGTGTGTAACCTGTTTTTCTGTCTCCATGGCTTGTCTCTGTGTACTGTGTATTTAGCAGCGCAGCCTTTCTTTAGGGCAATGAGAGTCTGTAAAGACCCCAGGGCACAATTCTAATACTGGAGACACAGGATTAAAACCACCTGAGCACCAGGTACAACTTTATTGTATGACTTTATAAAGCTTAGCTGTAGCCAGAGATACTCTATGTATTGCAGCAGCTTAAAAATTACATAGAAGTGTGTATTTGTGATCAGAGTAGAGCCCCATAACAGTATGTGGTTGTATTTGATGTCTGTCCTTTTACTCTGGTATTTGTGTACGTTTACAGTGATGAAGTAGGGCTGATATGTGTATACCGATGTTTTTGCATGGAACCGTAGTTCCTAGAAATGACACTCATTTAAATACACTTATTTTGCTCTAATAATCCTCGAGGGACAGCGGTGTGAAGCGGTGTAACTGTGATGAATGCACACAATAGTTGGGTGATATTACTATTCCAAGCAATTTCATTCGGCTTTGAAATGAGAAGATATTGAGTCTTATTTAAGCAATCAATAACCTTGAACATTTTGTTTTAATGAAAACTATAATTTCAAGCAGCGGCAATTACCCCATAGGGGAATGTTTTGGTGTGGTGATGATTTTGCTGCCGTGTGCACTTTTGCAATAAAGATATTCTTATCGGGGTAATTATTGACTTCTGGGGGCCAGTTATGACCCTGGCTAAAGACCTCATCAATAGCTTAATTCATTACTTATCGCTTTTAGTCATACATGAATGTTGCTGATTCAGATTGGCTATGGATCGCAGGGAAAGACCATTAGATAATGGAAAATAATAATAATAATCCCTAGTACAGACTCAGCTACTTTTTGCAATAACCATCTCGCCAAGCAGTTTTTGATTTGTCAGCTAAGGAAGACTGACTTTCGAAGAAGGTAGGATTTTTGCTGCACGTTTACCACTTGAAAATGTCATTCAACCCTAAATTATGGCAAGTTACATCATAAAGGAAAGCAACTTGTTTTCCCCAATACACCTTATACCTTACTAATATTTTGCTTTGCAGCAATTTTTAACTTCATGTTTTATCGAGGATTCCACTATAGTTGTAAACGTTTTCATCAGACCAGAAATAATGATGCTGCAGGTGACACTTAAAAACTTAAAAGTCTAACCATCATTCATGCATACTCGCCTCTTTTCCCTCTGAGGCCAAACAGACTGTCGCTGTCTCGTTGTCGGCAACCTCATCATTTAGAGGGCTGTGAATAATAATGAGGGATAACTGCACTGCTATGACTCATACTTTGAGCTGAGTTGGGACAGATTTCCTCCCACTCTAGTGCTCGTATGTGCTTGTGAAATGCCACTCTGTATATGTGCACGTATATAGTAGATATTGATGACCAAATTCAATTACATGATTACATTTTCACCCGAAGCTTTAAATGATTTATTGCATTGAATTTAAATAGTGAATACATTTACAGACAGCAGACCGGTGAGGCTGTTGTGTGTGCATGTGATATTGACCTGTGTGGTCCAGGCCAAATAAAGAATAACGAGATTCAGCATCTCTGCCAAGTGGAGATGTCCGCTGGGAGTGAAGGCAGGCTATCTCGGTGGAAGAGAGCGAAGGATGGCGGACTAGAGCCTGATGCACATTTATCAAAGCTTTTCTTATAATCAGTTGACTGACTTTTGTTGGGCTTTCTGAAGGTTGAGTTTTCCTTTAGAGTGCACTCTGTTAAGGAGCTGATTGATTTCATGAGGGGGGGACTCTGTCTATGCTGTAGATGTCATACACTTTGAGGAAATGTGGACAAGGGTAGATTCGTACTCACTGGTCTGGTGTTGTGTTTACATCTATCATTTGTTTTGATTTAACAATATTGGCTGATTTATCAACCAGTCAGCTAAGCATTTTTTCTTAATTAATATTGTTAGAAATGCCAATGCAACGAGGGATGCTTGATCAATTGTCTTCCTCTTTTGTAAGAATTTTGTGATAAAAAATCGAATGGTTATTGGCCGCTGCATCGATCCATTCCTTTCCTTTTCCAATGCAAGTCCATTTCATTTGTCTTTTAGTTGTTTTTCCGTGCTCCTATTCCCTGAAGCTTGGGTTAGCCATTTCAAAGGCCTTATTCTCTTCATGCAAGGTCAACTATAATCAACTCTTGACAATGTCACCGCCTTGCATTTCCAGAGAGCTAGGCAGGGGAAGACGACTCCTCTGGGCTTTTAAGGACCTACTGCATTATACCATTCAATTACTGTTCATTAGACAGTGTACAGCCATTAATCAGACGGAGATGTTCTGCTAGTCCTCAGCGGGGACAGTGAACTGGGGAAATTTATTCTGGCTTCCTGTCCGGGCTGCTGTTTAGTGGTAAGAAGAGAGATGACACTTTGGAATGCACTGAAGCTGTCAGTACAGAGACATCCTAAACTGAACTGCTACTCCACTCTCTGTATCTGTTTTTAAGTGAAGTTCTCTGCTCCATGCAGCCCCTGTCTTTGAATTTTAAGAAACATAGGCTTTGTCAGAGATTTACTGCATATGTGGGAGAGTATTACGAATCTGATATATCACTAAACGGGGAGAAAGCTGACAGATTTACAGATTAGAGCTGCATATGCATTGAATATGACTAGGTGATGATATGGGGAACTGATTTATGTTTTCCAGGAGGCTAAAGAGAGGGAGGTGTCTTCCAGGCTTTGCAGAATACGGTCACGGATGTCCTGGTTTTTCAAGGGTAGGTTCATCAAAGCATTAAGCCTGGTAGTACCTCACTGGCAGCGGCAGCCCCTGTGTTCCCCTCCACAGCACCTAATGTACCCATAAAGAGACCGCTAATACACTCTGCAATACCAGTTCCTCCCTCACATTGCATGTCACCGGATCCGCAACCACCTCTCAACATCTGGGAGAGCTTTACTTCATGCTTTATGGAGACCATCTGGTTGAGTGGGGTTTTTTTGCCTCCCCAATCTCAGATGACTTATTCTAGTATTAAAGGCACCTGCACATCAAGGTGTGCCATGCTGAGAGGCTGGGATTATTCACCGCTCTTTATATTTCCCCTGTAGTTTGTAATTCGGAACCACTCAGACAGAATGAGAGGGATATGTACCTTGTTACTATGAAAGTCCATATTTTTCTCGGTGACTTCTTATTCTAAGTGGAATTGCATGGTCTGACTTTTATTTGATCGATCTAGAGAAGAACACATCTGAAAAACAACAACAAAATAAATGCTACACACGTTTGATTATGGGGCGAAAAAAAAGATAACGGTGTTAAAACACAAAGCAATGATGTAAACCTCACATTCTCCTTTGTTGGGGGAATGTGCCTCACACTGATTCAGGCAATTGTATTGTAATTGCCTGCAAAACATAGGCTTTGGGAGTGAAGCCTATTCACCGGTTTTCCAGCATCTTCAATTTTGTCTTATGAAAATTCCAAAGTTGACTAAATGGAGCGGGATGTGAATCCCTGCACGTGGTTATCACTGTCTGCCCTTCAATCTGAGGTTTGCCCTGTCAGTGTGTCACCGGGAAAATTGCTGCATCCTGCGCTAACAGCAGGCTCCCTACCGCACTCACATGTCGTGCTTTTTTCTCCCACACATGTGCATGAATTTTACATATATACATGTATTCTCTTTCAATGATGCTTTTATTGATAGCACTAGAGGTCTAGATGCAGCCTGATGTACACTCTAGAGCTGGCTATGATTTCCCTGCAGAATATCAATGGACACTGCAGGGGCCATTTGAAATGAATCACAGCACATTATTGCTTACAGACTCCAGACCCACGTACTCACTTTTCTGTCCCTATCACATTAGATTGTTGTTGCTGTTTATGAATGGTTTCTGCATCATTCATGCATCCATATTCCCTAGCTACCACAGTGGATCTGCAGATGACACAGATGCAAAGCTAAACAGGAGAGGAAGTGGGATGTGAAAGGAAATTCAAGTGATCTCTAACAGAATCAAACCCACCTGCCACCTGCTTTGCATCAAAATGTCAATATCTGGGCCAGTTTTTCTCCTTGAAAGGAATTTGTCAGTTGAGTGAAAATAGGAAGCCTTTTTCTAAAAGCAAATCTACCATCAAAGTACTTCCTCCTTCATATACTTTACCAGGGGTATTCCATCTTGACTTCCATGTATAAAAGAGATACTACTGGGTTCTGTTTGGCTGAGATTCTCCTTCAAAAGTTATTGGCACCATGTACAATGGCCTTGTAATTTATGAGAACTGTTAGGGCCTATGACAGAAGTTGTAAAGCATCTTGACTGATTGGGGAGATATGAGATGTGTGCAGTCATGGCATATTGTCGCCTGTATGTGCGCACGACATGCAGATAGTTGCCTGGCATGCTCTGTCACAGATAAATTACTTCACACAGTCAAATTAAGTTGTTGTAAATCACCTTGCGGACCCGAGACTAGTCCTGAGTGACGACCTTTACGCCTATTTGACTTTAAGTCTTATTTATGTTAATCACATCTGTATTATACTGACAGTAAAATTGTGTCATATACTAAAAGGTCATTGTTTTGCAGTACAGCATATGACGGGGACAGAAAAACACACTGTTTATTACTAAGTGTAAGAAGTCTTGAAAGGAAGATGTGACTCTCTGAATGTTTGTATGTTAACAGTTTTCTTTTGTATACTGCCTTTCTTGCAGAAAAAATTTAACCGTAACCTTCATTGCTGTGATGGCAGGACAAGGTATGTACTATACAAATAATACAATCCAGTGTCTCATTGATCCAACTTGTAATCTCACATAAAACACAATGCTGAGTGTAGTAGCGCTCCATATAGAGCACAGCAGTGTTCATCAACAATATGGTGATACAGCATTTTCCATGTTATTGTAACAAATAAATGACTTGTGAGCGTTACAGATATTGCTGCGGATATTAAATGCTTATGAAATCCACAAAGACCTTCATGATATTTACAACACTAAATAATCACATGTGCTTTGGATGTTAGTCCAGCGCAATACATCTTATGATACAGAATATATATTGGAGTTTTCATTCAGGCAAAGAGCAAATGAAATCCTTGGGGATGACTTCACTGAGGGAGAATGAGAGCCTTTGTTAACTACAGTGAAGTTGGAGAAAATGCAATTCTTCTCATTCATCATATACGTGTCATGAAAGGCCTTCAAAAGGCAGCAGGCTCCCAACAGCAGTAAGTTTGTCCTGCGTTTATATGGTGAACAATAAGTTTCAAAAGCCGTGTGTGTCGAAAATCAGCCGTTGTGATGTGAGAGAGGCGTTCGTGTGTGATCTACGCTGCACTCGAGACGACAGGCTCTGCGAAGTGCACCGCTGCCCAGTTGCACATTAGCTTTGATTGCCAGTTTGTTCTGTGCGTAGCCCTTAGCTTTGAACTGCGTCTCAAGATGAAAGCCAGCCTTGTCCACAGTGTGTCCACTGTAGAACCGCTGCTGTTGCTTATTTGCTTCAGGCACCATCAAGGGCTTCGGGACTGTTTTTTTTCTATAGTTCTGTACCATGCTGAGATGAGCGTCATGTATAATTTATCATACAATACATCCTGAGACAGCACCCTGTCTTGACTCCATTTTAATTTAACGCCTTCTCTTTCTCTCTGCATGTTGTGTTGAGTGTGGTCAATGTATGATGTATGGTATATACTTTGATAGTAGTAGTTCCCAATGTGAGCATCACAGATATTTATCTCTCTCTCTGTCTCTCTCCCCTTTTCTCCCCCTCTTTCTTTCTCTTTCCTCTAAGCCAGAGCCATAGAATACAATGTCAGACTGCTACGGACCAGACATCCTTGTTCTCTTCTGTCTCCAAATGCCAGCTGCTCATGTATAAGTTGAAACCGTGTTAAAAACCAAATAAAAATGTCTTGCCTCTTGACAGCCCCACCGTGAATATATGGCCTCTTATTTCAGTGAATATATTGCATAATTATGTATGGTTATGAATATTACATGGAGCCTCACACTGAGTGCATGGTAAGATGCCTAATTGCAGAGTTTAATTATTAAGAAGCAAAGGTCCTGAGCGGGTTTTGTGAGAAGCACTTTTGATAAATTATTTTTTGCAGTTTTCTGATGAATTATTTTGGGGGCTTGTGTCTAATCAGCGGGCGTAGTGGACGGCATAACTGCTCTTGAGAGAGACTTATCTTCCCGTGGAGAGGAATTACTATGCTGATTAAATCCACTGAAATCAACTAATAACTTAATGATATTGGAGTGGATCAAAAGAATGAATCACTGTCTCTCATAGTGGTGGCTATGAAGAACACAAGGGCACAGTGATGGGTAGAATGATGTCTGTTGCCGTTGACCTCTGAGCTTTAATATTTCTCCGTGACATGAGGGAGGGGAACGGGGAAAGAGAGCGTGTGATGGCATGTACTAAAGCAAACCAAAGCACCTCATATTAAACACGGGGTAGTAGAGCTTTACTTTATACTTCATATGAAGCCTTTCAAGAAGAAAGTCCAGAGAGGCTGACTAAACAAGGAATAATGAACTAGATCTCCCTCAAGTACTGCCAAAGCCACTAGACACAGCTGCTTGGATAACTGCAGTACTATTGCTACTGCTTTTCTTTCTCTCTAGCATATACTATAACTGAAGCATCCACACACATCTTTAGTTATGCATTCAGTTCAAGTGCACTTAGTATGCAGAAAAGTTTAAGGCTTGGCCTCAGTTTTGCGTCAGAAGGAAATGGAAAATGAGTAAAACAAGCTTCTCTGCATGTAACTTCAAATATAGAACTGCCGCACATGATATATTCTTCCATAAAAGCTAATGGCTGTAATGCAGACAATAAGAATCATTGACCCACTTAATCGCAGTTATATGTCACGCTGTGACCGTGTGAAAGTTAGTTCACCACAACAGCAGGATCAAACGTAGGGTAATAGCCGGGCTCCCTCCGTTCCCCTTCCTACAATATGCATGTCGGTCTAGCACTTATGAAATGCAGTCGAGCTGCTTTCCACGAGCCAACACAAATATGTGAATAATTGATTGTTATTGATGTGAGGATCACCTGGGTGTATCCAGTAGTTGTTTGGTTTAGAAGTCTCCCGTGGTGGGCAGGAGCCTGGCCATCTGTCAATAACACTTCGGTCGTCACACACGGCGGGCACTCTGACCAGCTCATACGCTTCAGTAAGCATCTGAACAATTGTTCCCAATGTGATGTTAAATCAGCTGTTCTGCTCTGAAAGGAACGCTTGAAGCTGAAGTGTTTCAGGTCTGTTTCAGTCAGGGGTCCACAAAGTTGTCTAATAATAGGTATATACTAAGTCTATTCTCTTGCTGTGATATAATAATATATACTAATAGTTGATGCTTGGTATATACATAGTACACGTTTCCTGTTTAACCTTTACCCAGGTAAATTAACTACACAACACCTCATTTATAGCAAACGTCTGGAGAAATACTTTAGATTTAGGATGCGGGAGCTGCCCTAATCATATAGCAGTCCTGTATCACAAGCTATTGGGCAGCTTTTGTGCAGTTGAGGTTCAGTGTATTGCTCAAAAGGCACATAGAGGCTGTTATAGAAGTTTTATAGTCAGAGGCTGAATAGGACAATAGTGTCTATGAACTTTTGTATGTTGTGTGAGTGAAATGAAAATTGCCGAAGGTCATTTTATACAGACGCTCCACATGCCTTGAGACCTGTATTGAGCCTCCTCGCGGACAAGAGGGGCAGGTGGTGTTATAAAAAGACCTTTTCGTCGCTGACATCATCCAGAGCCACTGGGAGGCCACTTTTCCCCCTCTCTCTCTCTCTCTCTCTCTCTCTCTCTCTCTCTCTCTCTTTCTGTTCCAGCCTGGTAGCTACCCACTGTCTGAAGCAAATGGCTGGAAGCACAGCTAAAAGCTCTCAGTGTGATAAGGTAATGTGGAGTCAGAGAGAGAGAGAGTGAGCGAAAGAGTGCTATATCAGTGGGACCATATATACTGATTATACAATGATGAGGAAATGGTCTAAAAATAAAAACAAATGGAGAATGCGAGATGATATCACTTCACCCAGATTGCTGACTGCAGTGTTTGGAGTCATATCCAGATGGTTATGAAGCAGGGATGACGGTAGGAGCCGAGACTTACTGCTGTCCTCTCAACTGACCTTCCTGATGTCACGCTTGATAATAATAAAAGAGTATCGCAATCTGTTATATATAATGAATTATTAACAAAAGTGGGAATATTAAATTGAAAACAACATTCTCATAAGGTTCCTACTGTGCTTTGTATTTGGCAAAATTAAGCTTTTAAGGTAACGTTGGCTCATTTGTTTAGACACATTTCAGCTTTTCACTTACTACCTACTGTTGTTTCGTATGGTAGGTGTTAATGTTCACTCCAAGCATTTGTGTGCCTGTAAATGACAGCAATAGAGAGAAAAAAGCTTGCATATTGTGCTGGTGTAATTAGTTCAGCCTTCACTGTTGGTGGCATGGTGCCAATGGTCTAGATTACTGTTATACCAACCGCTCCCTTCTCACCTTGTCTTCACTCCTTTTGCCCCTCTACCACCAACAACATTGCGCACACATACAAATGTGTCATTTTCTCTCCGTTTCTTCCCTACTGCTTCCTTTTCTGTCCTTCTCTTATTTCCCTTCTCCCTCTCATTCTCTCTCTCTCTCTCTCTCTCTCTCTCTCTCTCCCCCTCCCCTTGTTTTCCTTTTATCTGTTCCCAGACTGGCTGTCCTTAGTAAGATGGATGTGTGCATTCCCAGGGCAGATGGCCCTGTTGTTACTCTGTGTACCCAACTCACACTTTAACACCCGGCCTCCTTGTCTGGCCTGACGGGCCATTGCCTGGGGAAAGGGCTCTACTTCTACACCATGCACAAACGTGTGTGTTGTGCAGCTAACCGCATGGGTGCTCACACCTTTTTTGCAAGGGAGTAGACTCCAGCAGACTGTGTGCCAAGTACACAGATGGGTTCTTTAAGGATCACAGATTTTTTTTATTGGAAAACTACAATATACGTTCATTTACACAGTGTGTAATTTATTTTGTTGACATTTTTGTTATGGATACATAAAACATGATATTCATTTTAATAAAATATATTTTCAGGACTTGACTCTGGACTGTACTTCACTTTAGTAACTACATTAGATAAGTGACACCTGCTGGAACTTCACATGTAGCAGCCTTTTTTTGTTTCCTTTCCTGTCAGAAAAGTCCTCAAAGATGTAACTTGAACCCAGACAGTATCTTAATGGTGTAGACAAGAAATTAGACCAAATTAATTATAAAACAACCAACAAGGTCAGTCTCATTTCAAAGAGTCCTTCAGGTATGGAGGACTCCTCCAATACAGGACCCCCAAATTAGTTTTGTTTTTGACAAACTGCTGGCCATCCTCAGCAACTCCTGAATTCAGACATACATGAGCAGGTCATACTGTACTTACCATGCATTTTCTTTCATATGGTCTTCACTCAGTGGTAAACATATCACTTTTGGTTGCACAGAAATTTTATAGTAAATCTCATGTCACAGTGAAAAAATCACAACACATAATAACAATTAATGAATTTGTCACAGTTTCCCCACATAGACTTTGTTGGCCACTTTAAGAACAATGCCTTTCTTACATACAGTCTATGAACAACGCTCTCAAAATATTTGACAAGTATTAGGATGGCTTCCTGAATGCATGTAAGTATTTATGTTATCTGACATCATTTTATGACTTGAGTGACTTTTCAGAAAGAATAAGTGAATATGATGTACGTGTTTGAAATAAATTAATACTCACCTACAATGTATTTACTAGAAACCTCTGCTAAACAGTAATTAATTAAAGATTTATGCTTTTTTTTGAATATCCAATGCTAATACTGCTGATGCTTGATATTTTAAATTCCCATTTTAACTGCCTTTTACTGCTTAACCTGAAATAACCATATTTAACCTTCCATGATTATAAAAGTACACTTACAGTAGGACATAGTGTCCCACATAATTTCCATGATCTGCGTCTCCTTGTGTTGTAGTGTATGTATGTACAGTTTCACATGTGTAGTTCAGTAAAGTACCTAAACAGCTTATCTCTACTGTTTAGTTTGCTGTTTAGCTTCGTGGACAGCTGTGTGTAGACATCTTTTGATGTCAGTACATGCACCTTGTAGTTAATTATCAGCACATCTGGGATGCTTCTTTGAAACTTTCTGTTTAATAAAATTACACACCACTTTTTCAATTACCGTATGCAAGTATTCAGATCGTCTTTTAACGAAGACCAGTGTTGCTGCATGTTCTTTTTTTTTACCTCCTACCAAATAACTGCCTCTGATTGGGCACCGTTTTGCATGACGGCAACCTGTGCCTTTTTGATTGATTCATTCCATTTCATTGCCATGATAAACTTTTATAACAGCTACCATTTACTGGCAGCATGTGTAGACCTCTTTAGGAGATCTGTGCTTGATTTCTACTCAGTGATCTAAGGATGATAAATCACTGGGTACACATAAATTATATCAGTGAAATCACATGCGGTATAGGACTTCTGTGTGCCAATGTGTAAATCCAGCTAGGGATGTTCAGCTGTGCAAAACTGCAGTCTTTGTCTACCCTCTAACCATACAATTTCTTTCATTTCAATCTCAGCACGCAACTGGAATAATGTCCCTTAGCTGCTCCTTTCATATGTAATGAATGTGCTGCCCCAAAGGTGAGAGTCATAATTGATTAAAAACCATAATGTTTTTCCATGCCTCAGTGTAGTCAGTGATAAGGATATCTGTGATGTGTGAGTGTGTGTGTGTGTATGAGTGTGTCTATATGTCTGCTGGTCTGTGTGGACAGGACAGGACATCAAAGTCGCGTGGCTCTATTTCATCCTGGCTAATGAAGAAGCTGTGAGTGTGCTT